CCAATCGCATCGTTTGCAGAGTACCGCGCAGCAGCGTGAAGGGATTGCGTACCCATATGCAGCTGTGGCTGTATAGGTGCTATACAGTGTACCGTACTGTATTGTACTGTACACATCGCTGCTCTACTGTATCGGCTTGTTTCCAGAGTGTTTGTGGGCCTATATTTGTCGTGTTGACGTATGGGACCATGGGTAAGTACTTACCTGGTATGGGTGGGTGGGTGGGTGGGAACATACTCTCCCCCAGGCCTCCCGCGAACCCGCAACGATGGGCTTACGCGGTTCGCCTTGGACCCAGCCGGCGCCTGTGTAGAGTACTCTACATATCTACTCCTCCATGATGATGGTCAGTGGGAATAGGGGACAGTATTCTCGGTACCTGTGTACTACGGATGCTTCTGGTAGGTACTTGCTCCCCAATATGTTCCGTGGTGTAAGTACGAGTACTCTACATAGACACGAGAGAAATCGTATGTGTGGTAAGTGCCAATATACATCTAACCGTACCACGCGGCAGCACCCAGCTAACATCTACTTAGCTCTACTCTAGTCTGGGTCTTTCGCATATCGCTGCATCGGGACCACACACGCACAAGCACATGCGCACCCTCCGATCGGGCTTACATAACCATGACCGGTGACGGCGGCGGTGACAACTCGGGTGCCGAAGCTGGCGACAAAAAAACTTCCGTCGCGCTCGCTCGTCATCCTCGGCGAACGGGGCGGTGATCCACCATCGATAGAGTATTCTACCTACTCTAAGTGTGCCGGTGTCGACGGCCTGTGTACGCAGCCTCCTCCTGCTCCTCGTCACAAGTTCACAAGCCCACATTGCTGAGGTGCTCCATACCGTACCCGTAATCCCCGCAGTGCACATGGATGCATATGCTTCCGACTCCGGACCCGAACGGAAGGTGGCGTACGATTATTCCTCTCGAGTCTTGACACAAACTCTACTCTACTTTACTGGGTGCCCGGTACGGTGTTAACCCAAATCAACCTTCCACATGCGGGATATGGAACCGCAACACCCGCCTTAACCGACCGCGACGGCCACGGGTTCTCGCATTTTGCCCCCCTGGATTTCTGGGATTCTGGAATCCTGGAGGGATGGAGGGACGCCCAGTGCGCACTGCGTTCTAACTTCTGGAGAGATTCCCGAAAGGGTGGAATTTGCGGAAGTGCAGTCACCAGTGCGACCGGCTATCTAAATATATACATACGGGTGAAGCACTGAAGCGTGAACAGTCACCAGTCACCCGTTGAACACTGAATATTCCGTTCCGGACGGAGGACTGAATCGGACTGACATCAGACACAGGACTGGCTCGACTCTCGAGGTGCAGTGCGACGAGGAGGAGGTCTCGACTCGCGACAGTCGCAGACTCGGAGGTCCAGAACAGCAGGTGGCGCCTCAGACAGATTTGGATCTGAATTTGGATCTAGATTTGGTGCACACTTGCCACAGCAAAGCAAAGCAGACGATGTCCACCGTCCGGGGAAAAGAAAGGGAGAGCGAGAGAGAGAAAAAGAGCGACGGATGCGACTGCCTGGCCACTACTCTAGCCAACTCGAAGACCGACAAGGAAGAAAAGAAAAAGGTCGTCTTAAGTTTTGTCGGCAACATTTGGAGTTCCGGCGTTCCGGTGTTCCGGCACATGCTTGGTCGACTACTAGTAGCTAATGGTTAGTCGATAGCTATTGGCTCACCGCTAAGAAAGTACTCTAACTCTAGCTTAACTTGGTTTCTGAGTTGGCTGCATCTGCAAATAAAGATCGCCGGTGCAGTCGGAGAGTGTGTTAGTACGGGAAGCAGCCACGCAACCACGACGACGAACGTGGTGGGTACGGTACTTGAGTTGACCGGTTTATGCATTCTCACCGCACTTGGTTTGCAGCCAGACCGTTAAAAGGATGACAGCGACTGCCATGTCTCTTTTTCTCTCTCTCTTTTTTTTTTTCGTTCTCTTTTTCTTCTCAAAAGAGTGTGAGTCGTGTGAATACCGGTACGTACATCCTTTGCGGCCGCATGGACACAGCCACCGGTATCGATGCAGGAGGGAAGGGAAGGGAAACCCACCGAACTCGTCCTCAGTCCGATCGACGCAAGGCCCAAGGAAAGGAAAGCCCCGCGCCTCACGCCGCGCCCGGGAAGCCGAGGGGCAGCAGGAAACACCTCACACGGTCAAAGGTCGTTCCTATTATTGCTTTGCGTGTCTATGCCTAGGTAGAGATGCCGGATTACCGTAAAGTATGAGCCGTGACGGTAAAGTTGTCACGTAACGATGTAAGCTCGGCACACACGTGACTGCTGGGTGGCTGGCGCCGCTTGAACCAGTCAATAGCCCCACTAGCCGCCTTGGCAATGACTTTACCGTCACGACTCATGCTTTATTGTAATATTACGTGACATTGCGTGACATTACATTACTGTAACGTTACGGGCGGCATCCCTATGCCCATGGCGCGCGCTTCGTCGGGCCCAACTTCGACGATCAACGAATCCAACCCAACTGTTCGAGAAGACAAATGTTTCGGTGAGTTGAGTCGAGTCGGCGATACGATACAATATTGTAGCGCCCTGCCCTCCCGCCCTCCTTCCCGCCCGCTCACTGCATCTGCACTTGCACCTGCATCGCGGCGCTGAAGGTTGAAGCTGAAGCTGAGTCCTGAGTCTCCCCTTGCTGCTGTGATATTCAGTAGCTGTAGCTGTAGCTGTACCGTAGCTGTACATAGCTGTAAAACTCTCCAGCTTCCCCCGAAGAGGGGCCTTGTTTGACTGTTTGTCTTGGGCTCGATAACCACTCGATCCATCATCCATATCCACCCATCCCGTCCGCCCAACCGCCCGGTCCCTCCCTCCCTCCCTCCGCCGTCAGAAACCAGAAACAGGTCTCTGGGTGTATTTTGTACTTATGTAGAGTACTCTATGTTTTGCAACACGCACGCCAAGGACCAAAGGCCAAAGGCCAAGGGAAGGGCGGCGGATATGGATCTGCCCGGTGACCTTTCGCGAAGCGGTTAGTCTTTCTTGTGGGGGTGTGTGTGGGGCTTGCTTGCTTTCCCTCTTTCTTCCTTTCTTTCTTTTCTTTTCTTTCCTTTTTTGCTTTCTCGGGGGTGGCTTGCTCGGGGGTGGCTTCCTTTCCCTTCCTTTCCTGTTCCTTCCTGCCTTCCCCTTGCAAGTCAAGTCAAGTTGAAGAACGCAACGTGGCGAGGAATTGCGTTATTATTGGAAGTCACCAGCACCAGCCTGGCAGCAGTGGCAGCAAACCCCACCGCCAGTCCAGTCCAATCACCAGCGCGCGAGTGCGAGTGCGAGTGCCAGTTGTTTTGACGGGACTCCGGAGTGCTGCCTGTCTGAATCCTGGAACGGAGGGAATGTTCTGGTGACACGTTCTCATTGTTGTCTACGTTTCTGTCTACGTTTTGTCGTGTTTCCGTCGCGGAGACAGACAGCGAAGAAGTGAAGACGAAGACACCTACACACCTAGCTATCCCGCCCAGCCCAGGTGTGAGTGACGGTGCCAGGTGTGTCGGTATGAAACAGGGGGTAGACAGACAGACGATCGCGATTCCCCCTCGCCGCGGAGGCGGAGACAAAACGAAGTTCGAACTGCTTGGGCGCTATCCTATTGCGGTTAGAGGGTGTCCAGGTGGAGATGTAAACACAGGCCTAACCACTCTTGAATCTAGAGTAGAACCGCACCCGCAGCCCCAGCAACATCATATGGGTTAGTTATGGTAGTTGAAGCAGTCAACGTCTGCTGCTGCTCTAACTACAGGGAAAAGTTGCGTCATTACCCTCTCCCAACCCAGCTATTTTCTTCTCTCGTCTGGCTCTGGCTGGCTGCGCCTTCTGTGCTTTATTTCTCTCTCCCCGTCCGTTCCCTCGGGCCGATGCCGAAGCGACGGAGGCTCGGATTTAAATCTACATCCATAATCCATAATCACCTGCTCGGCCATGGTGCACAAGTGTGCGGGGGGTTTGCGAGTGGGTTGGGTGGTCTGGCCGTGGTGGTGGGCTGCAAGCGGGATGGATGTCTGGACGTGGTGGACCTGGAGGTGCACAGCGGGCCATGGTCTCCAAGTTCCGGGTGGTGGTGGTGGTGGTGGTGGTGGTGGTGGTGGTGGTGGTGAGCCAAGCAGCGTCTTGGAAGTTGGACTGGCGTCCAAAGAAAGAAAAAAAGCATCCGGACGAGACCCTGGCCGTGTGCTGGCTGGCTGTTGGCTGCGAACGAGCCCTCATGTCAAGAGAAATAAAGAAAAGAAAGAAAGAAAGAACGAGAAAAAAAAAGAACGAAGAAAAAAAGAAAAAGAAAAAGAAATACACCGCACAGATCAACATCCCTTGCCCTCTCACTTCGTTGCCCTTCACTTCGTCGCTTCCCAAACACACACCATCGCTCGCTCACTCTCTCGTCGACCACGTCCTCCACTCGTTCGGCGTATCCCAGCCCCGTGGCCGATCATCATCAAAACATCTATTCTATCAGTTTCAATCGCCATCTAGCCGGCTTCCTACCACGACCCATACGACGTCAGAATCTAAGTAGTCCGTCACTTCCAGTCACTCCGGCACGCACACACCTCCCCACCCCGTATCATCGGATATCTGCAACCAGAACCGCCGAAACTCGCATACCTGCAATATCATTCGCTACATCTGCCTGCCTATTTACTGTCGACCAGCACACGGCACGGAGATCGTGATCAGAAACGAACCGCTGACAAGTCGGGCTCATCGAAAACGAAGCCTCCGGTTCTTGTCTGACTACCGCCTGCTGCCTGTCTGTCTGCCGTGACCACGGGATTTTCGTACCCGCGAGTCCGCTCGCTCGTGTGCTTTGCTTGCTTGCAAGCTCGGATTTAGATTCAGCACATCCACATCGTCACCGTCATCATCGTCAGCTCGGACTGCGGCACCCCTGCGTCTCGTCTCGTCTGAGGACCCGATCTCCGGGATAGTATTGCTTCTCCGTAATCCCTTTTCTAGGGTACGTGCGTAACCCTCCTCCGCTCTCTGTTCGCCTTTATATTACCCTTTATACCTTGGCTTCGCCCGTCCACGACCCCCCCTCCCTAGTCACCGGTTTGTTCGAAATCCTAGCGTCCGGCAGCCGCAGTGTTGTTACTCTACAAGAACTTCCCTATGCCCCTCAGCCCGATCCTCGTATATACGAAAACTCTCCCAACACTCTCCATCGCTTTCGCAAAACGCCGTTACACACACACAAACGGGCGGCACACTTTGGCAACATACTAATGCAATATGTCGTCTTCCAGGCAACCACGGTTACACAGGCCGAAGAGCACCATATTCTTTGAAGGTGCTGAGCAATCGATGAAGCGCATCACAAACTTCTTCAACGCATCCGAGACACGGCTGCCTCGAGGGAATGCCCCCCCGACGCCGCCGCTAGCTCCCGATGGACAGGCCACCAGTACTCCTCCTCCCGCGCTGGACCTCCGAACCCCACGAACACCGCTCTCGGTCAACACCTCGTCGGTCGCCTCGCGGCACACTCTCGCTCCCCCGGACATGGGATATGGCGACACCTTGACCCCGACGGTTTCCGGAAATGGCGCGCCGTACCTCTACCCTCTCCCACCCTCGCCGGGGATGCTCCCCTCGCGACCCGGAACCTCGTCGGGATTCTCCGGCTATGGATCGAGACCGGTAACACCACACGGATCGAACTTCAACCTCTCCTCCGTAAACCTCAGCACCACACCACTCGAGGTGATCACGGCCCGGAAGAGCCGTGATACGCGATTCGACAAGCTAGGCTCGGGTCTCGCGTGGAGGCTCGCGCGTGGGAACACGCAAGATTTGGAGTCGTATGACTGTGGGCCTTTGTTGCGCGGAGAACGGGTATGTTGGTCTGCTCTGTGTTTTTTTCAGTGGGCTGGCTGGTTGGCTGTCTGGGTGTGCCTCGGCTTGGCTTGGCTCGTATCCGATCATCCGAGCTGCGACGTTGAGCGGTGGATCCTCGCGGAGAGAAAGCAGGTGTGCTGACCGGTGAAAAATAGGCTAAGGAGCTATGGGACGACAACGGCGACACCCTTGTATATCTCACCCACCCCGAGAACCAGAACAGCAAATACGGGAACCCGGTTTTCCGCATCAACTCGGGCCCTGCTGTGTTCGCTTGTCTTGGCGGCTACATGGTCGAGGTCGAGCAACCACAGGCTACGTCAACGTCAGGGGCTAGCAGGACGTCACCCATGAGCGAGCGCTTTCAACTCGGCGTGCCGGCGTTGGATGGGTCGTCGCTTGGATTGGATGATGCGACAGCCGATGGCACACCCGATGACGAGCCATCGACGATCGGCGTCGCGGTGAACGGAGAGCGACCAATCAGTCGCGAGAGCTCGGACAACCTATCCCCCACCTCGAAATCTCCCAGGAATTCGTCGGAGCAACACACATTCTCGCACACGGTCACGCACCCGCCGCGAGATGTCGAGCCCCCGCAAAAGGTGGAAACCTCCAGCGAGGAGGAGACCGGCGTGTTTTACAAGCTCTACTATCCGGCGGCGGACGACGACACTTCACGACCTGTCACTCCGCTCAAGAAATCGAAAAAGCCGCAGCCAAAACACACCAAGGCCGATGCCGAGGATTCGCTACAACGCTTCATCGATGCCCGAAATGTGTTCGCGTTCCTCACCGGCGGTTATCTGGTGGCTTCGCGGCCGAAACACTTGCCGTTCGACGTGTTTGCGATACTCAACGCGCGACTCGGTTTGGGCGATGGTGAGAACGACACCCAACGGGCCCAGGCCGTGCAGATGTACTTGGACATATACGTCGAAGAGCTAAAGCTGGATGATATCCGCAACGATGACGAAGCGATTGTCGAGACGCTGATAATGGGCGAGAAGTGGCGATCACAGCGACTATACCATGAGGCGTTTATACATGCCGCCGGTAGATGGGGGCAGATCTCCAATCACCCCGGACTTGCCCTCGTGTCGAGCACCACCAAGAATCGGCTCGAACGGGCAACTCACGATCTCGTCAACATCCGTTTGGTCAACATCCACGACCGGATAACCGACTTTGAATTCCCCTCCGTCTGGGTCGGCGAGGGGCGATACTCCGAGTACAAGAGCTGGCGCAACGGATATGACCGCATGAGAGCACTGGTGAACACGCATGTGAGACATGTATTCGGATCTTGGCCACCCAGAGGAGGAAAACACGGGAAGGGAGGTGGCTTCTCGGAGACTGGCGGCTTGAACCGTGTCGTGCTGAAACGGCTCTACGACGATCTGTGCTGCGTGTACGACCTCACCGTCGATAGGGAATGGCTACACGGCGAGAGGATCCATTTCGAGGGCACCCAGGGAGGTTCGGACAGCGACCAATCCGATGAGATTAAGAACCAATACGAACGCCATAGAGTCGTGCTCCGCAAGATCATGGGGGAATTCGATAAATGCAGTGTCCCCGTCCAGCCGGAAATGCCGTTCGACCTGCCGCGTCTGCCGTATCGCTCGCCTTCCGCACTTAAGAAGAGGAAGATGGGAATTTTCTCGAAGTCGAACAAGAAGATCCGCGAAGAGGAGATCAACGAGCTGCTGAAGAACTCGTACAACCAGGACTCGTACGAGCAGTACGCCGAGAACGCGCTGGTGAAGGCGTATATTACCATGGAGAAGGAGTTTGGCATCTCGAAGCCCATCGAAGAGCTTATCGGTGCGAGGAGAGGTGCGTGGGTGTTCATGTACTGTGTCTTACAGACACTGGTCTTGGGTGTTGTCGACGGCGGCGGACTGCGGTACGGAGACGGTTGCGAATACTTCCTGTGCGAGAACGTGAAGGGTATTCCACCATGGGAGAAGGGTGCCAATCGTCGACAAACGCGGATGAGCGGGATGTGGACCGGTGGTGGACTGATGAGTGCCATGAACTCGGCCGTCAACCTCGGCATCAACCCCGACGATGAGATCGAGATGACCTATCGCGCCAGTCACTGTTGGGAAGTTGCCGAGCAGTGGAGACTGGTCCTCACTAACTTTGACGACGAGGAGGATACCTACTACGGAGCTGGTAGCGACAGCTCGGAATTCCAAGAGTATACCCCTGGCGTGACGGTTCCCGAGTCGCCGGAGCTGCGTGCGGCACCGCCGCTCAACGAGCACCCCGCATACGTCCGACAGAACACCGAGACGGACCAGCTACCGAAGCTGCAACTCGACGGTTCGTCGCAGCGATCGTATCAAGGCCAAACCCCCTCTCCAACCTCGGAGAACGGGGGGCAGCCGAGCTCGGGATACCACCGTCCTCAGTACCAGCACCAGTACCACGACAGCCGGACGATCTCGCCCACATCGCAAGCGCCCCAGCTGCTCTCCCCCGTTGACGAGCGGCCAGCACCGTTCGAGTTCGATCTCGGCGCCCACGCTGTCAAGTCCCGAAAGACGTCGCCATCCGAAAGCCGCAGCGCGTCGCCCGCGCCTCCCCGAGCTTGGAGCCCGGCAGCAGGCCCCATCCGTAAGAGCTCCGCACCGGTCAGTGGCACCTCGAGTCCACTGCGGCACGGAAGCCCTGCTCTCGGTGGTGCGACGCCCCCCTACACCGCGTACAGCAGCCCGTCCGCGTCGCCGGTGTTGGGTCCCAACCAGCAGCAGAAATCCGCTACCATGCCGAGAAGTGCACGACGTTAATAACTTCTCCCTTCCCCCTTCCCTTTCCTCTTTCTCTTTTTTCTTTTCTCTTTTCTTTGATTGCAAACGTTGCATATATCCTATCCTATACATTTCTTTTGTTGGTGTTTCTGGGGTCTTTTTTTTTTTAGTTTTTGTTTTTAGCTTGGGGTGAATAATTTGTGCCGTTGCTGGAGCAAAAAACAAAATGTGTGCTATTTTTTTTTCATTTCTTTTCTTTTCATTTCAGTCGTGTAACTTTGGATAATCTTTGCTTTGCTTTGTCTTTTCTGTTCTGTTCTGATGGCAATACCCTTTTTTGTTTGTGAGGTTAGAGTGCCGCTTTTTTTGCTATTCTCTCTTTAGCTTTCCTATTACTCTGCTTTTTGGGGGTTTCTTTTGTCATCAAAGGGCGATGAATGGGGCAATTTTGTTTGGTTTTGGGCCATGGCTTAAAGGGCTTAAAATGGTGGGTGGGTGGGTGGGTCGTTGGGCTCTGGGCACTTGGCAGAAGGGTGAAAGATCTACCATCTAAACTGGGGGCGGTAAAGGTTTTGGGAGGGGGCAACTAAAGGGTGATAAGGGGGTTATAGAATATTTTTTTTGACAATAGTGAGGCTAAAGTTTAAAGTTTAAACTTGAATGAAACGGATGAACGGGTGGGTATATATGGATACATCTAATGTATGGGGTCATAATACCGCAATTGATTTGGAAATTGGAACTAGTGCGGAATATGGTGCTCGATGTGGGATATTTGTGCGGAATACGGTGCGGAATACGGTGCTTGGTACGGATACTCGGTGATATGTACGTTCGTTGGTGATACGGTGATGATACGGTGAATCGTGGTGACTGGGTGCTGCGCGGGATGGCTGGTGCGTCCGTAGAGACCCGAGGGGCTCGGCCGTGGAGGGGGTTCGGTCGGGGCGCGGTTGTGGAGCTAGTGAAGAAGCGTGGAAGAAGCGTGGAAGTGCACCGCGTCACAAGTACGTGGGATATCACTCGTGTAGGTACCTATTTGCTTCTCACAGGATGAATAGCGATTAATAGCGCGGCTAGGTAGTAGAGTACCCACTGCAGTCACAAGCGTGTGAGATATCACTCGTGTACATCAGTGAGTACTTGCTTCTCACAAACATGTGGGATAGGTATCACTCGTGTACTTGTCTTCCACAAGCACCTGGGATATCACTCGAGTACTTGCTTCTCACAGGCTATTCACAGGCGATGAATAGCGATGAAGAAATCCGGCCAGCGACCCGACCCAAATCCAGAGATGGCCACCAAGCGCTTCGCCTCAAGGTTCTACCAACTCAAGACAGGACACTACCTCACCGGCCAGTACCCCCAGTGGACGAAAAGGCGCCCGGACGCCCGCTGTGGCTGGTGCCGCTACAAGACACAGACTCGGGAGCACCTCTTCAAAAATTGCCTTGAATGGAAAAGTCAGCAAAAGACACTATGGGCAGAAGTCCGGAAGCAGACAAGGAGGGGGAAAGACCGCTTCAAATCCGGGGCCTCTTCGCAGACGAGCGATACAGCAAGGCCATCCTAGAGTTCCTCTTCTCCACTGATGTGGGCAGACGGATGCCAGAGGCCATGGAGGAAGATGCAGCGAGTGAGATATCCGAGTGGGAGCTCAGGGAGCGGGAGGAAAGGGAGGCGGACCTTAGGCGAGAGGAGGAGGAGGGTGCTGAGGTTGAGGTTGAGGAGTCGGGTTCGCGCCCGCTGTTCCTTCCCACACCTTCCTTCATGGCATCTGCCGATGAAGAGGCAGAAAGCGGCGACGAGGACTAGTGACTTGCGGTGAGGCAGGGACGAGTTGAGGGAGTGGAAGTTGTCTTTTCCTAGTGTCATTTCTTTGGTGCGCTCATACATCTTCGGGACAGGCCACGGCGGGGGTAAGGAAAGCCACATCGGGCCGCCTGACGAAAGTTGGATTGGACAGTGGCGGGGAAACGGGGGGACGAACGGGTAGATATTGCCATGATCTAGATAGGTCCCACGCAATCAATGAATGAACAAAAAAATAAATAAATGAATAGCGATGAATAGCGCCACGAGGTATCATAGTAGTAGAGTCGAGTACTGCATCAAAGCGGAGAGTACTATTACTATGTGCTCCAGTAAAAGCCATTCAACCCCAACCTCTGGGATTCCTATTTCCCCACGAAAAGCTATTCAACCTCAACTTTTGGGATTCTAATTTCCCCACGAAACCCCGCCGAGTGGCGGAATGATGAATCACCTGTTTGAACTTTGAACTTTGACCTGGACCTAGAAACGAGAGACTGGAAGGCTGGAAGGCTGGAAGTTGAAGTTGCAGTTGCAGTTGCAGTTGCAGTTGCCGTTACAGTTACAGTTAGTAACTACTATGTACGGTGATTGAAGATAAACACTTCTCCAACTCCATATGTAGGTAGGTAATGCATCGCTTCCAGCGCTGTCACTCGACCTTTGCGGAAAGTCGCCACATCTATAGCTCTCAGTTTCCGCCAGACCGGTTCCCATGCTCAATCCACCTTTTACGCCCACGGATTTTATTGCGCGGTCCGGGTTGGGATACCTTAAGTCTCCGCCCTTGGTTTGGGGGGAAGAACCCTGAGACAGAGACGGAGCCGTGACATAGATCGTCGGGACGGCCGTGAGGGCGGGCGGGCGGGGGTTATTCCGGGTGCTGAAGTTTGAAGTTTCTGCTCCATTCGCTGCTACAACTTCCTCCGGAGTCCGGAGCACGGGGGCCTGTATCCCAATACCGTAATGCAGTTCTGGCGAACCATTCCTTCCCCTTCCCCTCCCCCTTCCCCTTCCCGGAAACGTAGACGTAGCCGGACCCAAGGAAGATTACAATTTACGGTGACAATGCATGGGGAAGTGCGGTGCTGAAGCGCCCTCATTTCTCCATTCATGGGTGGTGGTGTCCTCACTTCCCCATTCAACCTTGGTGTTCGAGGGCAAGAATGCCACGATCACTGAGTCTGCTCGAGGAGTCATTCATCCTCATAATTCTCGGCATCCGCCTCATGATCACTACGGTATCGGTCCGTAATGCGGAGAAAGTAATTCGGAACCTAACTATTCTGCAGCGAGCGAGTTGCTGAGCATGGCGGCACTAGTTACATGCTCGGAGGATGACCGAGCCCTTTGAGAGCACATAGGCAGCTTCCTCGACAAGGAACAGATCAAAGACGAGATTTGTTTTCTTTGGTGGAGATTCCACTCTCGAGACGGTTGGCTCCCCTCCTATCCCTCCACCCGTCGTAAAATTTTGAGGTTGTGTCAGGAGTTGGGCAGTGACTGCCGCTTGTATGACGGTCGCTTAGATACCGCCTAGCGTCCTTTGCTGCCAAATCTGGAGGCGGCCCGCAGCTTATCCGGTACATGCGTAGGATACTTTGTAACACGCGGCTGTCTCGCTCGGATGCGGTGGCTTCCAGTCTCCAGTCTCCAATCTCCCGTCTCCAGTCCAGTCTCCAGAGGGCACAGAAGCAGTCCTGGTCCTTCGAGATCACTCGACTGCATCATCTTCATACTGTTGAAAATATGAGCGTGCGACTATTCGATTGCTTGATTCATTCGCAGAAACAGCGGATGACCAGCTAGACATGCCAGACAGAAGCAGAAGCAAGTATGAGAATAAGCAGGATTCTTGAGGCGCACAGAGGCGCACTCGAGGAGGCGCCCAGAGGCGCATATGACCAATACGACCAATGTGCAATATCTTGGACGAGTGACGACGATGGCTTTTCAACGAGAACGAGACGAAAACCAGAATCGCAACACACACCTACCACGGCAGAAGCGGCCACATCGAGGTGGCACAAGCAAGCAAGCGAACGGAGAGTAATCATGATCGGCAACACACCGGCAGAACGGCATCTGTCCTCACGAGTCACAGCCATCGCAGGTCCAGGATGAACGGGAATCGTCTTTTCCCGAGGAGCCACTGCGGGAAGCTGCCGGGGATCGGGTGCGCAACGGAAGGCCTCCGCATCTTCCGAGTTCTCGAGAGATATGTAGGAACCTACTAGATATACCCGTAGCGTGCTTCTTCTCGCCAAATCCCTGCCGTCGCTGAGTGAACGTGGGGCAACACGCACCATGGCCGGGGACTCCAATTGGCTGCCTTGGGCGTCAACCATGACGCCGTAGGAGCGAAGATGTTCCTGCATGGAGAGGTCGCCCACGAAAGACGAAAGAGAACCTTCCGTTTGGAGAACATATTAACGCGGCTGTTTGGTAACGCAGATCGAGCCGGCCTGTTTAAATTGTACAGTGCTGCTCTCGTGCTCTATGTCTTCTTCCACTCTCCTCTTTATCCTCCCGCCCTTTCCGTCCTCCCCGCCCTCTTCGTTATTCTTGTTCTCCTCGTTCGTTCCGTCCTCTTTCTCCCTCTCCCCATACTTCTCAAGAACTCCCCGGAAACCACTGTAACACGAGCCCACCATGGTCACCACACGCCTGATCGTCTCCATCCTCACGCTGGCTCAAGGCTTCCTCCTGACCTCCGCAAATCCCCTCCCCCGTGACGAAGCCGCCGTCAATACGACCACCTGTGCGGGCAAGAGCTTCGCCTACCATGGCCTTGCCGGCTACGGTGCCCTGCCGTCGGACCTCCGCGACAAGTTCGGCGACACCTTGAGCACGGGCAGTGCCATCTCTATCACTGGGTGGAAGGCCGTCAACAAGGGGAAGTCATACAAGGCCACTATCTGGGCACTGCCCGATCGTGGATGGTAGGTTTCCCGGAATTCCTGGCCCTCATGTCGGACCCTATCTAATATTCACAGGAACACGGAGGGAACAACGGCCTACCAACCACGGGTCCACAAGTTCTCGCTCACCTTCACCCCGACGAGCGAGTACCCCTCGGGGCAGAACCTGGTGTACACATACGAAGACACGATCCTCTTCACGGACGCGGCCGGCACGCCGTTCGCGGGGCTGGACCCGACCACCACGCTCTCGCTGCCGGGCTTCCCGGCGCTTCCGGCCGCCTCTTTCCCCGGCGACGGCTTCGGCGGTGAAGGACCGGGTGGAATCCGTGCCTCGCTGGACCCGGAGGGATTGGCGCTCGACACCGCCTCGAAGGAGGGCGGATTCTGGATCTCGGACGAGTATGGACCTTACCTGTACCATTTCGCATTGAACGGGACTATGGATGTCGCCATCGCCCCACCGAATGCTCTGCTGCCGCTGAGGAAGGGCGTCGTCAACTTCAGCTCGGATAATCCCCCGATCTTTGATAGGGAGCAGCAGCCGGATCCGATCGATCCCACTTCTGGCCGGTAAGTTCTGGGTTCGGATAGAAAAAGAGACACTGCTGACGGTTCGGTTCCCCAGTGCCAACAACCAGGGCTTCGAAGGCCTCACCTACTCCCGCAAAGACAACGCGCTCTACACCTTGCTGCAATCCGCCAGCGTGAACAACGGCGGCCTCGAGAAGACCACCAACCGCTACACCACGCTCCTCAAGTACGCGCTCAACCGAACCGGCAAAAACCCCACTCTAGCGGGAGAATGGACCGTCCCCCTGCCGCAGTACAACGACCCCTCCAAGAAGACCAACCCTCGCGTCGCCGCCTCCAGCGCGATCCACGCCCTCGGCAACGACCGCTTCCTGATCCTCTCTCGCGACGGCAACGCCGGGCGCGGCCAGGACTCCACACAGTCGCTGTACCGACACGTGGACATATTCTCGCTCGCCAGTGCCACCAACTTCGTGGGGCAATACGACGACTTCAACTCCTCATTCGCGCCGGAGGGCGTGCTGCGCTCCGAAATCGTCGCCGCCGAGTACTGTCCTTTCGTCGACATGAACCTCTCTGGCGAGCTCGCGAAGTTCGGACTCATCAACGGCGGCACAGATAATGATGCCGAGGGCCTCCTAAATGAGAAGTGGGAGGGCCTCGCTACGGTCCCCGTATACGGGGAAGAGAATGCGCACTTCCTCTTTGCGAGCAGTGATAATGACTTTATCACGCAGAATGGGTACTATAACTTTGGAAGGGATCAGTATAAGGATGCCAGTGGCTTTAGTCTGCTCAGTCAGACGCTGGTGTTTAAGATCAGTGTTAAGGGGAGGGATTAGGTGTTGGATAGGGGTACGGTGTTGGGTGGGGAGGAGTGTGCTTTCTGTTCTGATCCGTTTGCTTCGTTTGCTGGGATGATGGCTTGGATGATGGCTTGGATGATGGATGTCAAGAGATATACGGCGTGTATGATACTAGGTAGTAGAGTGCGATATGTATAATAGTTACCATGGATGGCCGATAGAATGAGGATTCGACGGTTGATTGAACATCGTCTAGACCGAGAACTCGCCAATGTCAAGAACGTCAGTTCATAATGGATAGAATGAGATGGACAATGTATGTACATGCGAGGAATTCGACGGTTGATTGAACATCATCCAGACCGAAAACTCGGCAATGTCAGTTCATGATTCCCAGTACAATCCAGTACACACCCCAGTGCACGACCCGAGGTCACGATCCAAGGTAACGAATGGAACAGGAACAGGAATAGGAACAGGAGATCTCACTCGCAAAGGTCCGTCGAAGGAAAGCTTACGTTCACATGTCGTCACTCGTATAATGATGGCACGCAGTTGATTATTAACTAATGATGAAACAAGAAAAATCGTCACGAGCATAGTAGTCTTTGCGCACACTACTATACCAGGCTTAGCACGGTAGGAAGCCGAGAGAGGGAAAGACAGAGAGAGAGAGAGGGAGATAATCACATTAGGATCACTCGTGACTCTTCACCGTGTAATAACGTGGAAAGGGAGGAAAAGGAGCGAATGCAGTGACCAGTAACCAGCAAAGTAACCAGCAAAGTAACCAGCAAAGTAACCAGCAAAGTAACCAGCAAAGTAACCAGCAAAGTAACCAGCAAAGTAACCAGCAAAGTAACCAGCAAAGTAACCAGCAAAGTAACCAGCAAAGTAACCAGCAAGTACCAGCAAGTAACCAGCAAAGTAACCAGTAATCAGTAACCAGTAACCAGTAACCAGCAACCAGTAGTCTAACCAGGAACCAGCCTCAGACTCCAGTCGACGGGAGTTGGGACCAGGCGACGGGACCAGCGGCCAGCCTGTCTAGACTCCAGTGTCCACGATCGGACATAGGTACTGCCCATTCACTCTCCCGTTCACTCACCAATGGTCTGCAACGTCCCATTCACTCTCCCGCCCACTCATCAATGGTCTGCAACGACCCATTCACTCTCAAATTCACTCACCCAGCACGAGTGCCTGCAAAGTCTCATTCACTCTCCCGTTTACCCATTAATGGTCTGCAACGTTCCATTCACCCTCCGTTCACTCATCAATGGCCTGCAACGTCGCATTCACTCTCACGCTCAGTACTTACATACCTACCTACACACCTATGTGTATAGTATCAGATGATACCTCGAGTACGGTAGAAGGCGAGAGAGAGAGATAATCACATCAAGGATCACTCGTGACTCGTGTCATGAGAAGTGAGGAAACTGAAAGAAGCAGTGGGCTGGTTCGATTTCGATCTGGAGCAGTAACTATGTACTCTATTCTACTCTACCTCTGCCAGGGGTGCAGTCGACTGGGCAACGAGAGTTCGAGTCTCGACAGAGAGAAAGAGAATGCTTTTCCATTTTATTGGAGCACTGAAGCTCGTAACGGTGCTGCTTTCCAAGATTTCATAACGATTTTTTCGTGGGTTCTGTTATACATCTGTTGAGATTCGGGAAGTAACGTTTTGTGTTGGTATTTCAGTGTTTAGTGGCAGGTCAATCCATCTTAGTGGCGGGCCAATCCATTTTATTGACGAGTCAATTCATTTTAGTGATGAGTCAATCCATTAATGACAAGTCACTAGGTGCGCCCATAACTAGCGAATCAATAACTTTATGACTCAAGTGCAAACACCACTCATCTGGCCTGGAGACAAATTGGCTATTCCACAACAATGAACGCAAGCAGATCCTCAGTTTGTAAAATTATTTCAATAATAATACTACATACAATATTTCGGCGCGCATTCTTTTTCTATATACCCCACTTTCTGTCATGTTCCCTTGTCTTCGTTGCGTCGGACCGTCGGCGTGTAAGATGCACTGTTTTTTCTGCAGGATTGCTACATATGGCTGGTGAGGGTATCGCGTAACTTTTTAGCTTCACAGCGGACATTCTGTATGCTATGTAGCTTTGCTCGATGTAGTGCCGCCGCGATAAGCAGAAGCAGCCGTACGCAATGCACGTCATCCACCAATTTGCAGCCGTACGGTTATCCAGGAGCCTATAGTCCAGGAGTATAGTACTGGTACTAGGTAACTAGGTAGAAAGGCGTCCGCAATCCACCCAGGAGCGCTCACGCCAGTCCAGTGACCAATTGCGGGTACGCAATCCGTTGATCAAGTGCAATGATCAATCGATGTCTCACGCATCGCCGACACGGTCCAATGGCATGTGCAATGAATCATAAATCATGATGCGTTGCATGGAAGCTGCCCATCTGGATTCTGTTCCTGGCGATATGTCCATTGCCCATTACCCATTGCGCACATCGATGGGATCACCGGGATCATTCAGATGCAAGGCATGGCAAGAAAAAAGCCACCGCTGCCGAATCGGCACCAGCCGGCCTCGGGGTTTCCGAATGGCAACAACCTCCGATTCATCATTCCGCTCAGCCTTCAGCCTTCAGAACCTGATGACAACCCTAAGTTCCAACCCCCCTTAACCACTCCAAGGACCGATGATGAACTTGCGGCTGAAATTTCAAAAGCTGTCCGTGGACCGTGGCGAGAGGCGTATCGATTGGGCTCCGGAGGCGGTGATGATTCCGTATGTATGTATCATGTATGTATGTACCGTCTTCCGTCCCACCGTATTACCGCTCGTATCGGGCCGCGGCGGATGTGATATGATGGGAAGGAGTACTCTAGCAGCACAAGCAGCAGTCCAAGTCTCCAGCTAAGTCGCGGGATGCGCACAGTGAGAGTCCTCGATGAGGCCTGCCACAACCCGCCCGCCCGCCCACGACCCTGCTCCTGCCCGCCCACGATCGCGCGCACTGCTGGACTGGACTGGACTGGATTGGAAATGTCATCACTCGCTTGCCCTCCCCGTGGCCACTGTCCACTGTCCACTGTCTGCCCTCCACCAGCCACTGTCTGCCCTCCATCAGCCACCGTCTGCCTTCCATCAGCCACCACTACACCCACAGACTCAAACTCATCCACCATCCACCATCCACCATCCACCATCCACCCGTCGGCCCGTACATCCCAGGAACAACCGTAGATCTGCGGTTAGCACAACTTCTCACTCGCCAGCAGTCCTCTCCCCGAGAAATCCAAAATTATGAAGAAAGGAAGGTCGTCAGCAGTATAGTTTAGTTAGTGACCTCAGCCAGCTATGGCATCAACGGGGAGCTACGAGCGAAGGATACGTATACCATCTGCCATCTATCTACCATCTACCACTGAGCGATCAGTCGGTCGGGTTTATATCATAAATGTGTTCCGGCACGAGCATGTTAGCGACTGGACTAGTGACGGCCAGAGCATGGATGCCGGGGCGGGGCGGGGCGGAGCAGGGAGGATGGAAGGGGGAGGGAGGTGATCACGCTCAGGCTCTTATATATATGTACGAAAAAGCGACTATAGCTATCTATAGACGGTGATCACAGCACCGCACAGCACCTATGTAGACAACTCCGGTCTCGGGCTCGATCTCGGGCTCGGTGTCGGGCTCGGTGTCGCGCGGGTCACTTGATATGATCCTACATACGCCGCACCGAACCGAACCACCGAACCATCGAGCCGCCGGACAAAGGGCACAGACGGTTGGTCGCTGACAGACATTGCCGCACGACTGACCGACCGACTGAACGAACGAGCGAGCGAGCGAGCGAAAGCTACGGCCGAACGATTGTGCCGTGCAGAGCACGGAGCGCTCGATCAACCGGCTGAACAGACGAACAGACGCCCGAACGAGCGAACGAACGGCCGGCGCAAGATCAAGATCAAGCCCATCAAGATCGATCGATCGACCGGCCGGCCAGAGGAACGAGTGATACGAACAGCCACACCATCGCAGCGTAGTATGTAGCTCTAAAAGGTCAGCCCATTTCATCTCACTCGACGACACACGATGCAAATATTGTAAGGTATTCGAATTCAACCTGACCCGCCCCGCCCCGCCCCGCCCCGACCCGACCCGACCTGACGACCGTAAGGAATCCAACGAAGAAAAAATGCATACAACCTATCGCTTGTTCTGGTCGTCGTGTGTGTGCGTGGGACGGATGAAGAAGCATGTGCCTCTTTCTGTCTCGACTCTTTCTTTCTTTCTTTCTGTCTGTCTGTCCTCCCTGTATATATTTGGTCGTGTTGTCCGCTGCGGGTGAGGGTCACTTGAGGGAAAGAAGAAGAAGAAAATGAAATAAAACAGAAAAGGATAAACGCCCAGAAACACCAACAAAACAAAACAAGAAAGCAAAACGAGAGGTAGTGATAGAAATACAAGAGAAAAACGGAAAGACAAGACGGACAAACAAACCCGGCGGCAGACGAGTCCGGAACAGTATGCACATGAAGACGAGTAGGAGGAGAACTCGATATGAAGGAGTTGGATATAAAACTTGTACCGCAATGTGCTGCGCTACTAGAGACCGAAGCAGACACAATCGTATCGGACAAACTCCCAGACGCCGAGTCGATGATGATGATGATGGTGATGATGATGGTGATGATGATGGTGATGATGGTATAGTGTAAAATCCCCATCAGAGTAAGTGTGCATAATAGCGGATGATTGCGTTGCCGAATCGAATTCCCCGAAATCCAAAAACACCGAAAGAAAGGGGAACCGTGTCAAATGCTGCAAAAAATAAAAATAACGCCGATCCAATGCTGCGAACGAAGATATGTGATCAACTTCACGAACGATGATTGTTTCCGCACGATGTGACAGCCACTGACCTATGCCCTCAAAGGAGCCAAACTCATGAGCAACTGCTTCAGGTCCATGATGCCCTGCTGAGTTTCTTGACGGATGCTGTGCATCTCGGACCTGAGGCTGTTGATGTCTTCACGCAGGCCGCCTATATCGTTCTTGAGCTCTGCCCGGGTTTCACCGAGGGCGTTGCCGACGGTATCGACCTTGTGATGGACGACGTTGAGATCGGAGCCGACGTGCCTGATGGACGTGTCGTGCTGGCGCTGGTTGTCGGAGACGAAGCCCACCATCCGGCGCGACTCGGTCAGGTCGTTCTTCATGCGCCCGACGCCTTCCGAGAGCTCAAACACGTGGTGCGCGAGCATCTGCATGTTCTGCACCGGATTGTAGCGCTCAAAGTCGCTAAGGAAGATGGACCGTCGGTTCATGTAGTCGTGGATCTGCAACTGCTCGTTTTCGGGCAGAGGCTCGGTAGCGATCTCGCTGTAGGGCGACGAGTTGCCGCTATCCACCGACATGCTGGGTGGGTTGTTTGTTGGTGTTTGTTGGTTGTCGTTTTGAGGACGGGTGGAGGCGAGTGAGGGGAGAGGAGTAATTGTGCTGCCGTAGGGGGTTAGTCCGAACGAGGGGGGCCATGGTATCTCTGACTGACGGACCTGAGGGCGAGTGAGAGGAGTGAATAGCCAAGCTCGTCTGGCCGAGTGGTATGGGATCCGAGTGCGCAAACCGAAGAGTGTGTTGATGTATTTTTTCGTGTACGAGTATTCCAAAGGGTGTCGTGGGTTTATTGTTTTTCAGTAGGAGATTAGTAGGGAGAAGAGGTAGCAAAGAGCATCTAGCAGGACAGATCGGGAGCCATGTTGTGTTGGAGGGTGGCGAGAGAAAACAGGAGAAGGTGCTTGGGGGGCATAGGTTTATGGGTTTATTCAACGATGCTTCGCGACGATTAACCGATGGTGAAGAGGGTGTGGTGAGGAAGCAGGTAATTGGCCGACTGAGGATGCAAGGGTGGCTACGCTAGCAGTTTATAGTATGCGCGACAAAACCATGCGATTGCGCCGACCTTGTCCGCCGTCGCCGACCTTGTCCGCCGTCGCCAGTGGGTTCCAGAGCACTTGGTACTCTCGTTGTGCTGATACACTCGCAGTTTCCGCTCAACGCCAGCGCCGAGCCAATTCCTGTCGCAGCCGGGCGCGCCGCGGGGCATCGATTCCGGGATCTTCGGACCTAGGTATATCATATGGTGTTGTACTCTATACACTACACAGCAGGGGAAGCCAGCCAGCCAGCCACAGAAATTCGCGCACTGGCTGCAGATACTCTACCGGTGCAATGCCGCGCACCAATATGTGTTGATGGTTGCACCCCTCCCTCCTCGACGGATATGTATCACCGGTGTGGCTCCCCATGTACCCACATACATATGCCTAGTCGCGTTCTCCGGAGGCTGAACTTTCCAGTTCCAACACCCATCCAGGCGCCATGTCATCTTCTTCACGCAGTGCGGGGCTTACAAGTTGCCACTTGACCGAGGTGTGATCTGGATGGATGGATGGATAGATGGATGTGCTCCGTCGTCGGTCGTGATTAGCTATTGGCACGACGTGTCACCACACCTTACTCCTCCACCTCCACTTCTGCTTCTTCCTGTTCCTCCTTGCACCATGAAGGAGGAAGGCCCCGATCGAACTGCGCCGTCATTCATGATTTAACCAGTTGGCGGGTACCCCTGTGTACTTATAGTAGCCCAGGCCACACTGCGTCGCTGCGCCTCACATCCAGTCTCTAGAAGGTGTTTATTCCGATCCTCCGCGCAGCGACCGGTCTTCAAGCTTCGAGAAGTCGAAGCTTCGCCGCACGGAATAAACAATAGACTGCAAGAACAGCAGAAAAGAAGACGATATTCCCTTCGAGAAGCAACACAGAAAAGTCCGTCGCGCGCGCGCAGTGCAGGAGTTGCGAGTTATCTACCAGTGGAAGCGGTCGCGAGGTTTGAGCTCGTATGTATGCCGGGGCTCAACAGAAAACAGGCATCGGTCAGTCAGTCGATCAGTGCACTTGCGTAACCCCACCAATCAACCAATCATCCTGGGCACCGGCCTGGGCACCGGCCTGGGCACTGGACGCTGGATGACTGCCACCACACCGCAGTGACCGCACCGCACTGCAGCCGAGCTGACGAGACGACCCGACCGATAAGTGGGCGAGAATTCGGGAAAGGCGCGACGGAGGAATGCTCGTAGAATAGGTAGTAGGAGACGGTGGGGAGGGGGGGACTCGGGAGGGGGGTCAGCTGGGTATTTATGGCAATTTATGGCACCGGAGGCTGGAACTGGAGCCGGAGGGGAGCGGGTCGGTTTCGCTTGTCGCGCGCGCTGGCGCCCAACGTTGAGTGGAGGTGTGCAGAGTTATGGTAGTACACACTAGTTGTCACCGCATCAAATCGCACTCGGATCGGATCTCGAATCGCTCTCGACTAGAATCTCGACTACGACAGAGTAGGTAGGTAAGAACGATAGTTAGCTAGTATCACGGAATTATAAAGGCTGAATCTCTCGACTCACCAGAGTGAGCATGAGCATGGGCATCTATGGCTGCTTGGTTGGTACATATACGGACTACACACTACCGGTGTCAACCGGTAGGTATCGGCCGCGGTGTACCGGTACAGCCGTAGAGATGACTGCGCGCCGGTATGACATGGTCGGTGGAAAAGTGGTGAGATTCACTCGACTGTCACTCGGCGGCGGTGGCGAAAATCGTAGTTACTAAATTTTCGATGGTTGAATAAACGAACTAGGCCGTATGTACTCTCAACACGCCTTTCTGCTGGAGGTATGTAGGTAAGTACTCTACTTCTTCCTTCTCCACTTAGATACTTGGCTACGGTAGGTAGGTGCCTGGTATTCAACCATATACACATTTAACCCGTGAGATTGAAGATTCTAGCGGCGTATGATACACGGGTTTCTTCCCATCCGACCTTGGGACCTTCAGGCTACAGAAAGAGTACCTGACTCGATAGGTACTTAGTTGGTGCGTACTCCGGTACTTACTCCGGTACTTACTCCGGTACTTGGGTAAACTAGATACCTAGTCACGTGCTGTACCCACAACCATCATCACTACCATCACTCGCTCTTGTAGATCCTGTAGATCCTGTAGCTCTGTCCATAACACGGGAAACCCACCAGTACAGCAGTGCGACACAATAGCCGGGTTTAAATGCCGCGAAAGGGCACGACTACCTACTACCTACCTATGTCGTTAGCAAAGATCACCAGGCTACGGGGGTGACTGATGGGGCTACTGTGGCTGAGGATCTTGACCTGTCCTCATTTTTGGTGGATCATCTAGGTGGTAGTTGTAGTAGAGCTTCCAAGTACTGTACCATAATTATGACCGAGAGCTAAAAGAAGAACGGAAGGAGACTGTGTGCCAGTCGGGCGAATGTGCTGGCTTAGGCGGAATCGACACCGTAGTACCGGTACGGATGATGGTTGGGCACTTGTGGGTGTCGAATATGGCATGTCGGTCTGTGAATGAATGCGTGAGCTGATGCAGATTGGGGCTTCCCTCGTCTTCCAGGGTGAATATCCACCCGAATAACCAACCGCAAGTGAGCTTGGAATCCGCCCTGGCTAGCAGGTGACCACATCTCATCACACCCCATCACTCGCGTAGTTCCAAGAATTCCAAGAAACGGTGTAGGTATATCAGCGTTTCGCCCGGCGGGGTACTGCGTGTGCGGAGGGTGCGCATAACGAGTGTGTGGATAATGAGTGTGATTTTCCTATGTAAAAATTGGTTGGTAGGCAGCGGCGCAGCATCGGGCCGTGGTGGTATGTAGAGCTTTCTCTCGACCCCGCGGAGCTGGCAGCAAAGGTTGGGAAGTTGGTGGTCGCCATGGTCTAGTAAGGCTGCATGCGACAATGAATTGATGTTCTCTCTCTCTCTCTATATCAGCGTTTCAGAGTTTCAGCGTTTGAGCATTTACATCCCATTATTAAGTCCTATTGCCGCTCCCACTTCTCCCACTTCTCATCTCCGTTCACCATCCGCCATCACCGTATCCACATCCCCATCTCCTGATGCTGCATCCGAGTCATTCACCGTCACTCCCCGTCTTTCGGACTACAGGCCACACGGCGGTGTTACACCTAGAGGAAACAGTGAACACCACCAAAGACGTCGCTATCGACAAGCAACACGCGGAGTCTGCAGCCCTGTCACCCAACAGTTTCCGCAACCCCCAAGTTCCAGCCTCCAGTCAACACAATCGACTCGCAAGAAAGCTGCAGAGAAGCGGAAAGTTGAAACCTCCCGACATGTTCAATTTCAAACAAAGCTTCTGAAACGTGCTTATATAAAATGACAGGCTTGAATGCGAAACAGAAAACCACACAACCCCCGCGAGTACGGAAAAAAAAGAAGAAAAAAAGAACAAGCACCTCATACCGTACCGTGAACCTCCCACGCACGGCAGCGAGAAAAAAGTAAGGATACCGTACCGGGCTCTCCGCACACATTATTCATCGACTAGGACCGCAACCACCGGTTCAATCAAGCTTTCCCCCTCACAGCCGGCAGCCCTCTCTCCATGACCACTTAAGCAGGATGCAAGACGCGCTCGGTCTCTCCCGTACTCGCAAAGCTCGTACCCATACTAAGCCTGGACACGTAGCTATCGGGTCTAGGGGTGTAACCGTCCGGCCTCGAAACGTAGCCGTCATGGCCGGGGGGGTGGTTGGCAAGCCCGTCGTAGCTGGCGATTGGCTTATTGAGGGCATCATCTTCGTAGCCCTTGCTCGGCTCATCCGCGGGACTCCTATCGAGTGGGCCATCGTGGAGGTTGTTCGTGCTGGTGCTATGCAGCACCGACAGCTGCGCACGCGGAGGGAGGGCGATCGGCCGCATGGGGAAGCCGCTCTCGCAGTCCTTCGAATGGCAACATGGGCCGGAATGCTTGTCGACGGGGCCGCCCGCACGGCAGGCGGAGCAGCGCTTCTCACTCTTCCGTGGGAACATGGTGCGCGGTCCGCGGTCGTTCAGGCCCCACCAGAGTGTCCACAGCCAGAAGCAGAGGTTGTATATCCTGCACGCATGTTAGCGGGACCGAAACGGAGAAGAGGGATGCGGCTGTAGTTGTGATAGGGCCTTCTTCAGCCTAACGGGGGTAACGTACATAATAAAGGTGCAGGTGATGAAGGAATACGGGTTTTTTGTATCGCTGATGATGACGCCGTTGATGACGCAAAGCATGAACCACGCGACGCCAGAGAGTGCATTTTTCATGAGCACATCGATCGGGAGAGGACTAGCTTTAATCGTCCAAACCAGAAGGGCTCCATCGAGGGCCATACAGAAGCCAGCCACCGGAATCGTGCTGGACGGTAGATATCAGTGAGTGATCCGGCATGTATGTACGAGGCGGGGTGGGCCTCACAAGAAAGCGCCTCCGGTGTAGCACACGACCAGGAGCGCCAGCATGTCCAGCAGCGCCTGTAGGGCCAATCCCACAGCACAGGCCGTCTTGTACTGAGGAGGAATTCTCAGGTCCCGATCGTCGCTAGCCGACTCGTCACAGCGGATCGCCCGTGGAGGCGGTGCAGCGCGACGAGGGGGAGGAGGGCCGATCGGCGGCGCCGGACGGCCCATGGCCGAGCCGCTGCGTGGTGCGGGCGACAGGGACGACCGAGTAATGCAGTAGTATTCTGGCATTCTCGGGTGCTCGTGAATGGAGGCTGGAATGTGCTACGCTCGTGCTGTGACGGCGGTGACTGCGATTGAGGGCTGTCACGGACGAGAATAGATGACTGGCGCTAGGTGATGTGGTGTCTCTCAGCTGTCACTGGGCGGCGGTATCGAATGAGAAGCAGTTTATGGAAAGGGAGAGTGGTGAATGCAAACGAAAAGGAATGTGATTACTCGGCGTGAAAGGAGCTGAGGGAAGGGACAAGGGAGGGAGGAATGGAGAGGAGACGCTGGTAGGTTGGTGATGGACCAGACTCTGGGGGGGATTGACGAAAGGCGGGGCACTGCAGGCGGCGATAGCTCTATGCGGGCCGGGGGGGTTGGGTTAGGATGATGTTTCCAATGCGAATGAACGGATAGAGTGATGGGTTCCCGTGCAGAAACACATGGAAGCCCGTCATGCAGGCACCGACTCGGAGACAGGGCAATCCTTGCCGAGACCGTTGCTGATGATGCAGAGCAATCTGGATGCGTCTTGACTCGTGCTGCGCTTGGCCGTCCGTCTGGGAAGACGATTGAAGCTTGGGAAATAAGAAGGCACTTTACTGCCGGCGGGTTTTGTGTGTAGGCTGTAGGTGGTGGTTATGGTAGGTGGCAGTTATGGTAGGCAGGGCATACCCAGCAGAAATACGGATACCGTGAGAAAAAGTGAGGAAGTTTTTTACATACTGTTGAGACGATTGAACCGTGGAGAAGGCGATTGACTGCCGCCGGTTCTCGCAGGCGGTGGTTATGGTGTGTAGTTACGGCAGGACGCAGCCCAGTCTCAGCAGCGGAACCGCCAGAGCCTGAGAAAGCGAGGAAGCCCCCCGGTAAAGTGCAGATACTGATGCGTGGTTTTGCTGCTGGCAGGAAACGCTCGGACGACACCCACGACTGAGAGTGCAAACAACGTGGTCGTCTGTTGGATGATTTGCAATCCAGCCGCATATGTGCAGCCTACATACAGCCTACATACGACTCTACCAGCTGAAGACCATTGGTCTCTGAAGTTGGAGAAGCGGATTATACATATGGCATCCGGTTTCCCGTCACTCAGTAACTTCTCGTATGATGGCCAGCGTCAACGTGCAGTTAAACTGCCCAAAGGCTGAAGGCTGAAGGCTGAAGGCTGAAGGCTGATTGGCCGGCTGCGAGCAGCTATCCTCACTCCTCACTCCTCACTCCTCACTCCTCACTCCCTCACTCCTCACTCCCTCACTCCTCACTCCCTCACTCCTCACTCCCTCACTCCTCACTCCCTCACTCCCCACTCCCCTCCCTGCGAAGGGCCGTTTCGACCGTTTCGATGAACCGGTGTGTGATACCTGTCGGCCTGGGAAGACGGGAGCTCGCAGTCCGCAGTGTGCAGTCCAGCCTTGATCAACATTACGGACAGAGACGGAGGCGGATAGATACGTGACTGCCTCTTCGTCGTCGAAGTCGCGTACCACTCTGGAGTCTGCAACGGTATTGCATCTAGGAGTACACACACCACCGTGCCCCTCGCATACATGCATACATGCGTTCGGCGAATGGCTGCAAGGGAAGTACTGCCGATGGGGCACCAGTCTAGAATTTTTCTTTCTTCAAAATGTGCTCGCGAATCGGAACCGTGGATTCACCCGCTGTTGACTTCCGCAGACCTCGAAGACGCCTCCTATGATCGGACCGCCGTGGTGCGTAACAAAGGCCCGAATCAGCGCAGCAGTCTTCCGTCAACACCGGTCGCCATTGAAGCTTGCGCTCCCGAAAACCCGGAGATAAATCGAGCCTATAGCCCTGTGTACACACATCATACACGGACGCATGTAGGTATGTACCCGTTGAACGTTGAACGTTCGATCGCAGGGTCCGTGTCTGCATCCATCAATGTGTATCGACAACTATTACCGAAGGCTTACGTACAAGTCAGCTGCAAGACCGGTAAACAGCTTGAGACAGTCAGCAAACCGTTGCACTGCACTTTTCTCCTCTCTCTTCTCAAACTGCGTCCGCTACACCATGCCAAGGGGCCGCCTGAGTATAGTAAGTGTGCTGCTGCGTTGTGGGCAGCTACTCAGCTAAAGCACTCGAACTACTCGAGTAGTAATGGAAAACGACAGGAAAGGAAACAGCAGGAAGTAAGTTGTTCCAACTGGTGTTCATTGTGTATCACTCGATGGGGATCGGTGTGGGCTGAGTGTTAGTTACGTGTGGTCGCCATAGGTAGTCTGGCAAGGCTGGACGAGAGAATATGTCGAAGTTCTATCTCTCTCCGAGTGGTCACATATTCGAGCTTGTTTTGCTTGCTACTTTGTACCGACCAGGCCGATAAAAGAAGCGAACGAGTTTGCTTATTGCATCGTGTTCTCCGGCAAGGTATACCTGGTAGGTACTATATATATCTGCCCCGTCTCGAGATTCAAGATTATTAGAGTAGGTACCCCAGCACCTCGAAGCGATAGATCTGCCGGCTTTGGCCCTGGCTCTGTTTCCGGCCCTGGCGAAAATCGAATCCTCAATACCCACCGTTCATTGCTCGCGATGTCCGTTGTCCGTTGTCCGCTGTCCGTTGTCTGTGGTCACTGGTCACTGGCCACTGCCCACTGATCACTGGTCGATAGTTACTTGTGGCGCTTATGTATCATAGGCACCCTTGTAAAAAAAGAAACGTGGGCGGTGGGTGGGGAAATGGTTGCGCGATTAGATTTCACAAGCGGCCTCGCAGTATTGCGCAACTATTGCATCTAGAATAACATGAGCAACGTAAAACCAATGCGGAAATAAAATGATGATAGACAGTACACCCATTTTAAATTGTAAACCCGGCAAAAAGCCAGACAATGTGTGAATTTATCATACGTTGATCTAACGCTTAAGTAAACAGGAATTGGTGGAAATATAAAAACACAAGTGCGAGATATATGGTTAGTGCTCACTTAGGCGTTTTCTTGGCATTTTTCTCCTGTTTCCGGTGTGGGGGAGCGATGGGCGAGCTGCCACGGGAGGGAGTAATGGGAGTTTGGTGGGGGTGGGGATGAAAAATGACTTGAGTCGTCCAACAGAAATGACAGAGTCAATCCGCGAGATGACTCTAGGAATGACTCAGTCAATTGGTGAAGTGACTCTAGGAATCACTTAGTCAATCCGTGGAATGACTCTAGGAATGACCCGGTCAGTTCGGGAAATGACTCTACCAATACCGTGAGATTACAGCGGTATTCTTGCGGACTTTAACACAGCCCATGTGAGCCGGAAGTGATGATAAAACCAGCGTTACCGTACAACAGCGGGAGACATTCAAAGCTAGCTGTAGGTCAGAAAGAACTACTGAGCCGGAGCATCGCAATCTCATCTCTTTTACATCCTCGCCATCTCATCTCTTCCGCTGCAAATACTCCCCGCAAACCTCTACACCTTACTTACATGCAGCTATCGTCACGAGCCGGCTGTTTTGATGAAGTTGAATGCCGATATAGATACCCACACCTTCCTACTCAGCGATCCTATCTCCTGGTGGTGTGAAGGAGCTGTGGGAGGAGGTGTCGGCAAGAGGAGGAAGTGAAGGAGGACTCCTGTCGGTGGGAGAAGACGAATGTGGTTAGTAGAGGGCACCAACGTTGGCGGGCATGGCGGGCATGGCGGGGTCGTATGCTCTCTTAGCCATCTGCCTCTTCTTCTTTTTCTTCTTCCTCTTCTTCCCCCACAACTCCTCCTCCCCCCACAACTCCACCTCCGCCCACATCTCCTCCCCCACCGCAACTACTCCCCTACCGCAACTCCCCCCACCACCGCAGCTTCTCCCCCCCCCCCGCTACTCCTCCCCTACCGCCGCAACTGCTATTCCCCCTTCCTCCGTAGTTCCCCCTCCCGCCGCAACTGCTACTTCCGCCGCAACTCTACTCTCACCGCAGCTCCTCCTTTCCCTAATAGCTTCTCTCGCTAATAGCCCATGTTTCTTATAGGTAGCTCACCTTGCAGTAATGCTTGTCCAGCCTCTGTGGATACTGGATACTGGATACTGGCCGCCGTGGATGCTGGATACTGGATGCTGGATAATGGATACTGGATACTGGCCGCCGTGGATACTGGCCGCTGGCCTCGTAGGTAGTACTAGTAGAATAGAAATCCATATGTGCTTAGTGCTTCAAGACCAATGTGAAAAATGCTGCATATATAAGCGAGAAAAAGAGCACAGTTTCAACGCTAAGCGTCATCGTCCTGATAATCAAACGTTATACTGCTGCTCGTCAACAGTCCAAAAATGCCAAGAAAACGATGCTGCAACGTTTTAGGCTCCGTTCATCTCACAATTATCTCATCCTGCTACCACACAAAGTTGATAACCATTATTTCACTAATAATTTGAGGTGGCAAGTGTTCACCTCAACCCATTATCTCGCTATTATGTCAAGTAGGGCTGCGCCACACAAAAAAAAAAGCGGGGAGTCTCCATCGACAACCTCAACCACTACCATCATCACCACCATGACGCGAAAATCAACGAGAGTACAGATATTTCAACAACTAGAACAGCAAAAACTCCTGCCTCGGCAGGAAACTTGATTCTTCGGAAGAATTTGCAACTTCTAGAAGCTAAAGACTATGGAAGCAATGATTTTTATTACACGCGTCATCCGGGAAGCGTTGCCAGAGTCAATCAACTCATACAGTTAGAGTCATTGAAAGAATGACTCTAGTAATGGGAGGAATGGCTCTAGGCAATGAACAGGAATAACTCCAGTCACCGAGCAGGAATGACTGAGTAAATCCGCGAGATTCCCAGTGGAAATTTTTTTCATCGCATTTGAGGCTCCAGGATCCTGTTACATAATGGTTCACCTCCGCTCGCTCCCCTTCAAATACTCTTACCGGCTAGCTTCTATGTAGTAGCAGCAGTAGATGTGGCGTTGCCTCAGAAGTCTGGGCGCCGAAACGACATAATGCGAGATAATGCTAAAAGCATTATGTCGCGCTACGTGCTTGGCATAGCCAGATAATGAGATAATGGCGAGATGAACGGAGCCTTAATGCACTTAAACGCTTTATTTTAACCACATAGGGAATTGCTGGCCATTTCGCTGTCTATAAACAGGATCACTTGTACTACGGCTTACAATTTTCACGGGAAAGCCTGTGAACTGTATATCCACTCCCTCCGTTAAAAACTTGCAACACGTCTGTGTATCCAACACGGACTGTACAATGTTTTGGGTGGCTTCTATAGGTTAATAATTTGACATGTGTGAGATTCTCAACTACCTATCACGATGTGGTATTTCCTTTTCCTACGGGTTTGAAAAAATAATGGCACAACAGTCGCTCCACCGTTAAAAATACCCCCCTTTTTTTACAAGGGTAGGTAGCAAAGGTGGCTGCTCGATGGCTTGCCCGAATCCCGATTCGATGCTCGACGCAGTCTCTTCCGGCGACTCGCAGAGGCTCCTTCGCTGTCGACGGTTCGCCAACTAGTATGGCCTGGAATCCTGTTGGATCTCGACTCTGTGGGATTTTGTACGCGTTTCGCGCACAACCGGGCTTTGAATCTTTGGAGCGGCGTGGGAAGACCAGCATGGACGGTCGGGACTCGGAGACGAGATAACCAGAGTACCCGCGCAACCGAGCGAAAGTTACTCCAGTCTCCGGTAAGTAAACAAGCTCGGCGGGTCGAGTCTGCGCGTCTTTCGTCGCAGCTCCATCATTATTTGCGAGGTGAAGTTCGGAGTCTTTCGCCGTCCCTCACCGTCCGCGGAGCCCACGAGCGGTGGGGGTGAATCCACTCGACCCATGAACCCATGATCTGCGAATCGAATCGCATCCACCCGGTTGACGGCCAAACTGGCGATTATGTACATAGAAAGTCTCCAGAGTCCAGCCCGAAAGGACCAGCGGCATGGTCTCCCACCACACATACCGTATCCTGAGTATCTGATAGGTACCGACGTACCGTATCGTGCATGCGGCGTTACTAGCCGCACGTGGCGCAGACTGCGGGCCGGCGGCTATAGTTAGTGGGTATGGAGCACTCACTAGAGTAGCGTATTGCTTGTCGTTGGAATGATCTGTGAGGTGTCTGATTGGTATCATCTGTTACCGTGTGTACGGTATCTCGCTCAGCGTTGACGAGACCTCTGGGTAAGTAATTGGCAACCGACGACGCCCTCCCGTGCTTTCACTCCGCCAGATCTCCCGCCTCCAGGGCGCCCGCCGCCGCCCAGCTCTCGCCTCGCCTCGTGCTAACTAACCCCAGATCCGTGCTCGAATTAGAGCAGAGTAGAGTAGCTGCAGCCGGCTGCTGCAGCCGCTACCACCTCCAGCCTAGCATGGAGTACCAGGAGCTGCCAATAAGTGGTGCCTCACCACCATTACGAATTATAAGCGCAAATAACCACTAGGCTATAGTAGGAGCGCACTAAGCCGGATACAATAAGATAAGTGAGTGGTTGTGACTAAGTTGTATGGGAAAAACGCTAAGCTGTATGGGGGGCAAACTGGTGAAGCAGCACTTACCCTTACACCCGAGTACATAAGGTAGCCAAATGATAAATCCCTGTGTGCATCGGCTTCGACGAGCCACAAACCTTGAACCAACCTTGAGACAAGAAAACGAGCTTGCACTGATGACTGGAATGTTGCGTGCGCCGGCCGGGAGTTGTTTCACCCAGAAGCCCAGAAGAATGATGCATAGAGTATAGTACACACGACTACCGTGGTATGTACCCGAAATCTTTCCACGGCGCGGGTGCATTTGCATTGCATCGCGAGCGGGCGGCGAGCGGGGAGCCAATGTTTGCTTGCATATAGGCATAGGCATAGGCACATATACCCGCCTACACAGGCCGACGAATAGCAGCGCCGATATATAGAGCATGCCGTGCAGGCAGGCAGTCAATGCGTTCCGCGATGAGTACCGGTATTTAGGAAGTCACCAAACAACATAGTCAAGTCAAAGCCTCTAGTGAACCCATGGTCCATCGTCACGACGACGTGCGCACCCCATGCTCGTAATCCTCGGCGCACCAGATGTGGATAAGGGCAAGCCCGCCCCCACGCAACAGCGTAGGAGGCTTTTCTCAAAAACAAACTCGGGTGCTGTAGGCTTCTGATCGAGGCATGTACTGAGTAGTTGTGCGGGGATATCCGCCGCCGTCGGGCCTGCGACAAACTTGACTGCAGAGCGGGGTAGCGAGTGTGGAATGTGGAATGATGTGCCTCCCGGATCTCCGTGGTCTGTCTGTGGTCACTGGCAGTGGGTTGGATGGTTAAGTTAAGTACGGTGGTCCCGTCGTATATAGCTGCGCTCTGGACTGGGCTCGCTACTACCATATACTATCTACCGCCTGACGCCTACATACAGCCTAACTACCGCTCATCGCATACCGCCTATATACCGCCGATATACCGCCTATATACCGCCGATATACCGCCTATATACCGCCGATATACCGCCTACCAGCCCACCGGTAATCTACCCATCTACCCATCTCCGCGTCTACTGTACTCGTCTCGACAATGTCTAGCTCAGCACAAGCAGCGATCACCGTCGACCCAGCCGTAGTACGTTCTTCCATGTGTACGCCTTGTTAGTGGCTAGGCCCACTAACCCGCCGCCCACCACCTCCATAGCTGGAGCACCCCAGTGATGAAGACTATGCCACATCCGGCTACGACACGAGCACGGCGAGCCTGACGAACTCGATCCGCGAGTACGCCTTCGAGAACGGTAGCCGCACCCCACATATCTACTAACTCCGAGTTGCTGATGTGATGAGTGAAGGCCGGCGCTATCACACCTACTTCGGCGCCGACAAGAACCCGCTGCCGACGGACGAGACGGAGCAGGACCGCCTCGACGTCCACCACGAGGTCTTCCTCATCCTGCTGGATAGAAAGCTGCACAGGGCTCCCATCGGGAAGTCGCCGAATCGTATCTTGGATGTTGGCACTGGGACCGGGATTTGGGCTATCGGTAAGTAACTACATACGAACGGACGGGGAAAAGGCTCCTCTGTCAACGACGCAAGCTGATGCGAGTTACATGGCAGATATGGCAGATAAATACCCGTCCGCGGAAGTTATCGGCGTCGATCTTAGGTACGACACTCTTCCCCCCAACAATCTTACCATCACACTGACCGCCACCAGTCCAATCCAACCCGGCTGGGTCCCGCCCAACTGCCGCTTCGAACTCGACGACGCAGAGCTGGACTGGACGTTCCGTCCGGTATGCACCTTCCCCGTTCTGCAATTCCCCCCAGAGTCTAACCCCTCAGGACTACTTCGATTTCATCCACATCCGCAACCTGTCCCAAGCAGTCACGAAGTGGGAGAAAGTGCTTTCGGAAGCGTACCGGTACGTATCTTGCTCAGCTCATCCTCTCCCTCCCCCTCCCAGCGCGCTAAAACCACCCACCCTAGCTGCACCATTCCCGGCGGGTACATCGAGCTCGCCGAGCTCGGCGGGGTAGCGCACAGCGATGATGGGAGCATGTCGCCGGACAACGGCGTGAAAGTCTTCCTATCACTCCTCGATTCCGGGCTACGGAAGATGGGGCGAGTAGCGTCCGCGACCGGCGAGTCGCTGCGCGCCAATCTCGAGGACGCCGGGTTCGTCGACATCGACATCTTCACGTGCAAGCAGCCGCTCGCGCCGTGGGCGCACGATAAGAAACTGAAGCAGGTGGGCGCTGTGGCCCTGTTGAGTGCTCCCACCGGGTTTCATGCCTATGGCATGGCCGTCTTTACGAGGGTACTGGGAATGGATCCAGAAGAGGCGGATATGGTCTGTAAACGCGCGACCGCGGCGGTCATGAATAAGAATAATCATATTTATACATACTTGTAAGTCGTCTACTCCTCGCGTTGGATGGGGCGAGGCTGATGGGTAATAAACAGCTATGTTGTCCATGGACAGAAGCCGACGGAGAAGGAATAGGTAGGAATGATGGCTGGTACTGGGAGGGAGGGAGGTTACATATGACGGGGACGGGGAGGGCGGGCAAATGATACATACTGGCATGGACTGGAGATCCTCATCTCCAGGTGGCTGCCTACATACATACATACAAGCAATCATTTTCTTGCTTCGAGCAAACCCACGGGCCCTCAGTGACTCACATGCACATCGGTGTCCATCTTTAACTACTATTTCTGCTCATCCAGCCCGAAAGCAAAATTGAAAAACTTCACTTGGTTGATCCGGACTCGGGAGTCGGGACTCGGGGTCACACTTGTGCTGCCCCGTTGATTGGCCGCTATACCTACACTTAGGTACCTATTGCCGTGTTTTTTGATTGACTGCTTGGTTCTTGAGCTTTGTGCTGGAATATTCGGTGATGTCCCGTGAATTGGTGATCCCGTGTTTGCTGCTATGACTCGTGAGCTGATTTGCTGGTCGTATGCATACCTGGTGCCAAAGAAAGTGGTAAGATCAGAAGAAGAAGGAGCTGCGTGAAAGGAAGTGGAATACCCGTAGCAGCTACGGCAAGGAGGATGGGAAGAAGGAAGCCACGGCCACCTATCAACCGCCACTTGTACCATCCTCTCGGCGAGTCTCGCTTCAGATGGCCGAACGGACCTCACCTTGCTCACTGCGGGCCGAAGCTTATGGCCCTTGGGCATCAACATATGGGTCACTCGTTGCCAGTAACCTTGATGTCATTGTGCAACCATACATTTCAGCAAGAATAGTTAAGTACACTAGAAGGCCCAGATGATTAAGGGCCCGTTTGGATGACACAAAATCCTTAAAAAAAAACTGAAACTGTGCGGCTCCAGCAACGAAACTGGTACTGACCTCGAGAGGTCATTTCTTTGCCGCCACTCACTATCGCATTTTAACTTCAACCATGGACCCCCTTTACGGGGAAGAGAAAAAAAAACGGGGCCACAATGTGTCCACTATTAAAGTTCTGGAGAAGCCTATTATTCAGACTTATGGCCGAGTAATCTGAGAACTGCCAAACACTCTGTTCGCCTCACAGTTCTCCGGAAACTGAAACTGGACAGAATTCGGTGTCCCGTCGGGGAACTGAATTTCGCTCTAAGACCGGAACTGAAAACTGAGGCCATCCAAACGGGCCCTAACAGTATCAAGTACCTATCGAGTATGTAGGGTCAAGTAAGGTATAGCAAAAGCAAAAGTAAAAGAATCTCTGTATGCAGGTAAAGCGGTTGGTCGAGAAAAAGTATGCAACTCTAGCAGTCAAGCAGCCATGGGGCAAGAAGAAATACAGCACAGCACGCAACGCCACCCCCTCCCCCACAAAAACAAGAAAAAGCCAGACCGAGACCGAAACCAAACTCCATCGCCCGCGCCATTTTGGAGGGCAGCAGCACAAAAGCACCGCGCACCGCACAACTCCAAACCTCTATTCCTGCTGCTGCTGCTGCTGTCTAGTGGAAGTGTTCCACTGCGGGTGCTCGTCTCCCGCGGTCCATCCACGGTTTCCGCCGTATCCGTAGACCTTGATGACACCCTCGACCATGGTCCTCATCTCGTCGACCGCCCAGTCGTTGCCGAGCTCGTAGTTCAGGCCTTCGATGTAGCTAGCCGGGAGGACTTGCACTGCCGCGCGGATGGTGTCGGAGAGGCCCTGGAGCTTGTCCGCGAGCGCGATGACGCGGCCGACGGCATTTTGCTGTTCGTCGGTACCTGCGAGGGGGTCGTCGGACTGGGGGGTGTCGGCCGGGGCGCCGCTGGTGGGAGCGGTGAGCGCCGAGTCCTGGTCGGGGTTGGAGGGCTGGTCGGGCTGCCTGTGGCGGGATCCCGACACCATATCCGCCTCTATGGATTTCGGCTGGTGTTCCGGATTGTGGAAAGACTCAACGAGCAATCGCATGGCGTCTTGAGCCCGTTTCAGTTTTGAAGTGTCGGTCTGACGGGTACCCGGCTGTGGAGTCTCGTAGGATCCGGTGCGTGGGGTGAGACGGGGGTCCAGCGTCTTCGGTGTCTCTTGATGGTGCTGATCGCGATGCGGACTCGCATGAAGGTCTTGCGTCTTCGGCTCCTGTTGCTGTTCCTTCTGCTGCTTGTACTCCAAGCGACGCTTTCCCCTCTCCTCGGCACGCTTGCGCATCATCTCCTCGTCCATTCTCTGCTGTTGCTCCAGCGTCGGGAACGCCACGCTCTGGCTTCCTCGGCTCGCTTTGGGACCCGGTAGTGACTGATCATCGTCGGGCGACTCATCCGGTGGCTCGGGAGACGTCTCCATCTCAACAGGAGGATCGTTGTGCGAGAGATCGATGAACGTGGTGCGGCGGTTCTTGATCTTGCGAGGCTCGTTTGCAATGGGTTGTGGGCTGTACTCGGAGTCGCTGTGGTCCCGCTTCTGAGCGCGAGTAGATGGGGGGTCTGACTCGATGGTGATTGTAGTCGCAGGTGGTGTCAGCAGGTTATTCTGAACAGCGCAAGACTACACTGACGGTTAGCCTCGTACAGCTCCTGAGCTAGCTGATCTCACATTTTCATGCGCCTTGACGGCCGACTTTCCTATCAGCTCCCCGCAGTAACAAATAACCGCCGGTCCAAAGAATCTCGCGTGGATTACAGTGAGATGGTCGGCAAGCAGACGGGCAGTGATGAAGATCTCACCGCAACCCTCCCACTCACACGCCCGTGAAACATTGGGCTGGCTTCTCCTATTGACGTGCGCAGACACAGCGTGTTTCTGCGAAGCATCGTAGATTCAGTCGACAGTTGGCTCGTTTGCACGCGGTAGAAGAGGGAACTTACAGCCATATTCACCACGGCATCCTTAGAAACACGGTATTCACACCCATGCCACCGACACGGCCTTGAAGATGGCACCAACTTTCTAACCGGAAGCTATCGTTGGGAGACTTCAGTTGCGGTCCCACGCGGGATAGAAGGGGTAGGGTATACCGCATCTAGCCTCCCGTCGTATTGGAGGTGCCAACGGATCAGATGATTGACTCCCTCGTCCCGGGAGGAAAGCGGCTTTCCGCAGGCTTCCCATTCACAGTTGAACGGGAACTCTACTCTCGGTATGTGCGTCACCAGATGTTCCTGTCGTTGCGGCCCATTTAGCTGATGTAAATCGCAATTCTCCACAAAAACATTCTTACACGTAGCGAGGCTGGAGTTTGGGGCGTCTTACGGCACCCAATCCACCGACAACACCCGTCCGGACGGGAAAAGACCGGTGGAGCTCGGCTGGTTGGTTCCGTTCGATTGACTGGTTCCGGTCGATTGGGTAAGCCGAATGGTTGGCGCTCCGGGGGCCAAACAGCAGAGCGTGGTGGAGGATTGCGCTTCACCATGTCTGCGGTTGTATGGCTATGTCTGCCTACCGAACCCGGCATGCGCTGACTTTTTCGATGAATGACCTTGGGTATTGGTGGCGATAGAGGGGTCGTGTCGCCACGAAGATCACGAAGGTGGGGATTTCGACAAAGAGGAAGGGATTACTGTGGGGTGACGCGACTGGCAACGCGATAGTTACTCGATCACGTTGCAAACACGGGAGTTGCCGATGACTAATCTGAGTCTGCTTCCCCATCGGATAAATTTATCGAGCCGAAGTCAGGGGGCTTGGTACATGATCTGCAATTTCACAACAATCTTGTGAAGCCGAACAACGATCAAACGTGAGGGGCTAACCGTCGGCCAAATTAATATTCTCGGAATCTTCACACTCCGAGCCCTGGATACTCGGGTACTCACTTTAAGATGTATCTATTATGTCATCCTCTGGATGCACAATACTCTACAAATCGGTTCCTCAGAGCGCTCTCTTTCCAATCAAAGCAAAAAGGGGACACTTGGCAGTTGGACGGATGAGTGTTCAAGGCTAATAATTGCTTTTGGTTGATGCACGCGTGCCGAGTTGCCTACACGAGGAATTGTTGAGCCCTCTGGATGACAGAGAGATCCTGTGCCTACAACCACCTCGGCTTGTCTTGAGTAGACAGATGTGGCCATCTCCATCTCCTCGATACTCCGACCTAAGTTCTCTTTAACAATCCTCACGACCGTTGCTATCTCCGCTGCGGAAAAAACACGTCCGACCACATCCTTGATCTAATCTCCTTTCTTCTGGAGATCCGGGGTTGCGCACTGCGATAAACTAGACTCAACCTCCTCGGTTCGTTCTCCTCCACCGACAACCGGCCGGAGCAACCGCACACACTCCCTTGGTCGACCCACCGACTCCTGTTCTGTCCTTTACATCCCCCATCCTGAGAAGTGATGGGGCCAATATCACTGTTACGATCGGTGTTCTCCCTGGACGTGTTGGACTACCGCATCACCGCCGAACTGCGCTCGTCATCACCCCCGAAGAACCGCCGATTGCCGTCCATATCTGGCCCTTCCCATTCGGGGTCATCCGCACCAGTCACAACACCGCAAAGCCCGCAGGGCTGGAAGAAAGATGATACGGAGCCGTCGAAATGGAAGTCGCCCGAGTTCTTCGCCTACTACTTCGTGTTTGCGACGTTGGTGCCGATGATGTTCAAGAAAGCGCACGATGTGAGCAAAGGTATGCACATGGCGCGCGCGCAATCGGACCCGAGGGATGAACCGTCCCGGTTTCGGTGGAATGGTCGCTAATGGAGAGTTAGAATCGCATCCGAATTTCTCCAAATACAAACACCTGCTGTCGCCGGGCTGGATTCCCGGCAGGATGGTCGACAACTCGGACCAGCAGTATGCCAGCTTTCGTAACAATATACCTGTCTTGTTCTCCTTGCTAGCGCTACACTTTGTGCTCCGTCGCATCTTCAATTTCGTGTATAGTAGGGCTTTCCCGGCACCGCCGCAGAACTCCTCCTACCGTCCGAACCACAACTTGACGCGCCGGAAGTTGTTCGATATCCTCTTCGCGCTGATCTTTCTCACGGGGTTGCACTCGCTCAGCGTCATCAAGATCCTGGTCATCCTGCTGCTGAATTTTTCTATCTCGTACTTTCATCCGTCGTCGAGACTGGTTCCGCTCTTTACGTGGGTCTTCAACATCGGCGTCTTGTTCGCGAATGAGTACTTCAAGGGTTACAGATTCCGCGAGATCCTACCCTTCTTGATTGCCGGAGAAGGCGAGGGGGTGGGTTATTGGATGGACCATTTCATGGGCGGCGGGATTCTGAGCCGGTGGGAAGTGTCATTCAACATCACAGTATTGCGGTTGATCTCCTATAACATGGACCACTACTGGGCGGCGGTACGACGAGATGAGGGCGCCGAAAGGGAGGCGGGAAGTGTTATCGAGGTAGGTCGTCTGGCAACAGCTCAACATCATTCCGCGGCGGAGGGGGAGGGAGAAGGCGGAGAGAGAACCGATCCTGAGCGCGCAAACGGGGAAAACGACGATGAAGCGGTGGATGACTCGGGCGATGAAGAGCGGCTGATGTTGAACGCGGAATTAAAGAAAAAGCATGCGGATCCTGCCCACGTGGATGAGCGTGATCGCATCGAGACTCCTGCCAGGCCAGAGGATTACAGCTTGTTGAACTACCTCGCGTACATCCTCTATACGCCGCTGTATCTCGCTGGCCCAATCTTGACGTTCAACGACTTTATCCACCAGGTGTGTTATCTGTTCGCTGACACCATGGTTCCGGCTGCTAACTGGACTCATTACAGCAAAAATACTCGACTCCGACGCTTACCGTCCGGCGCAGCCTCCTCTACGCCGTGCGCCTCGCCTTCGCCATCCTCAGTATGGAAGTGGTCCTTCACTACCTCTACGTCGTCGCGATCTCCAAGACTGCATCCCGCGGCAGCTGGGCAAACGACACCCCGGCGCAGCTCGCCATGATCGGCTACTTTAACCTGCACATAATCTGGCTCAAGCTCCTAATCCCGTGGCGGTTCTTCCGGCTGTGGGCACTCGTCGACGGCGTAGACCCACCCGAGAACATGCTCCGTTGCATGAGCAACAACTTCTCGGCGCTCGCCTTCTGGCGCGCCTGGCACCGCTCCTTCAACCGCTGGATCGTCCGTTACATCTACATCCCCATCGGCGGTGCCCAAAGACCAATCATCAACATGGTTGCGGTTTTCACATTTGTCGCGTTTTGGCATGACCTAAGCTTCAAGCTCCTCGCGTGGGGATGGTTGGTCGTGCTCTTTGTCGTTCCCGAGATCCTAGCGCGCAAGGTTTTCAGTCCGAAGAAATTCGTGGGCCGAGAGGTCCTGTACCGAAATCTGTGCGCGCTCGGAGGTGTGGCCAACATTCTCATGATGATGTCCGCCAACTTGGTGGGGTTTGCGATTGGCGTTGATGGGCTGAAAGATATGATGAAAGGTGAGCCCCCACTCCTTATTCCGAGCGACCGCCGCCCACTGACTGAATTCCTGCGGCAGATATGTTCTCGAGTTTCCACGGCTTCGGCTTCCTCCTCCTCGCGCTCGTGGCGATCTACGTGGCTGTGCATATCATGTTTGAGCTCCGTGAGGCGGAGAAGAGGAAAGGTGTGGTGCTGAAGTGTTAATCGGTCATTGTTTTCTGTATACCTACTATCTTTTTGTATACCAACTATACCTACTATCTTTTCTGTACATGGTTTAGGAATGAGGGTTATGAGGGATGATAGATTCTACTTGCGCGGTTTACGGTGTTTCTTGTTGGATATCCATTGGTACGGTTGTGGGGTTAATGGTGATGGGATGAGCGTAAAATAGTAATGAAATCTCGGGGATTGGCATGATACATAGGCGCAATAGTCTGTGATGAAGATAAAGTTTCCTCGAACTTCGTATGTACGACCGCAGAGAAGCCGCATAAGCCACATGGTAACTGCTCTAGAATCCAGATCCTTGCACTAAGCACACTGCACTTTTTTTCCCACCTCAATCTCGCACGACGGTCCCCACCACGACAAACCCGACAGCGCCAATGTCCCTCTTCAACGACAACCTGACCACGTCAGGCGCGGCGCCGCCGGCCAACGTCTTCAAAATCCCGTCTTCGGCCTCGCCCACAGCGAAAAAACGAAAGCACATCAAAACGTACGGCAAGCCGTCGAGCGCGAAAAAGCTTCTGCCCCCACCAGATCGCGCGTCCCCAACATCGCCCATACCGGCAGAGCAGAATGGCGACGTGAAGGAGCCGGCGGAAAAGTCAAACCGCCAGAAGCGCAAGGAGCTCAAAGCCGTGGCGTTTGGAAAGAGGGTGGAGGGGTTGAAGCAGACGGATCCGAAAGATGTTACGGTGAAGGATGGTGGAGATGACGCTGAGCGAAGGAAGCGCCTGCGAGAAGCGATGGGCTCTGGCGCCACGGCGAATACGGGGAAGAGACGGAAGCTCGCTGCACCCGCGACAGAGTTTCCGCTACTCAATGGCACGGCAACACCACGAGTGCTGGACCTCAAGAGACGAGACGGGCCGAAGGTTTTCGACCGCAAGAAACGTGACGAGTCGTCGGCATCCCCAGTGGCCGGAGCCGGCACCGCCGCACAGCTCCTGAAGCAACGTGAGCAACTGCCCATCTGGCAGCACCGCGACGCCCTCCGTCAATGTCTCCGTGACCGCAACGTCCTCGTCATGCTCGGAGAAACTGGTTCCGGAAAGTCGACACAGATTGGGCAGTTTCTTGTTGACGAGCCGTGGATGAAGCGGGGTGGATGTATCGCGATTACCCAGCCGCGACGAGTTGCGGCGATCAATCTTGCGCGACGTGTGGCGGCGGAGATGGGTGTGCGCTTGGGAGAGGAGGTGGGATATTCGGTCAGATTTGAGAATAAAAGCTCGGATAAGACGCGGATCAAGTTCTTGACCGATGGAATGTTGCTTCAGGAGATGCTCAGAGATCCGCTACTTAAGAGGTATTCTGCGGTGGTCGTCGATGAGGCCCACGAGCGCACGGTGGGGACGGATCTGGTCATGGGATTTTTGAGGAAATTGGTGTACGGCGAGAGGCGCGGCAAGCTGAAGGTCGTCATCATGAGTGCTACGCTTGAGATGGAGGCTATGGCGAGGTTCTTTGAGGAGAATAAGGGGGCTGGGATTGAGCTGCCGGCTGAGGAGATAGTGGAGGAGACCCCCGAGGCAATGGAGACGACACCGACGAACATTGAAGAACCAACCAATGGCGATGCGGAGAGCGACAAGATGGCCAAAAAGAAGAAGAAGAAGAAAAATAAGGGACAATACAACCCAGCAGATCTCATCCGCTCCCGCACGCCCTCTCCCGTCCGGGAAGTGGTCAAATCGCCAGAACCGGAAGCCGATGGGAAGCTCGAAGGAGTGATTGCTAAGGACGAGCGCGTGGCACCGTATTTCGGGAGTGTTGCTGTCTTTGAGGTGCCCGGTCGGCAGTATCCGGTCGTTATGCACTACCTGGAGCAGCCGATTCAGGATTACCTTGAGGGGACGCTGAAGGCGGTGTTCAAGATTCACTACGCCGAGCCGTTGCCGGGAGATATCTTGGTGTTTCTGACAGGTCAGGAGGAGATTGAGACACTTAAGAGGACGATTCAAGAATATGCGACGAAGTTAGAGGCGGGGGTTCCTAAGGTTCGCATCCATTATTTCTCTCATCCGTACATCGTATTGATTGTGCGTAGATGCTTGTGCTCCCTCTCTACGCTCATCTGCCACTGGCCCAACAGAGCAGGATCTTCCTGCCTACCGGCGAGAGAGATACCCGCAAAGTGATCCTGTCCACCAACATCGCCGAAACCTCCGTCACGGTACCAGGCGTGCGGTATGTAGTTGATTGTGGTAAAGCAAAGCTGAAGCAGTTCCGTCCGAAGCTGGGACTGGAGTCGCTTCTCGTGACGTCGATCTCGCGGTCTTCGGCTCAACAAAGGGGAGGACGTGCGGGTCGTGAAGCTCCTGGAAAGTGCTACCGTCTCTTCACCGAGGACGCCTTCCACGAGCTCAAGGAGGCTACGAAACCAGAGATTCTACGAACGGATTTGGCACATGCTATTCTCACGCTCAAGGCCCGTGGCCAGGATGATGTGGTCAACTTCGACTACCTCTCACCCCCCAAAACGGAAAGCTTGATGACTGCGTTAAACCAGCTCTACTCGCTCGGTGCCTTCAACGAAGGCGGCAAGATTACCACCATCGGTAAGAAGATGGCCAAGCTTCCACTTGCCCCGCCCCTCGCACGTGTCCTTCTTGCCGCCGCCGAGTCCAACCTCTCCTGCCTTCCCGAGGTCGTCGACGTCATCGCCGCGCTCTCATCCGACAACTTGTTCCCGCAGCCCGCCAACGACGAAGACCGCGTCGCAATGGAAGAAGTCCACAAGGCCTTCCGGCGCAGCGAGGGCGATCACATCATGCTCCTCGAGGTCGTCCGCGCCTACGACTTCACCATGTCCTCCTCCTCAAACTCGACCAGCATCAAGTCCTGGTGCGCCACCAACTACATCTCTCTCCCCGCCTTCAAAAACCTCCTCGACATCCGCAAGCAACTGCAACAATACTGCATCTCCCTATCACTTGCGGACCCCTCCTTCTTCTCTTCCATGTCCTTCGATGTCATCTCCCCCGACCTTGCCCAGCGCGTTCTCAAATCGTTCCTGCGTGGGTACTTTCACCAAACTGCGAGAGCCGCCCCGGACGGGAGGGAGTACCTCACTGTTCTCGGACACCAGACAGTCGCCATCCATCCGGCGAGTATTCTGTTTGGCCTGCGCAAAGAAGCGATCGTGTATCACGAATATGTGTACACGTCTCGTCCGTTTGCGAGGTGGTGCTCGGCGGTGCAGTTGGATTGGGTTGCGGAGGCGGCGCCGGCGGGAGCTAGGGCGGATGTTTAGATCAGAGATGGATACTAACATAGAGTATGTTGGTTTTTTTTTTTTTTTTTTTTTTGGGGGGGGAAGCACGTGTTTACTGTTTTAAAGATGGATTACCTATGGGGAACCTTAAATAAATGCGATGAGGAATAGTTTCTGCTCACCGCCCGACTTACAGCTGAGTGACATCAGGTGTAGAAGTATTAGTTAGCCAACGCTTGCACACTGTTTGGCCAGCTTCGGTGGTAGATTAGTGAACAACAATACTGGGTTGATAACAGTGCCGAAATGATTGGCGGAAATAATGGACTTCTGATTGTGCCCAAGTCCTCCACGTCGGCCAACTCCTCCGACCCCACATCACCAAGTACAAGAGGGATGAGACACATCTATCCGAACACCACGACCGTCACCGGCGCCATTGCCGACAGGCATGAATCACCATTCAAGCGATTCATCAAGCTGAAGGGGATTCACTACCCCTCATCAAAACCAAACATGCATCTAAAATCCAAATCTCTAATCTTCAAAATATCAAGACATCAAAATAACTAAAACTAACGCAGTGCGAAATCCAAAATTCTCAAAAAAAAAACGGTCCAAAACTAACCGCCAAAAGAACTTCCCCCCACTACACCGACCCCTCTCTCCGCTCAACAACCTTCCCCACAAAAACCTCCATCCCATTGCCGCCACCTCCGGTCCGATTCTTCATAACCAGCACCTTTGCGCCCATTTCAATCCACTCGGCACCTGCCAACTCAAAGCCAAACCGTCTCACCGCGTGTCCACCAGCAATCTCATCGTCATTACCATCATCGTCGAAGCCAAACATATCCACCTTCTCGGTAGCGGGAGGGAGATGGTGTATTGGCGGCGGGTCGACGGAGACGACACGTGCTACCGCGCGCACGGAGGCAATGTACACTATCACATCTATCCCGACGGCGATACTCATAGCGGCAGTGTCGTTGTCGTCGAGTTCCGCGGAAAAGCCGGTGTACGATTTCATCCACGGGGATTTCCCGGGATGGGAGCGGTTGAGGATGACGTTTCCTTTTCGCAGCCGCAGTTCTTCGGGCTCCTTCTCTTGCGGTGGGGAGGCGAAGGTGACGGCCTTGAATGGAGAGCCGCGACGGCAGATGTCGATTGGCTGTGTGACAGGGGATGGGTCGGCGGCAGTTATGGTTATGAGAGTGTCAGGATCGGAGGCGGATTCTTGCTCCTCCTCGTCGATAGGGATTACGCCAATAGTGCCCGCTTCCGTAACGAAGAGTGTCGTTACGGGAAGGCGCAGGCGCCGTACGGAGACCACGCGCACGAGCCGCCATTCGTCTTCTTCGATGTCGTATCGTCTCCGTCCGCGACTGCCGGGTGGGCTGCGGCCAGCACTTTCATCGCCGCTCTCGGGGGAGCGGGAAAGGAGACTTCCGTGGCCACGGCCGGCAGACACCGATAGCAATGAGGAGCCTAGCACTGTTGGAGTCGCTATTGGAGTCGGTGTCGCGCTACGAGACCGATGGGTTTCGACGCCGGAGTAGAACGGACCAACGACGAGTTTATCTCCGATGGAGACCTTGCCGTAGCGGACGTGGCCACTAACTACTGATCCGCCGATTTTCTGGTCTGAATCGGTGGATGGCTTCATTCCGTAGACCTCCTCGACATGGAACAGGGTCGTCAACTCAGGGTCCCCTTCAAACTCGTCGTCTTCGGCGCTAGCCTCGATGTTTCTGCCGCTTCCGGTGATGGCCAGATCTTCAATCCCCTTCATGACTCCGGTAAGACTGGTATTCGGCAGCGGACGGACTGCATCATCGGCGCACGGAAGTACCGGAGGCTTGGGCATAGGCAGGTTCATCAGCAGGTCATGGACCAGATTGATACCATCACCTTTCACTGAGCTAGTAAACACGATGGGAACCGCAACGTCAGGCTCTGCCGCAACCGCTGTGCAGGTATCCATAATCTTTGCAGACTTCTGGACCATAAGCGGCCTCTTTCCGGATGCCTTTAGTGTGCTCAGAACGCTTGACAGTACTGCCCTCAACCCAGTCTTGGACGCGATATCCATCTTGGTGAAGATGACGATGAGTGGAAGATCAAGTTTAATGCATAGCTCCATGTGGATACGACTGGCATCGCTAAGCCCGGGGGTGCCGTCTTCGCTCTCGCAGTCGTTCGCAGGAATGATAATGGCGGCATAGTGAGGCGCCCATCCAACCAAGGAGCGAACTGTAGTCCGACGATACTTGAGTTGTCCAGCGGAATCCGACATGAAGACAATTCTTCCACCCTCGGCCGCACCATGAATATCAGTCCATGAGGAGATATTCCCGGTAGCGTAATTGACCACCCTTGATGCGCCATCATCGTCAGGCTCTGGTTCCGCACCCCCGAAGAATCCGCAGTCTGCATCCTCGTCGCTCGGCGGTATCGAACCTTCCGGTTTGTATCCTACAATCTCCCAGGCAACCGAAGAGGTAACACCGGTAACCAATTCATGCCTGTGTCTGAGTAAAGAAAGCCGGCTCTTTCCACGCCCATTATCCAGATCCCCGGTAGTCAGGGTGCCCAACAGGGTACTTTTCCCGCAGGTAGTGGATCCCGTCAGCGAAATCCTCAGTTGCTCGGTATGATTCGATTCGGCCGGCCGTGAATCCCCACCCGAAGTAGCATCCATTCTATTGGTCCCATCATAGGGTTTGATGAGTGCTTCCGCGACCCACAGCCTCGCCCCCAATTTCGGAATGTGGAACTTCTCGGCATCGGCAGGGTCGACCTCATAATGCGCCAGGTCCGGGACTTCTTTGAAGTTTTTCCCCCTCCCATTCTTAGCCTTCCCACGCGCTCGCGCGATCAAATGCTCCGCCAGTTTAAACTTTGCATGGTCGACATCCCTTTGTTCCACCGTCTTGACAAAGACTTTCCGTGTTACGGTAACGCTGGTTCCGAGCTTTTCGGCCATGGTGCGCAGCACGTCGAGTGATGCCTCCAGCTCTTCCTCTTCTAGTCCGATGAATGTGCCGTCGTCCGCGATTCCGATCTCGTAGAGCGCACCTTTCGATTCCTGAAGGAGCGAGCTGATGGCCTCGGGTGACTTCGATGCAAGGCTAGTTCCGTGGTATCTAATCGCGCGCGCGTCAGCGGCAACATCCACCATCACAGACCGCAGTAAAGAGTGACCTACGAAGTACTCTGCTGTAATCGCCACAGCAGCTGGGTAGTCAATTGCTCCAAGCGGCCCTCACTCTTCCCACCTCTCACCAGACTGAGCTTGTACTCGGTCGGGCCGATCTGCGGTTCTGCGGCAAGGCCATGAACCGACTCGCCATCCTCGGTCATCGCTTCCCCACTGTCCCCGTTCACGACCAAGCCGCTACGGCAGCGCGAGGACGACGTTTTGAGATGGCCCGGGACATCGGTCATGACCTGTTCTGGGTCATCGGAGGAGGGTTGCGGCGTTGTGGACGGCGAGCTCGTCCACGGGGATGCCGGCTTCGGCGGGGACGGGTTGTAGGTAAAGATACTGGACATGGTGGTTTGATCGCGGGTCTATGGGGGATGCACCTCCGGGGATTATCTGCGCGCGCGCATTGGTAAGTTGTACTCGTAACAGTTGGCCACCGAGGCTGGACATACCTGGTTTTTAACACGAAGGCCGCCCTTAGATGTCCCAAATCCTTTCGGTCCTTCAACAGAGCAAAGATTCAATTCAGATGGAATAAATTGGCAAATAAGAGAAAAAAAAGCGGATTGTTCTCTTCAAACAGCTCCGGTAAGGGTAAGGAGATGACGTTGGTTTAGATTGCCTATCAGGGCAGCAAGCAGGAGTAATAGATGCAGTATAACCAGGAACCAGGTTGTTTTTGTAGTTATGCGGTGAAGATGGAACATCTTGGGGTAGAGTGGGATGCTGAAGCTACTGTTCTTCCTTTGGAGTAGGTGAGAGGGGAGTTGCCGAGCTGATGCAATGCTGAGTTACTAGATGGAAGTAGCTAGAGCGCCAGAGAGCTGGTGGGCTGGATGGGCTGAGGATTTAGGCGGACATCGCGTTTATCGCGTTCGAGAGGTTTAGTAGTCGTGGGTATCCGTCGTCGTTTGAAGGGAGGAAGTGGTTGAATGGGCGGGAATGGGGGGGTGGAGGGGCCTTTAGTAGGTAATGGCTTCTTCAAGTCCAGATCAGTCAGTCATCCACAGGTGGTCAATGACTCAGGTTTGTGAGACACTCAGGGCCTATTATTACATACGCGTGATAGGCAGAAAGTTGATCAGGAGAAGGAAGCGGAGCCCACGACTTTAGAACCCAAGCTTGGTGTTGCTATTTGGCGATCTGACAGCTCTCCGGGGGCAGTCGGCTTGCGCGCAGATGTGGTCAGAAGCAAAGGAGACACGAAAATTATCTAGAGCCGCACAGGGAAGGAGCCAGCCAGCCAGGCTAATGACCGACATGCAGCCAAGACATCAAGTGACTCATAAATCGTCATTCGACCATAGGGCCGCTGCCGAAACTCTTATTGAAGAGTGAGGGGTTATGATGATGACTAATCTCACCTGACTTCCCGTGCACGGTTTGTATTGTGGAGCGAATATTCGCATGGAATATGGATGGCGAAGGTTGGCATGGGATATGAAGACAAACCTTACAATCACTGCCCATTATTCCGAACTTCTAAACTCCTTTGGACATTGTAAGGGAGAATCGTCTCCGGAAAAGGCTTAGGAAGCATGTTACTCCAAACAAACCGGCTGGTTGATGGGTGAGTTGGTACATAACCGTTCAATATGTAGGGTAGGTACATCCCTAATCGCATCATATGCAAGAGGTATTGCTTCTTGGTATATCCACCGCTCCAAACCACCAGCGTGACCTGGGTACTAGTTATGCTAATCGATTAGGGATGTCACTTTGTCAGAGCGTATGATAATCGTTTCAAGCCGATCCGATTCCCTTGTGCAGCTACCGGAAAATAACAGAATTGACCGGAGTCTTTGGCCATGGCTCGCAACCGAGGCCGAAGGAAAGACCATTTCCTTCGCACGGTGGACGAAAGAAGTACATAACGGTGAAAAGGATAAACCTCCCTCGGTGTAGCTTGCGAGGTTCTGGCGGATGTTTCCGCAGCGGAAATATCACCTTCGTTTTTTTGTTTCCCTCGTCCGGATCGTTTTTTCTGGGAGGCAACATATCAGTTAGATGAGCCAAGGGACAGAAGGAAACATATCAACCCAAAGAAATGGTGTTAAATGGTTGATGAATAAAAACTGAGGAACGCAATGATTTTCAACATTTGGGAAGGGTTCCAAGAACTTTTGCTGCCAGTCCTGATCAACATTTACTGAGTGACAGCACCCGGTGCGACCTCCGTGAAGCTTATTCGGAGTTATGAAGGTTGGCGTCATCAAAGGCTTACGGTTATACACAAAAGGTCACTCGTAGGACGAGTGATAATATATGAGTAATATTTATTCAGGACGAGTTGATTTTGCTTCTGTCGGCCCGAGGCGGATGGGCAGGGGAAGTGGGGCGCCGCATCAGACTGGCCGATACTGGGGCTTTCACCTCGACTGGCCAGGGCGGGTAGGAAAAGGAGTTCGTTGGTTCGCCATACCTAGTCTAGATAGGCTGCATGCGAAATAAAACAGGAAGATCTCTCTCTCTCAAGACGAGTTGGATGTTCACAGCTTGTAGCACCGCACTTAAACTTTGATCGAAATCATTTTATATCGTTCTCCTCCACTCGCTCTCTAGTGGTCATCTCATGGCACCAACACTCGGTTGCCCTTTGGTGTTCTTGTCCTCAGGTGCCCAATGTATGTAGAAATCGTGGTTCCTCTTGTAGCCCACAACATCCCATTTCCTTCCCCACGATCTGTTTACAGGTAGGCGGTATGATATTTCACTTCCAGTGTTGTAGCAGTCAACCGAAAGTGATGTGTACAAACGACGCCTAGATCTGACGGTTCGGAGCGGCAAGGTCAAGCCCAGATATGGCACGATACAAGTGCGAAATATCGACCGTGGACCAGCGCTCGTGCCGCGAAGCTACACACTGGTTCCCTAATCCAGTGACCGGAGTTTCTGCTGTGTGTATCAAACCACTCTAGGGCGGGATGGGAATGCCGGTGCCTATCATATATCGACATCCAAACTGTGATCCGGCAAATATTTCCAGCACAGTTTAGCCATACAGACAAGACCGGAGGGTCAATCTTGCTATCAGAGTCATACCATCAAAGATGGCATTTGCCCTCACCGAGTCTGTGGTGCACATGGGCGGCGGGAGGCAATACCGAAGACGTCGTTGAGCCAATGAGACCGCTGTCACGACTGGAGCCGTTTGGTGTGAGATGGTAGGGCGAGATCGGTGAGCTGGAATGGGGTGGGGTCTGACAGACAGCTGATGGTAGGAAGTATGTGTTGCCGCGTGGAGGTTGTTGTACGGAGGCGGGGAGGCGATGGAACACAGGGTGGCTGCCATGGCAGATGCTTTGGTGCGGGTCAGTTGCTGTACGAGGATGGCGTTCTCACGGATAGGGCGTTGCCAATGATAAAAAGCAAAGGAACACAGGGTGGCTGCCATCGAAGATGTCTGGGTGCGGGCCAGTTGCTGTACGAGGATGGCGTTCTCACGGATAGAGGGTTGGCATCGATATACATAAACGGCTGTACTTCCCCCACTAGGTAGCCCTCGACTGAACGCAAACTTGTGTTTCTTTAAATCACTGATTGTCATCTGCGCCTCCATCATGCATCCTCGCCTCAATCCTACTCATATCCCCCGCACATGTCATGAATCAACGTCATGCTCGCTTCCAGCAGTTTCCATGGCCTGGAGCACTGGGGGTGGCATCTTCCGTGGCCTAAAAGATTTCTGATTCAACCAATGAGTTGAAACCTCTTCTTTTCTCATTACGTTTCTTCCTGACACGAATGCCCCCGATTCCCCGAAACTGCACAATTGAATCCGAATCGTAGTTCTCATATAGCAATCGAATCTGCAATCATGAGTCTGGACAGGACACAAGACAATGTTCCGCGAGGATATTTGGAATTTTGGACTGTAGAGGTGGGGGAGGGGCGCACCTATTGGAAGTCAGATGGTAGGGAGCTGACCGTACGTGAGCATGTATATGGTCTACCTCTATTGGATAGTTAGAATATGACGGACGACGGTCCAACAGCCGGGATAGCCGCGGTGGCCAAATCTAGTAGTTAGACGCTGTGTGACGGTAATATAGTAGTGGCTCACTTGATTCGACTAGGCCCCTCGGTTGAGATACCCGGAGCCGTTCAAGAATACTCTACCGTACGCAGTCACTCTTGGGTGATTCTGTGCTGCGCATGGTTTACATCTCCCGAAACAAGCGAGCCCGGTGAGCTGTAAGCGCCGCGAGCCTTTTCTCGACGCCGTTCCGGCCTAATTGAACCAAGCATGTGTGGTGGTTAAGTGAGAAGGGCCTTCCCTTATAAGCCATTAGGAACCGAATCCGGCCGCACTGGGTGGCCGGCGCTGTCAAATGCTCATGTACACGCGTGCAGCGGCAAGATTTATTGGATTTCTGTGCCGGGTCCCAAGATCTCACACCAGGCTTGTGACCGTTGTGTATGTTGCTTACAACCTAATCTCTAAGACACATACCGGTAGTCTGAGGAGAGAAACACCAAGAACTCTGGGGGAGGGGGTTACTAGATTCTCGACACACGGGGCGGGTGGATGTATTCCCGTGGAATATGTTCTTACAAGATCTGGAAGGCGGGACTGGGTGGTGGGGGAGGACCTGGCCTACAGAACTGCGTATGATAAGCATTCCAGCTTCACCGACCAACTATCAGACCTTATGCAAACACCATTGACAAGACACGCGGCTATGACGGCTGTCTGATCGATCAGCTTGCGCCGCAGACTCTACGGCGCATGCTGCACACACAATTCTAATCCTCTCGGCGCTTGGGGGGAGATAGACAGTGACAGCTATCGTCCACTGTTTCCCTTGGATATCTGATTCAGTGTTTGTTGGACAGACTGCGCAAAAGTAATCCGTCCAGTCCATGGATATCATGCACTGGATACGACCTGCAGTCGACTGCAGTCATTGCAGTCCGATGTGCACTTGTTTGCACAGATGACCGATAAAAAAACACCTTTGGGGGCTGAAACTTCCATATCACGCAGCATTCTTGCACGTTCTCTTCTGCCATCGTACATTACTACGGCGATTGGAATGCTTGAAGAGATTGCAGAGAGATCGCTGCATTGCCGCCTATCGGCAGGATGTCGAGGTAATGGAGGAGATGCTTCATGCTTTGTGCTTTGTGCCAGGAGGACCCTGAGTAGTTCGGGTGTGCTTATGGTCATGTATGTACGTTATCAAAGAAAAGAGCAGACTGAGTCTCACAGTACGCATTTCTGTTCGACAGCTTTGAGTGTTTGCTTCTCTACCTCTGCCGCCCCCAGAAAGCCCATCGGGATGTAGGAGTCGACACGTAAGCCTTTTTCTTCGTTTCTTGGTATTGGACTGCAATCCATTCTGCCCTGAATTTTCTGGACAAGTCCGTCCGAACAATGCCCCTAGACGTACTGCCAAGATAATTCCAGTCCAGCCCGAGGTTCAGGACGGACGGACTGGAGTATGTCGACCACTGATCTGGTCCTAATCTGGCCAGGATGACACCGGTGGTGGCCAGCCTTACTCCGCGGCGCCATAGAGTTTTCCCGCGCGAAATTCCTGGCTCCAGATTCCAGTGTCACGCCACTACGATCATATTAAGATTTATATCAAGATTTATATTGTGTTCCTCTTCTCGATATATCTCGGTCTGATGAAATCGTAAACAGTAATGGCTACGCAGGCCTTCCGATCTGGCGGAGATACAAACACAATCGTCGCCTTGAAGACGGTAACAATGATGCGTGTGCATGCCATCTGGTGATCCGGGTATGATGCACCCACGGATACCTGGTGCACACGCCGCTTGGACGTCAATGCTCACCACCCATTCCCTGTGGTTGTTTTTTGGCACTCGAATTACGGCGCTTTGGGCTGTTTGACAGAGAAGCGGAATCAAGACGGTGTCGATGAATCCGAAAATTCTGCTGTGCCGCTCAACCACCGAGTAAAAACATTGTATGATACGTATTTGCAAGTTGAAGGGCCATAATGCGTTAAACCGGCCACTATTGGCGTTTAACACTTCACCCCGCTACAGCCCATGTGCACCGGGTTTTCTTGACGAATATAAAGGTTGCTTCGCCAGGTCCTCGGGTACAGGCGAGCTCTTTCGTTTCCCTTCCATCTTACGCCGCACGCAGGCTGCAGCTGAGTAGGGATCCATGGATCCATCCTTTCGTCTGGTGGACGGACCATATCACCGTGACCTCACGTCTGGCGCGGCACTTCCTCCCCCGGGATGACGGCACACAGACACACCCACACAGACACACCCACACAGACACACCCACACAGACACACCCCCACATGCCCCGGAGAAATCGCTTATGCGGCGGACTCAGGGACCCTCCAGGTCCATCGGCCTCGGAGGGATATCAGTGCGGGAGGCAAGAATGAACTTCAATGAGGTCCAGCTCGGCTTGCGTATGCCTAAGCAACCACCACGGAGAACTTGCGGGGGATAAATACTAGATGTATTCCAGATTTCTCAGAAGACCCAATCTAGCCCCAGAGCATTGTACAGCAGCAAATCCAGCGGAACGGAACGAAACGGCCGGCCTCTTTTCTAGTCAGTGACTTTGATTATATATTTATTATTATCCAATATGACGAGCGGTGGTGATACCAAGCTCCCGACTCTTAATAACGAGGGCCTCTCGGAGTCCTCGATTAATAAAGACGGCCACTCGGAGCCCTCAATTAATAGCGTTCAGCGTGGCAGCGCTGCTTTAGGGTATGCTTCTTTCCCTGGCCTGGCCTAGGAGTTCTGCCATGTGGCGGAGTTCGACCGATTGACTTTGTGCACAGGTCGTCAGCAAGCTCTTCCTACACGGAAACGTCAACTGCCACGCCAAACAACCGAGATGCCAGTGTGGAAATCTTGCCAGCCGCGGTCCACAGACCAAATGACCCTGAGAAAGCCGAGTCCCAAGAAGACGGAGCAACCGTCGACGTCGAGAAACAAGAAGATTGGACTGTCCACGCAGGGCATGAATTAGCGGAGAAACGTCATGGCTCGGTGGCACGGAACATTCGGTATCGGTTGATGTCCGTCTACAGACGACTGTTCTCGATTGTATTCTTGGCGAACTTGGGGATGGCGATAGCGATTGCGGTGACGAAGAGGTGCACGGTGGAATGGCTGGCGGCTGCATGTTTGGGAAATTTGACGGCCACTGTGGTGATGCGGCATGACCATATGGTCAATATGTTGTTCCGGAGCTTTGCGTCGGTGCCGAGAAGCTGGCCTCTGTGGATCCGGCGACACTGTGCGAAGGTCTATACTTTCGGCGGCATCCACAGCGGCTGTGCGTTCTTTTCGGTTATCTGGTTGATCTGGTTAACTGGAAGCCTCACTCACAATTACTGTCACGGCGTGCAAATCGTAAGTCTAACCTGCCTTATATCTATCTATTATTCTGGACTGACTCTATAAAGCAGGTAACGATGCCCACCGTGGTCCTCTGCTGGACCGTGGTATTGCTGCTCTGTCTGATGACCACCTCCGCCTACCCCACCGTCCGCCAGCACTACCACAACTACTTCGAGATGACCCACCGCTTCGCTGGCTGGCTCTCGGTAGCTCTGGTCTGGGGCCTAATCGTCAGCCTGACCAAAGACACCACGCACTTCGCAGTTGGCCCTTCCCTCGGCCGTGCCCTGATCAACAGCCCAAGCTTCTGGTTCCTCACGATCATCTCCCTGTGTCTCGTATACCCATGGCTGCACCTCCGCAAACTCAGCGTGCAGACGGAAGTTCTGTCGTCTCACGCCTGCCGCATCTACGTGAAAGACCGGTCCTACATCCGCCCCTACCCCGGCTCTTTCGTGCGGCTATCCCAGAGCCCACTATTCGAATGGCACTCCTTCGCGGCGATCGCCGAGTCGGGCGAGGACAAGGGCGACTACTCGGTCGTCGTCTCGAAGGCTGGCGACTGGACCAGCAACGTCATTGCCCATCCCCCAACGGAGATGTGGTACAAAGGCGTTCCTAGTATATAATCCCCTCCTCACCGCTTTCCTCCACACGCATAGACTAACCACACGCACAGCCTGCGGCGTCCTGCACGTCTCCAAGCTCTTCCGCAAAATTGTCCTGATCGCCACGGGCTCCGGCATCGGCCCGTGCCTTGCCGTGCTCCGCTCCGGCGAGGTCCCCTGTCGGGTCCTGTGGAGCACCCGGTCTCCGCGCAAGACCTTTGGCGACGGCCTGGTCGGCGATGTGCTCAAGGCGGATAAGGACGCGGTGATCTACGATACTGCCTCTGGCAGCCGTCCGGACGTCGTCAAGATGGCGTACTCCATGTATCGCGAGAGTAAGGCCGAGGCCGTGGTGATCATCAGCAACCCAAGTTTGACGTACAAGGTCGTGTACGGCCTCGAGTCGAGGGGCGTACCTGCTTTCGGCGCGATTTGGGATAGCTAAGGGCAGGAAAAGCCGGTTGCAAGGGGGAGGGGGAGAATGGCGTTTACTTGCAGTGGCGGGTTGGATCGCTCCTGGCTTTTGGGTTTGATTTTCACTTGTTACCTTTACCATTTGGTTTTTGGACTGGACGCGGAGATGTGGAGGGATTGGATTGAATGTACATATTGGAGGGTTAGGCTACAGAATAATGCATTAATGCTTAATCAGACCTCTCCCATGGTCCGTCCCCATGGAGAGGGACCCGCAAGATCTATCGGCCCGTATTTGAAACCGCATCATCGCTGTCAGCGTCCAGGCCAGAGTTGCATGGTATGTAGCGAATACGTTTCGGTGCGGCTGAAGATATCCCCCCTCTTTCGCCTGGACGAAACCTTCATTGGCCTCTGGTCCCAGAACGGTGATTCATCTGCATATACCTCGCCGAAAAGTATAGTACGTCACACAGCTGCCTGGCTTAATTCCACCCATCGCACCCCGGCGTGCGCATCCATTAGGTGTTGTGCGCACACCGCAATGGTCTCCGCCAATAGCCGATTGACGACGGCCACTTGAGCGATGGCCAATGATCAACAGTCAACGGCGAGTGGTCAATTCAACCAGGCAGACAACATTCCTGAAGTCAGCGGGACCAATCGAAAATGCCCAGAAAGTTTGCTGGAGAGGAGCGGTAGCACAGCGTGCGAGGCCCAGTACATAAACGCTATGTATTGACTTCGCCGGCGTGGGGTCTCCTCTTCCTCTTCCCCACCATAACTACCACTCTGTCGCTATCGATCACGGAAGAAGACGATGTCGATATTCTTCCCCAAAAAAGGCGTGAACGCACTCGCCCAGCAGCCCGAGGTGAGTGCATCCCCCCATCCAACCCGCCATGAACTTCGAATCCACCGAGCTGACTTGCCCGCCTTCAGGAGGCACACGTATACGTACCCGCCCAACCCAGCACAAAAGTCTACGTCCACCAGCCGCAGCTCATCAGCAAGAAAATCTGTGTGCAATGCCACTACCGCAAGCCAACGTACTACGCCGAGCTGACTCTCGACCGCCCCGACTTCTGCTGGGTGTGTCTCGACTGTCTGCAGTTCATTGTGCGTCGGGCAGTCATTGCCGGTGAAAATCCGGCCTGTCCGAGAACCGGGTGCGTAGGGGCGTTGGGACATGGGGATACAAGGGCGCTCGACGAGGTCCGGATCTACGAGAAGACGTATTCCCTCCCTCCCCTTCTCCGGCATATTGGTCGATACTGATTTTGCGGCGTGGGGCCGCGAGGTTGGTAGATATAAACTCGCGCGCAGTCCCGAGCCACAGATCGACTGTATAGTGTGCCTGTCCTCCCAACCGATCTCCGCCTTCCCGCTCGCACCCACCTCCTCCTGCACGCACCCGCGCACCGTCTGTCTCTTGTGCGTGCAGCAGCTGCTAAAGTACTCGCTCTCGGGCGCCGCATGGATCGATCTGCAGTGTCCTAAGTGCAGCGCGGCGTTCACCGCGTGCGACGTGCGGCGCTTCGGCACGCCTGCGCAGAGCGCCGTGTTTGCGGACCGCGCTACGAGAAGGTTCTTGCAGTCGCTGCCTGAGTATAGAGAGTGCATCTCGCCCGGATGTGGAAGCAGCCAGCTGCACGAGGGAGGCACGGATAGTCCCATCGTCACCTGCCGCGCCTGCGGGCACAAGACGTGCTTCAACCATCGAGACACGCCGTGGCACGGGGAGCTGTCGTGCGAGGAGTACGATGAGGACCTGAGGGTGGCGGGATTGCCGGGGATGATGGGGGAGCGGGAGATGGGGTTGGAAATGAGCGAGAAGCTGGTTAGGGAACAGACGAGACCGTGTCCTGGTTGCAAGTTCGATATCATGAAGACCGGCGGATGTCAACATATGACCTGCAGGAAATGTGGGTTCGAGTTTTGCTGGGGGTGTAAAGCGGATTATGCGGTTATCAGGAAAGTCGGGAAGAGTGGCCATAATGAAGGGTGTATCTACAGTGTAGCGTAAATTCATGGAAGACTTGTTGGATATTTGATGTTTCTTGTACCTATGTGGCATCGGTCATGACTCGGGGGAAGGGGATCATTAGCGTGCAAGGCTTGGGACACAGCGGTCTCCAGCATTTATTCAGTTTGGACAAAATATGTCTCGATGAATTGGGATGTGAGATTTCCGCGCTGTTTGAGGGGGATCCGGAGGTGGCCGTCGGCATCCCGTGACACGGTAGAGTACCGTATTCCACGCAAACGGCTGCATGTGAGTGCATGAGCGAGGAGTCTTCTCGTACATATCGACGAGTCCGCTTCCTCTCGTGCTACATTCCCGTTCGCCCCGCAATCCGCATATCCTTCTCCTGCCCCCGAAATCCGCAACCCATCTGCACAATGAGCACTCCCGACCCCGACCCCGACTGCCCCAGCACCCCCACCACCACCGGCACAGAGACGTACCTCAGCGGTGGCTGCCACTGCGGCGCGAACACATACCAGCTGACTTTGCCAGCGCAACCATCGCCGCCCTTCCCGCTCGTGGACTTCGACCACTGCACATCCTGCCGGCGAACCAGCGGGGCGCTGCTACAGGCATGGATAATCCTTCCGCAGAGCTGGGCAGTCTTCCACATCAGCTCGACGTTCGACCAATCGCACACTGTGTACGCGTCGTCCGTCGTCACCGCGGGCGCACTGCGGAAGGAGCTGGGCGGCGGCGAGCCGAAGTCGCTGGTGCACTATGCAAGCTCCCCCGGTGTTTCTAGAGCGTTCTGTGCGCGCTGCGGAACGCATCTGGTCTATAGCCGCGTGTATGAGGAGCGCGAGGCGGGCGATGGGCCGGAGGGCGAGGGCGACGGGGAGGATTTTGTGGGCGTTAGTTTGGCGAGTTTGGATAAGGATAGCTTGGAGAGGGCGCCGAGGCCGCTGCAGCATACGTGGTGGGGCGATGGCGTGCCCTGGCTTAAGGAGATGATTGCTAAGGGGTGCGAGGAGGGGGGGATCGGCGCGATGGAGAAGTTGGAGGGGTATCAGTAGGTTGCGGGCAGGAGTGCGGGTGGTGGTAGGGATGATAAATGCTGTATGTATATGCTTGCAATGTCACCAACCCCATTGTCTCATGCAAATCGCGATCCCAAGTAGAAGTAGCCGGTATGCCATTAGTCCTGCCTACTCGCCAATAGCCCCACCAAACCCCACCATGCGTATCTTCCTCGCATCCCTCGGATGAAACTCGGCCACCTTCGCTCTGACCAGAAACCTCGCAACCGCACTCTCCATCTCCAACTCGACATACGTATCCGCCTCCATACTCTTATTCATCAGCGTTTCCAGCAGCCCCCTCATCTCATCATCCACATCCTCCTCTCCCTCCTCCTCCGCCCTCCCCCTCCTCTTCCTCCCCGCGCGAAACGCCTCCTGCAGCGTCATCTGCCCGCTCGCCCTCCCTACCGCCCGTTTCGCATCAACACTCTCCACCGCCAACTCGGCCACCGGCCCGCCCAGCTCCTCAATCTCCAGCAGCGCCTTCAACCTCGCCCCAAAAAACTTCTGTAGCAACTTCATCGTCCTCGCGGCCCTGCGTCTCGTCTCCTTAACCCTCGCCTTCACCTCCTGCACCCCCTCCGCCTCCCCTCCACCCCCCCTCTCAAGCTCCTGTACCCGCCCCTCCAGCGCCTCCCCCAGCAACCTCGCCTCCCCCGCCCTCGCCCTGACCGCAACCAACTCCCTCCTCGCCTCCTCTAGCGCCGCCCTAGCACGCACCACCGCCTCCTCGTTCCCCTGTATATTCGCCAGCACCGCGCGCACAGCCAAGAGCGTATTCAGCGCGCTGCCGGCGGGCGGTAGGTAGCCAGTGGTGGCGAACGCCTCGCGGTTCGCGACGACGCGGGCGCGCAGGTGGCGTGCGCGATTTGGGGCCGAGGGCAGCTGCGAGGCTAGCGTAGAGATCAGGAGCTCCTCGTCGATTAGCAGCCGGCGCAGGGAGGTGCTCGTCGAGGCGAGGTCGGCTTCGTGCGTGGCTGTGGAGGTGGCGAGGGGCGGTGCGGAGGTGCTGGTGTGGGCGTGGGAGTGGGAGTGGGAGTAGGCGGCGATGCGGGAGACGGTGCGCAGGCGCGAGAGCTCGTGGATGAGATTGGCGTTGAAGTGCGGGGCGGAAGCGGATGGCGAAGTCATTGCTGCTGCTGCTGTGGTTGGGTGGTGGACGGCGGGAAGACGCGTTGGTGAAGGCGACGCGTTGGTTGGGAGCTAAATTGGCGGTGATGGGCTAGGTCATGTGATTACGATTGGCCGGGGACTCTCACTAATAATACGCCAACCCTATTACGGAAGTTCGAGTGTTCTGGAGTATATAGAGGACCGAAATATAGCCAGTACTCACCGCTGAAACACAGTTCACGAGTCACGATCGTGAAGAAACCTATCTAAATATCTATCCATCATTCTACTATCGCTATTCTACCAAGGTACAAAGTCCACATCTACTCACGCCCCCCCCCCCCCCCCCAGACCAGCAAAAGAACAAACTTCCCTTCCCGCTACCACCACGACGCCCAAACACCTCTTTCCCGGGTATCTTCACAGCCATAACCTTCCTATCACGCCCCCGCAAGATCCCAACACGTCCTCTTGACCTCCTCGCCAGCCGCGGCCGCGCGCTTCTTCAGCATGGTGGCCATCTCGCTCTCCTCGGCGTGCAGATGCGCACCACTCTCCTTGAGCAGCCTAACATTCTCCAGCTTCCCTGCGTCCGCAGCAAGGAACAGCGGGGTTCGTCCGTCGCGATTCCTAAGATGGACACTGGCTCCTTGGCTCAGGAATTCGCGGAGGATTCCTAGACCTGGCGAGATCGCGGCAATGTGCTGTTTGCAGAGGCGTCAGGTTAGTATTTGACATGATGGGATGATATGATAGAGAAATGGGAAATAGGCGGGGCGGGAGCGTCATGGAAGACAGATCACACGGAGACATGGGATATCAGAAGTAAGCTGCCACTCACCAATGGCGTATTCCCCGAATAATCGAACTGATTAAGCAAGAACTGGTTTGACTCCTTGATGATGATACGGATGTCGTCCAGATTCTGATCCTGGATGGCATAGCCCAAAGCACTCAATGAAGACAAAGCTGGCGGGAGCTCAGCATTAGGATGTGAGAAATGGATCTCCGATTGCTCCGTGAGCTCTCCGCGCATGGACCGGGACATGAGTTTTCTAATTTCTGGTGCTGAGAGGGTCGGGTTTGCGAGGAGACAGGATAGTTTTGTAAGTGCGGCTGGGAGGGATGTCAGCGCGATGGAACCGCAGAACGAATGGAGAATGGAATACCCTCGGTGGTCATGTCGAGACCGAACACAACTCCAGCTCTAGCCAGCGCCGTTGCGGATGCATAGAGAGGACTGACGGTCCCCACCTGGCCTTAAGACACCGTCAACTATAGTTCGCCCATAGACAGTGGAACACTTACACTGTGTGACATTCACGACGACGATACCCCGCTCAATCCCATCCCTCAACGCATCGGTAAGCTCTGCATCCTCCGGAGCATTCCCGGCACCAAAAGTCTCCAGGATCAAACCCCTCAGCCCAGGCAGCTGCAGCACACCGCGGACCATCTGCGGCAGGATTCCCGGGAACACTCGCAGACACGCCACATGGCTCGTTTCAAAGTCCGTCTGGACACTGAAAGGCGAGATCCTGGACGGGCGTCGAACGAAACCCCAGTTCACGGTAGTCGAAATCCCGACCTTTGCCAGCGCCGGGTGGTTGGGCGAGGAGAATGCAGCGAAGTCGTGCGCGTTGGTCTTGGTTGCCCGGTTTCCTCGGAACAGCTTATGGTTGAAGAACAGACACACCTCGGGGATCATGTAGTGGCCGGCGATGATGAGACTGCCGAGGAGGTTGTCCGTGGCATCGTTGTGCAGCTCGGACATTGGTGCCTGAGAACCACTTTTTGGCGTTAGCGATTGTGCCAATCCACGTCGGCAGTATGCTCACGTCAAGATCACCGGCTTTCCGAGGTTGTTGATCATGAAACTCAATGCCGAGCTCGTGTATGCCAGACTATCGGTTCCGTGTAGGATCACGAACGAATCGAATAGCTGGTAATTGCCTGGAGCCCGCGTTAGAATCCTCACAACCGGCGGATACGGGAAGCCGTACGCTCAATGGTCTTCGCAATCTTGACCCAGCCCTTGGCATTGATGCTGGAGCTATCAAGCAATGGATTAAACTCCAACCCGACGAACCGTACGCGCCTCGAGTACTTTGACGGCGGAGTTCCTGCAATTAAAGTCAGCGCAGATTGCCGGCGCGATAGGTACCCCCTCCGTCCCAACATACTCAAAGTATCCATCATCTCCACCTTCCCGTCCTCCATGACCACGGGCACCGGTTTCGGCGGTGACCCATCATTGAACGACGGCCGAGGTCTCAGGGCATTATCCAAAAACCCGGTCGCCTATTCCCATTCGCATCAGCGCAGCCCAACTCCGCACGCGCACGCTATCGGTTGGAACCAACCGGAACATAACCATTCTCGCTCCTCTGCATGCAGATGGTCCCGCCAGTCATGATGATCAACACCCGACTCTCGGGCAGGTTATCCACCGGCTCGACATTGAGACTAATGCCAAGGTTGAGATTGAATGTCGATGCTGTGGGCGACGGTGCCGCGGTTGTCACATTGCTGCGGAAGCCGTTGTAGAACTCGGTCGGTGGTGGTGGCGGAGGCGGGGGTGGGGGCGCCATGGTGGGGTTAGGTAGATGAGACGATCGCGGGAGTCCGGTGTCGTGCTTTCGTCCGCTGTCCGTTCGCTAAGATACGCGGGCCGGAGGTGGATGGGGACTTGAGACCTAAAATCAATTGAGTGCGAGGGGTAGCAGTCGAGCTGTCAAGCTGGAGCTGAAGCTGGAGCTGCGACTTTGCGATGGCCGATCTTAGCTGAGTTAGCGGCCAACAACAGAAGGGGCATATGGTTTATAGTTCTTGTCGTGTGACTCCTCTTTGATTCGGGAAAGGAAAAAAATGTGTCTTTCGTCAGGGCAGATACCGTAGAGTAGCTCCCGTCCCGCACGCATGTCTCCATCTATTTATCATCCTCGATCCCGGAACCTGTTCGTAGAGGAACCCGCAAGCTGCAGAAGAACGTTGTCAGAAGAGAAAAAAAGAAAAAACACCGCCCGCATATCTACGGCATCGGATCAGCGTGCATGATGTGCAAGGGCCGGCTAGAAGAAGAAGTATCTACTTGTTGAAGAAGAAGAATCCAATCATCGCGCATCTGTGCAGATGCCCTCCCACATGATCCGCCAACCGTCCCCCGCTTCTGTTACTCCAAAGGCATCTTCAAGCGAACGTACCGTACAGCCAGAAATGCACCCCAGAGTTCGAGGAAAATCCGAACGGCCACGACCAAGACCACGCTTCCGCCCGCATATGGCCGGTCGAAGCATTACGCACGTACAAATTGTGAGCGACTTAAGCCGTCGCGGTCGATGAGCTCCGCGTCCGATCGACGGATCATGACTGCCTTATGTATGTGTGTCTGGGGGGCTTCTGCTTCGAGAAGACCGATGGAGAGGGAATGCGGAATGGAGCGGGTGGGGAGGAAGGGATCTCTACGGGCTCGAGTCGACCGCTGGCCGGCCGATGGGGATGGCTCGAGCTTGCGCATCTTTAATTGGTGACCGGTGACGGCGCTCGGAGGCAAATATGGGCAATGGGCATCCAGTGTCCACGTGGTGCTATTCGCGGACGCTGGCAAGCAAAATGTAATGCATTCCCACGATCTTTCCGACGTTCTCGTGGCGATACCTACTTGCATACCGTATGCGGAGACTCAAACAAAAAATACCGGTATATCCCAGGAGCTGGCGACTGATATCACCAGTCCAGGCCCCAGATTACAACACTTTGGTAGCTGGCTTTCTGCAGCAAATCCATGACTAGAATACCAACCTCCTTTCTGATCCTCTCTGCCTCGTTTTGTCCTTTCCAGGAGATGGTCAACTACGGAGTGACGGAACTCGATCCTCCGCATCCATTTCCACTCTCTACCGTATCCTCCTTCACAACCAGAAACACAACCACACTTCTTGTGGACACTCCTCGGGCGGCCAACGGCCCTCCTATGCCACTACTCAGCACACTCGTTCAAGATGGATATTGTGTCGCGGGGCTCCAAAAACCCAGTAGGTCTCAGGAAAGAGATATCGTCCCTTGGAATGGACACTCAGCTTCAAAGGTGGCGATGTAAAATCATAAAGAATCACCAGTCAAGCGGTCCCCCGTCCTTAAGGGTACCATATCGTCAATTCTCTAGAGAAAACCCCTTTCTACTCGGACAGTGCGTTATGGTGGGTGTCCGTCGAAACGTCTTAGAATATTACCATTGCGCCCCAGGCCGAATAGACGCCGTGGAACGGCAAAGCGCAGGCACCATGATCAGAAACCCCAGCGGGTGTCCGTGCCTTTATCACCACCCCAGACCCCACAAGCCCGCTTCGCTTCGGCGGCGAAGGGACTGCAGACTGCGGCAATGGCCCGTGGATGGTGGCGGTACATTCCTTCTCCCGTTCGCAAATCGCAAACCGCCGGTCGAGAAAGTTGTCACTCGGCCAAGGGATCGATCCACTTGGTGCAAATGCATCACTCTTAACCGGTCAGTGATCACTTCCAGCTCAGCTGGCAATGACTCGGGGAGTTGGTGTATGTATGGTGGCGGCCGGAGAGGCGCATATGGTAGCTGGGTAGATAACGCCAATACAGAGGTAACCACTGTTCGCTTTCAGATATAACCACCATGCCAACTACCTAGATCAGAGCACAGCACATACCTACATTGAACTCTATATCACACATTGCAGAATTCACCACCCCCACAATCATATATCCATTCAGCCCCCCAGTAGAGTGCATACGTTGGAGATGCCTTATTAGCGCCGCTCCCCTTGACAGCGGACACTGGTGACTGGATGCACAGTCCGGCCGATAGTCACATATGTAGCCACAGCCGCACCGCATTATCGAGAACATTCCTGGCCCAACCGGCCACCAGATCTCGTTAGTTCCCGCCAGCACGACGGGAATCCACACGTGCTGTAACGCAACGCGGACTGTGATCGACTGTGCTCGACGCTGGGATGCCCCGCTGGCCCCGCTGGCACCGTTAACACCGCTGCAGGCTTGATATAAATCCACTCGCTCCCCTCCTCCCCGCTGCTGCTTTTCCCATCCCATCTCCCCACATTCCTATTCACATCTACATTCATCATGCTTAAATGCGACGTGTGCTTCCGGTACTTCGAAACCGCCTACGCGCTGTCTCAGCACTCCAAAGCAAAGCTTCACAACTACTGCGACCCGTGCGATCGGTACTTCGGCAGCGAGCATGCGTTGCGCCAGCATCGAGAGAACTCCAGTCGCCACGTCCAGGAGTTTCGATGTACCGTCTGCAACGGAGAGTTTGCTTGCGAGCCTGCGTTGCTGTGGCATCAGTGTGTAGCGCCGCCGGGGGGGACCGCCGTTCGCGTCCGCACCCCCGCCGCCGTCCCCACCGCTGCTACAGAGGTCGTCCACCACAATAACTTCTGCACCACGTGCGAGCGGCAGTTCCGTACCGAAGAGGCGTACGAGCAGCACATGGCGTCGGTAGTCCACAAGCCCGTCTGTGAAGACCTGTCGTGTCCCTCGTGCCAGAGGACGTTTGTCGCGTTGTCGGCGTTCGTACATCACCTCGAGAGTGGGGGGTGTGCGGGCGGCGCGACGAAGAGGTTTGTGGATAGGGCTATGATGGCGGCGGATCCAATCGGGGTACTGGTGGCTGTGACGGGTGGGCATGTTGAAGAAGAAGATGAAGATGACGAGGACGAGGACGAGGACGAGGAGAGTGGAAGTGAAGATTACAATGAGGCGTCTAGAAATGAAGACGTCGAGTCGGATATTGATGATGAATGGGGCACCGAAGACGACAGCGACTCCGACGACAACGGAGTCGTCATCTTCACGCCGACCTCCTCCAGCCGGCCGTGCTCCTCTCTCTCGCTCACGCTCCCCACCCGCCTCGACTGCCGCCTGTGTCCCGACCGACCGGCCTTCATCAATGCGCGCGCATTGGAGCAGCACATGGCATCTGCCGTAGCGCACGCACCGCGGATCTACCACTGCCCGACGGCGTTTGGTGGCGGGCGGCCAGAGAAGAGCTTCCGGGCCGCGAGCGCGGTCATTCAGCATCTCGAAGCAGAGGCGTGTCGTGGTGGGTGGAAGACGTTGAACGCTGTCGTCCAGATGCTGAATAAGAGCCTGAAGAAGAGTATTGGACTCGATGAGGTTAGGCTGTTGAAGGGTGCCGTTCGGTCGAAAAAGTGGTAGTCGCTGTATGTAGGGCTGGATGGCCGGGGTGCGGCGGGGTTCAATGGCGGGGTTAGCTACACACAAAGCTTGTTTGGACACTAGAGTGGGTAGGTTCATCTTATGTAAGTACTTTGGTACGGTACATCATAGTGTATCTACGTTACTCGGGCGCTGACGACGTCGAGGAACCGAAAGATATGACGATATCGATACCGTAGCTGTATCAGAAGACTCCATGTTCTCCACTTGATTTCTGCAGGTCTTCTGCTCTAGATGCACCTCCAAACTTCAAAGTGATATTGAACGTGAGTCGGTTCTTCTCGGTCAATCAACGTCCTCTGCCAATTCAGATTGGAACAGTGGAACCCGTACGCCTCAATCGATGCAGCCAAAATTTCCACGCACGAACGAGCCCAAAAAAACCGAAACGGGGTCGAAATCAATTTTCCTCTACGCCATGCTATGCGGCCTAGTAGTAAATGAAAAGAAAAAAGAAGACAACAGCCTGTCAGACCTCCATCGTCGCCCACCCTCATTCCCACCGCTCATACGAGAAGTATACGAAAACTTAGGTCGAGATCATCACCCACCCATCCCGAAGGACCGGCAAAAACAGGCTTCACTCTGGGGCAACGAGGATATCGATCATCGTCCAGGTTGGAGATTCTGTGGCTCTTGTTAAGAGTTCAGATGAGACGATTTACTATAGAAATGATCCCTAAGACAGTGTATTAGTGATGTGTTCGATAGATCTCGACCGTAGAGTTGATAGTAGGGGGTAACTCACTATGAAGTAAAATCGCATAATTTTCGATGGAAGGAGGGGAGGGCCTCTTTTATAAGAGTTGGAATGCGGCTCTCCGTCGACGAAATTTTTCTTCACTAGTTTGGCCAGCCCTACTCACACGGCCGGAAAGTTTTAACCCCTCCCTGCTTATCTGAGATTAGATCTGTAGCTGAGGATGAGCAATCACTACGGTTGAGCCAATCGCAGCCACAGACCTAACGGGGAAGATTATTCTTTCCGGCCGTGTGAGTAGTGATGATGCCTTGTTCGCCTCGAGAGAGATGCATGGAAACCATTCAGCGGAAGGCGGAGGGGAGCGCGTCTGCGGCCAATGGCCGATCTACATACCCGCCAGGATGATCTGCGGATCAGATTAGGTTGGCGAACTATCGATAGCTACCGGTACTTTACCTACAGTAGCATAGCCCCGCTGATCGTTCAAGGCTGTGGGAGCCCCGCCTGAACGAACGAACGTGCCCGACTCTCACATCCTCCAATCGCCGGCCAAGGTACCAGCAAATAGGCGTGTGCAGTGCCCGAATACGCACCCAAGTGGGTAAATAGCAATGCAATATCATCTCCGGTGAAGAACGGAGCCCCAGTTTCTCGAGTCCTCGGTCCCATAGCCAGCGCACATGGGCGAAGCAATACCACCGGAACTTCTCTCACCGATTGTAGTTATGTACACGCTTGCGTCTCCAGCTCGAACATTTCTCCGATCCCAGTCTGACCGCAAAGTCCTTGGAGAATTCACCTAGCCGTCCGCGCAGTTTCACGGAGAGACATTCCTGATATGTATACACCGGTATTTACATGGTAGATAACATATCTGCACGCAGCACCGACCACGCATCTCGTTAGATCCCGCCGCCACACGGTCCGCCGCATGTCTTGTAACGTGACGACGGGCTGTGCACGGTTGCCCTCCAATGTCTTGTACACTGTAAACCCCGCTGCTGTCGCTCCCGGTTCCATATAAACCTGCGGACAGCTTCCCCTCCTCCTCCTCCACAAACTGCTGCTGCTACTGCTGCTTGCATCTTATACCCTACTCCTCCATATCAGATCGAAAGCTATATCTGTATTCGCATTTACTATGGTTCAATGTGGGGTCTGCACCCGACTCTTCAGCACCGCCTCCGCGCTGGAAGACCACGCCAATACGACAAACCACCGCAGCTCCAAGGCCCGCAACAAAAACATCACGGTCAGCTCTAGACAACTCGTCATAGCCTCCCCGCGACGCCTGTCCTGCCACCTGTGCGATCGTACCTTCAGCGATGCCGAAGCGCGACAAGTGCACTTGAACTCTCCGCGGCACATGGCGAAGTGTGACTTTTGCGAACAACTGTTTCCTCCCAGCTCGAAAGCGCTGGAGCAGCACGTGCAGCGGCAGCATCCCTCCTGCAAGCCGTGCAATCGCACCTTCGTCAGCGCTAAGGCACTACTGAGCCATCAGAACTCTCCGCGGCACATGGAGAAGTGTGTGCACTGCGAACAACTGTTTCCTCCCAGCTCGAAAGCGCTGGAGCAGCACGTGCAGCGGCAGCATCCCTCCTGCAAGCCGTGCAATCGCACCTTCGTCAGCGCTAAGGCACTACTGAGCCATCAGAACTCTCCGCGGCACATGGAGAAGTGTGTGCACTGCGAACAACTGTTTCCTCCCAGCTCGAAAGCGCTGGAGCAGCACATGCGGATGGCACATGTTTCTTACACGCCGTCCAGTCGCACATTCTTCAGCCAGTTATCACTACAACCCCATTTAAGCCCTCCGCAACACAAGAGTGGATGCGCCTTCTGCGACGAATCGTTCACCGTTGGCACTAACGAGCTGGAGCGGCACATGCAAAGCGCCCATCCATCATGCGAGCCGTGCTCTCGCGCTTTCGTCGACCACGAGACGCTACAGCGGCATCTAGACTCCTCATGCCACACGGAGCGGTGCGGGATCTGCGACGAATCGTTCACCATCGGCACCAAGGGCCTAAAGCGGCACATGCGCGTGGCACATCCCTCTTGCAAGCCGTGTAATCGCACATTCGTGAGCCCCGCATCGCTGCAAATCCACCTGAACTCAGCGCGGCACACGGAGAAGTGCCATCTCTGTGATGAACTGTTCAGAAGCGACACGGACGGACTGGAGCGCCACTTGCGCAGCGAACATCCGTCTTGCGAGCCGTGCTCATGCACCTTCGTCAGCAAGGAGGCACTGCTGCGGCATCTTGCCACCTCCGCCCTCCATGCTCACGAGTTCCGCTGCACCATCTGCGATGCCGAGTTTGCAACCGGCCGCGCATTGCGGGAGCATACGTGTGTGGACCCGGAGGAAATCGACGCCCCGGCCGCTGTGGTTGTCCGCAACTTCTGCGACGAGTGCGAGGGGCAGTTCCGGACCAAAGATGCGTACGAGCAGCACATGGCGGTCGTCCACAAGATCGTCCGCGACGTCTTCCAGTGTCCCTCCTGCCAAAAGACGTTTCCGACGTTGTCGGCGTGGGCGCAGCACCTTGAGAGCGGGGTGTGCGCGGGCAGCGGGGCGCAGGAGATTATCGACAGAATTGTCAATGCGACCAATTCGACGTCGATGCTAGCTGGTGGTTCGCGCGGACACGCTGTAGAAGACAATGATAATGAGACGTCCCGGAGTGAAGACAGCCTGTCGGATTTCGATGATGAATCGGGCTATAGAGATGACAATAACGGCAACAATGGAGTCGTTATTCACACCCCAACCTCCACCCGGCCCCCTTCCTCTCTCTCCATCTCTCCAGATCCCCGTGCGTCTCAGTTGCCCTTTGCTTCCCAATCTTCCGGCAGCCAGCAACGCCTGCGAGTTAGTTCAACACACGCCAGCCGCCGGCAGGATGCTAAAGTACTTTCGTGCACCGAGAGCGATGATTCGGCGTCTGAATGTGGATGGGTGGCACAGGTTGGAGACAGCGATTCGGATAGCGAATAAGCGTCTGGAGGAGAGTACCGTATTGGGCTACCGGATGGTGGTGGAGGTGGTGGGGTTCGAATGGCCGAGGTGGAGCCGGGGGTTCAATGGGGGCTTACAAATGTGTCCTGAGTAATGCCATTACCTACACTGCTTAGGCGCGGGGAATTCTTTGGCGAATGGCAACGTCAAGGAAACGGAAAGTTACATATGACGATATCGATAAGCCATATCGCTGTATAGAAGACTATCCATGCCGTTAACTTGATTTGCAACCTGGGGATCCACCACTAAAAACGGCGCTTCAAAAAGCTTGTCTGCTGGAGGATTTGACGATCTCGTATCGCGAGATCAGATGTACTGTTTTACACGTCCGAGTGTCCTATTCCCGTCCTGTTTCCACTGGCCACCACCTCCAAACAACAAACATCATCCCGTCCTGTCCTGTTTCCGCTGACGACCATCACCAAAGAACCAATGCCATCCGACCCTCGCAACTCCTCTAAATCCGCTGCCAAGGCACCATCATTCGGCCGGCATATCCAGCTAACATAGCGCACCACCGGCGCACCCGGCGCGGGGACAGCGGGGCAGCGTCATATATGGCTGTCGGGCCTTCCGAAAGCCCATCGTCGTGCATACCTACATAAACCCGTATTTCCGCATCTCCACACCCCCCGCACCGTGCAAACGAACTCCCCTCACCTCTCAACCTTTAGAAAACACCACCACCACCGACATCAAGATGGCCACCGCACCCGCCCCCGTCCTCGAGCTCGTAACCCTGCGCATCACCGTCTCGCAAGAGGAAGCGCTCGCAAAGCAGGCCGCGCCAATCAACAACACCCTCCGCAAGGCGCCGGGGTTCCAGCACATCACGTGGGGGTTCCAGGCTGAGGACCCAACGGTTCTGCACTGGTTGATCCGTACGTTTCCTCTGGGGCGCGACCTCAGGCTTGATCAGCGCTGACAGCGCACACACAGGCTGGGAGTCCCTCGCGCACCACGAGGCGCTGATCGCCTCGCCCGCGTACGGGCCATTCGTAACCCTCCTCACGACCTTCGCGACACCGGCTCTGATCCACTCCACGGTCACCGTTCCGCCTGCCGCAGTGGTGGAATGGATCACAGTGACATTGACGGCAGACGCGGACCACGGCTCGCACGTTGCGCGCGCCGGCGCGCTCAAGGACGCGCTGCACGGCGTTCCCGGCTTCAAAGGAATCGACTCCGCTACCGTCATCGAGAATGAGCGCGCTATCGTCTCCCTGGTTGGCTGGGACTCGGTGCAGGCGCATGATGACTGGAGGAGCAGTCAGACGCCTGAGTTGACGGAAAAGCTCCTGGCTGTATATCAGGGGAAGGATGTGGCTGCCGTGTCGATGTGGCATGTCGTCGTTAAGGGCGAGGCTGGGCCTGCGTGAGCAGGTGAGAGTAGGGAATGTTACCTATATATCTTGTAGTTACCAGTGGAGCAGAGATGTATGTAGAGAGTACGCAATGCCGATGAGATACCTACCAACGACAGCTCACGAACAAAGATATTCTGTGACGTCCGTTGTTGTCCGGCCCCCTGGCATGCCCGGCTGGCCATGACGAACTACTATAGCCCCCACAGGGAAGATGTGTAGTCGTACGGACCCCCCATGGCCAAAACACACGCTGGTAATACATAGATGTCCTAAACCTAATAGTTCAGCGCGTTTACCGCCATGGATGACAACTCCAACGTTTACTTTTCGGTTCTTCACGATTCTCACAGCCATGGACGAGACCGAATACTACGTACTACCTACCTTACATTGAGCACGATGCCACATACCTACTCCAGCCGGATGCGAAGGTGCTCAAACAAAACAAAAGAAGAAGAAAAAAAACCAGTGCGGAAGAGGAGAGTCGTTAATTCGCGTTATCCAGAAAGAACTAGAAGATCAAACGGGGGAGAGGTATGTAACGCCTAAGCATCACCAGCCGTCATCAGCAGCAGCTTCGCCAGCCGTGTCACCAGCAGCGTCCCAAGCAGCCTCACCAGCAGTGTCACCCGCATTTCCACCCGCAGCGTCACCACCCGCATCCCCACCAGCGGCTTCCTCCCCGCCATCCGCCTCACCCAGACCAAAGTCACTCCTTAACCGCTTACGCTTATCCCTGCCGTTCTCGCCGACCCTAGCATACTGATCCCACTGCAAATGCTTGATCTCGCGGTCGGCATAATCACGGACGAAAAACGCCTTGCCCTCGAAGCCGCGGCGGAGGTCGAAGTAGCGCTTCGCCATCACGCACTCGCGGATCGAAAAGAACCGCAGAGTTACCGAGGTGTTGGTGTTGCTGTTGCCGAGAGTGCCGGGCTTCGATGACTTCGTGTTGCGGCCAGGTCCCGTGTTGGCGTGGTTGACGAATTCGAAGGACTGGGTGGTGGGGCGGGTTAGGATGTGGAGTGAGGGGAGGAGGGGGGAAGGGGTACTCACGGTGCCACCACCGGTTCCCTCGTAGGGCGAGAAACGCAGGTGCTCCAGCTCCCTCAGGACGACGTCGAGCGAGCACAGAACTTTGAGCTGTCTCGAGGCGCCCTTCAGGATCTCGTTCTCGATATCGCAGAACCAAGTATCATCCAGCAGGAACCACTTGAGCAGCTGAGCCTCGACCTCCCTGTAGATCCCGGCGCCCTCGGTGAGCTTCTTGCCCTCCACGTCGCGGCCCCAGAACCGCACCGTCACCAGCGGAAGATGCTTCTTGACCAGGTAGACCCGCTTAACCCCCTTATTATCAGGCGTACTCTGGAGGATTCCGCACGGTGTCTCGCCGGAGAACTCGTCGCTGTCGAGCAGGCGGTTTCCGTGCGGCGCGCGCAGGGAGAGGAAGAAGCCATGCTGGTCAGCGTACTTCTTGAACTCCTTGGCGCCCTCGGCGTCGCAGAAGGTGATCACGGCAGCCTGGACCTCGGGGTTGGAGGAGCGGCGCTCGGGCGGCGGGCGGAGCGGCGCGAAGTGCACTTGCCGCAAACCGCCGGGTGCCGTCAGCGAGTGGATCAGGTCGCGGATGCGAAGGTCCAAAGGAAGAGGGTGGATTATCAGCGTGTGCGTCACGAGAGGTGGCTTGTTCCCTCCCGGCTGGAATACGGGCGTGGGGGGGTCGTTGTTGATCTGCAGCCTACGCTCGCGGGGAGGGCCTGGGAAACGGTTGGTTAGATGCGGATTGCGATGGAGGGGGGAGGAAGGGGGAGAACAACCATGAGGACCCCAGTTATCAGTCGGAGTAGCAGCAGATTTATTGGTGTTTGCTGCACCCCGAGCGGGAGCAGCGTGAGACACAGGTGTCTGAGCGTGAGCACCAGGCTTTGGCGGTCCGGCGCCAGCAGCTTTCGCAGCAGCGACCGAAGCAGCTAGATTGCCAGACGTGGGGTCAAACACGCCGGCAAGGGCGCAGAGATTCATGACCATGTCAACCGGAAGCGTGATCATTTCCCGAGTGCTCATGTCCGGAGCGGCCTTGATGGGAGAGTTGAACGGACTGTCGTTTCCGGGTGGTGGCAGCATCTCGAGCACTTTCTGGCTGGAGAGGAAGTCTTCGAGAGATGTGTGGGTAGGTGTCGTATGTTCGTTGGCGAAGTTGAAATCTCCAGGAGTTTTTCGAACCGGAGTCGGAGTGACAGGTGATCGAAGAGGCTTGTTCAAGATTCCCACCGGCGTGGCACGCACCGGCGTCTTGGGAGCCTCGATAATAACCCTGTTACCTTTTGTGGGCGTGACGGTCCCCAACTCTGGCACGGGAGTCGTGGGCTCGGTGGGCTTCAGGATAGGAGTAACCGGGGCCTCCAACTTGACATCTTCCTTCACCACATCATCACCACCGTGGTCGGAAGTACTCACCGCCGAAGCCGCGGCCGGTGTCTCATCACCTAATTCGGGGTCAATACCAGTAACATCAAGCTCCTGGGCGTTCAATTCGCATATTTTAGAACTGACCTTTCGCACCAACAACTTCCTGTTCCTCGCCGTCTTCCTCCACCGAAACGTGGAGGTCCTTGATTCCCTCTGCGATGCTGGCGGTCATGGCAGGCTCACTAGAAGCTCTTCTTAGGTGTCCAGCGGAGGGGCTGTCCAGCGCCCTCAACCTTTCCTTCCTGCTCATCTGGTCAGTACTCTCCATCTTTCGTCGTTGGGTTGGTCGTTAGGTAGGAGTTTAGCGAGCGTGGAAGCAGTGTTGTCACAAAGCTTCGTTGATGCGCAGGTAAGACAGGAAAAGAAGAGTGGAATTTGGTGGGTTGTTTGCTCGTTCAGGCGAGCGAGTCACTGTCTATGACGGGCTTAGAAGTCCTTATCGAATCATGCAGATTGGTTATCGCGATCATCGCGATATAACGTGCTGTGAATCCCGTGTTGTAGGAAGTCCTACACAATTGGCTGCTGTTACTTTCCGGCAGTGTGAATCATCAGTGGAAGTCCCGATCTTGTTTCCTGGAAGCCTACCCGGCCGGCTTCTCATTTCAACCTTCGGGAGAATATCACATCAAGAGTAATGGCACTGAACTTTCAGATCCATCTCACATAGATACATGTAATAGGGTACCTCTCCGCTATGGAACGAATGGCAAGAAAAAAAACTCCAGACAAAATAACATCTACTCGACTCTCTACTTACTCATGCTGCTTTTTGACCCCGGCTCATCACCCAACAGCCGACCCTCCTCCTCTCCCATCCCGAGCCTTTTCCTCCCGACCACCGCCGCAATCGCACCGATGACGGTACTCCTCGCAACGTAAAGGCCGGCCGCACACATCCCCATGATGATGATCATGAATACCGTATCACCGCCCATTCCTGAGCCTCCACCCACCACTTCCACACACACTCTTTGCATCTTATTCATGTGCTGCGCCTTTCTGAACACAGCTTTCGTCTTCGCGAGGACGCCAACGGGCGCCAGGAGATGCGGACACATAGCACGGAGGTATGCTGCCTGCGGGTCCTTGCCACCACCGAGATAGACGGGCGTGAAGATGACGCCCGGATCCTCGAGCTTGGCGACTGCGCGTTGTGTGGAGGTGTAGAGGCCCAGTCGTAGAGAAGTGGTGGTGAAGTCCGGTTCGAAGATGGTGTTATCGGGATGTGGGGCGCCACGGTGGGCAATCACCAGGATCTTTGCGTTTGGATGCGCCTGTTGACGGAGACGCGCGAGGAAGATGGTCAATGTGCGCGTGTAGAGGTCCGCGTTTTGGCTCCTCATGAGGATATCTTGGATTCCTACGTCAACCACGACGTAATTGACGGGGTTCGTGGAAACTGATGTGCTGGGGAAGCGCCAGGGCGTCACCAGGTTGTCGATGTGTCGCGGGTCGAACTTATCCTTGATGTCTTGGGAGTGGCCAGTGAAGTCCAGCGGGGAAGTGTAGAAGTACTGTTCTGTCAGTCCCGGAAGGTGCCGGCTGTCGCAGTATCCTATGAGACATGTTCCAGCAGAAAAGTGCGAATGTCGCACGCTTAACCGCTCTCCGAGCTTGTAGTGCAGAGTAGAGAAGATAGCGTCCACAGGCGATTCGAGAGCCGCGCCCGCCGGTGGAGTGTATTTATCCGCCCTGTAGAAACCCCCGTGGCGCTCGGCGTCGATCCCCTCACCGATAAACTCAATGGTCGGTCGTAGCGACTGCTTCTCGATCCACTCGTGCCCCTGCACCACTTGCGTATTCTCCACCAGCAGACCCTCGAAGCTGATGGGCGTGCCGGGGATACTGGTAAGGCGTATTGTATGTGGCTTCAAAATCTTCCTCTCCCCCTCACCGCGTGTCTCCTTCGCAGCCTCGAACTCGATCGGAATGCGGTGGCCCTCCTTAGTGATTTTGCTCGTATCAAAGTTATCGATATTGTAGCGCACGCCCGCTCCCCCGTCCACCGATACTACAAACGAGTAATGCTCCACCGGGCCCTGTGGCTTCGGCAGCAGTTTCACCTCTGCCTTCTCACCGAACACCAGGATCGTCACCGAGTTGCCGGGCCATAGCGTCGAGTGGTACGCAGGCCAGTGCGGATGACCCGTTGGGGAGCGCAGCCATCGGCCCGTAAACTACACCACGCACCGTGTGAGCAAGCCATTACCTCGCTCCTCCAGGAAGCTATCTGCACGGGGGCCGCGTACACTAAAAAGATTGGGATGCGTTATCGGCGTAATCAGCAGCTGTGGCTGGAGCCTATACTTGGTCTCGTCGAATGTTTCCGATTTGGTGGAGCCATCGTCTGTGGCGACAGCGGACAGGAACAGAAGAGCGGCAGAGAGGACGGTGGAGACGATGCGCATTGTGGATTCGCGTCTATCGTCGGTGTGCGATCATGTGTAGGCACGCAACCAGTAGGATCTGGGATTCTTTGACCGGGTCGGGAAGGCGGTGGTGCGCTTGATAGTACCGGTGAGCGTGAGCACAGGCAGCTAGCTGTAGTTAACGCGTGGATTGACAAATGCGAGAGGAATTTGTCCGTGACCGTGGTAGTGGTGATGGCGGGTGGTATAGAGAGCGAAAGAGAGTAGAGAGAGACGAGCTGAATAGAGCTGACCAGTGACCAGCGACCAGCGACCACTGTCCACTGTCCGCTGCGCACTCCTTTTTCCCACGTCCTAGCACATCCGGAAGAAACGACGCGTGTGCTACCGCGAGTGGCCATAACTGGCTAGAGTAGATTCCAGGCAGTGGCTCAGCCAGAAGCAACCGCAACAAGCGAAAGAGAAGCTCACAAAGCCAAATATCAAGGTCGTTCAATAATCAATTCGCTCTATATCGCAGCACAAAAATGAGACAAGATCATAGTTAACGGCCAGAGAGTGAGTTCTAGAACCGCTTATCATCGGTTCAAAACGGCCGCGGCATTGTGGTTATATAGTATATTACATAAAAGACTAACTGTCGCATGTCAGGATTGAATTCATCGGCGACTATCCTTCATGGGTTGTTACATTCATGTGCCAATCAGGACAAAAAGCTAAAAAAATTTGGTTTAATCATCGACAGAAAGCTACACTTTTTTTTGTTCATTCATTGATGTCAGAAAGCTACACTCTGGTCGATTTAGGCCAGTACTCACCAACGCGAGTGATTGTGGGTGAATGACCTCGGTCACCGTGAGATAGGTAGTAACCGAAGCCTGATTGGAACCATGTTTGTTAGGATTCTGACAATCCTCCTGGACAGATGGTCCCAGCGATTAGCCGTCTGACCGCTGAGAGAGTCGTGATGTTTGATTTCTAGTACGAAGTTCGATCACCCCCAATATTGAGTACAGCGCCAACCTTTCAGCCGGGATCACAAAACTTCGCCGTATCTGCCTTAGAGACATGGTCCTCTGAGCTGTTCCACATTAATGGGAAGCCTCAAGTTGAGGTGGCGTTTCCAGAGATTGAAGCCCCCCGTCCGCGATCGGCTATGGTCGAAGTCCTCCGCTTCTGTGTCGCGGCCAGGCCCCGTGTCCATATCACCAGCGCTTCCTACTCGTACTTTCCTACCTCCAAACAGCTACCTAGGTGGCATGCAATCAAGGATAAACAAACAAACCACCGGATGGTCGAGGATACGGCTACAAAAGGACATAGTTAATCCACCGGCGTTGACAATGTATGGCTTTCAGGAGCTCATGTGGCTGACCTAAACATCTATACGAGCGCGAACTGCTGCTTAAGATTGCTGTGGTTCTAGATACTGCTGCTTGCCCCATATATATCCTCCCCTCTGCGCCTGAGGAAACCGAGCCCGCTTCTCCCCACACTCCTCGTTCTCCTCGTTCTCCCCGGTCTCCACGGTCTTCACGGTCTCCCAGCCCTCCCCGCAAGTCGACCCTCCCCGCAAAACCTCCCCGCTCTATACGGCGTGACGCATTTTACCCTAGGGTTTGTACTCTCACAAGGAATTATGTCGTGCGAGTGATGTCAGCCAACTTGAAAATTATCACGTGAAACGTTAGCGTGCCAAATGTTTGTGCGCGCGGAATGACTTTCGACAATACCCCACCATCCTCGCGTCTTCCCTCACATCTCACACACCTCACTCACCATCACTGGTCACAACCACCACAATCACACTAGCTGCGATGTCGGTCGCCTCCCCAACAAACGTGCTAACGTTTGCCGAGACACGCCGACGTTTGTTCGAATCAGTTTTTCTACCTAGCAAACCAGGTACAACCAACCCCTCGGCGCCGGTTGCCGCCCCACCAACACCTGCCCCACCAACTCCGTCACATGGTTACAACACCCGCCACCACCCGTTCCCGCTATCGTCTCCTTCCATCGACGCCGTTTCGCTTCTGCCAAGTCCGGCGGTACTGCACGCACGCGAACAACGCGCATGGGAGACCACGACTTCATTCTTGAAGTTTCCAGATGCTCCGCTACCAGATACAGTGAGGGAATGGATGAAGATCCGTGGTACACCACCAAAAGAAGCGATTGAGGCCATCAGGTACCTCATGCTCAATAATGAGGATGGTAATCTTCAAGGAAGGGAGAATCTTACCGAGTGGTATACGTGTGAGGTCCGAAGACACTTTATGCGTTGGGTGAAGAAGGAGTGTGATATACCTAGCGTAAGTTGCCCTTGTTTGGTGTGTGTGTGTGTGTGTGTGTGTGGAAGGGGTTGTGCTAATTTGTTGGTTTGTGAAAAATAGAAGCCCGAGGACCCGGCAGCACTACTAGAGAAGATCCTCAACACTTTGACCGGCGCACAGTCGATTTACCTCTACCAGTTCAGAACCTTCCTGGTACAGGTACAGATCGTCGAGCCTTCTCCGAGAAAAACGCCAAGAAGGGGGATGAAGAAGAAGGATGTGACCCAGGAGGTGAACAGAAATGATCCCCGGATTAGGTTGTTTCTCAGATCGCTCAATTCTATAATGTCCTATTCGCTTCCAGACCCGGCATGGAGCGAACTAGTCTACACCGTCTTCCTGGAACTTTGCGGAGTTTCAGTTGGTATCTCGATGAGTGAGGAGGAGGAGGCCGAGGAGGAGGAGGCCAGCACCATCATCAGTGGAAATACCACTGAGGCAGACGACGCAATCTACGACCGAATGCCACAGAGTTTTCTTACGGAGACGGACCTTGATGGCGATTCTATTATTGCTACAGACGAGGGTACTCCCATCATTCCTGCGGAGCTCGACGGACTCCCGGATTTTGACCATTACAAGAAGGAGCCCAAGGGGACGCAGGCAGAGGCTCGACGGAAGGTTCTCAAGCTGTGGGAACTTATGGAGAGAATTGGCGTTGGTGGTGGAGGAAGGAGGGGTGAGAGGGTGTTTGCTGAAGTCATAAACACCCTCATCACAATGTACATCTGCCAAACGTTTGCACAGCGCTGGGGAAGCCCTAGCATTGCTGGCCGGGAACTCGAAGATTGGGTTGAGAATACCCTCGCGCGATTGATCGTCGATATACTATTCTGCACTACAGTGAACGATCTCGACGGTGCTGGGGATGTCAGGCTCGACAAGCTTTCTCCTAGAGAGAGCTTGAGAGTAACTAGAGAGAGTATAGACAAGCGCAGGAGAGGAGGGATGGATCTGGACTTTGTTCGGACCATGGAGGAGGAACAGAAGAGACGTAGGGAGGACCTTGAGACATGGAAGAAGATCGCCATAGGAAGACTTGGAAGGCTCCGAGTGAATGAGCTCTTTGATATCATCGTGGATTGGCCCCAGAGTCTCGGTGGTGTTGAAGACCTGAAGGTAAGCGCACAGTGGCGTGGCGCTCAAGCGATCTGGACTAACAGCCCACAGACATACATTTCCACTCCTCAGACGCGAGCGCATCTCACCGCGACGTTTTCAGCAGCACTCAGTGCCCGCATACTTCACCCCGCAGCAGCAACTTCAGATGTTCTCGGAGCGTATGTTCGTTTGATCCGTGCGTTCACCGTGTTGGATCCCCGCGGTGTTCTCCTTGACCGGGTATCCAAGTGGATCCGCCGATACTTGCGCGAGCGTGAGGATACGGTACGCGTCATAGTGCGTGGTATAATGTCCGAATCACTAGTAGGACCAGATATCGAAGAGGGACTATCGGAACTTGCCACGGAGCTGGGGAAGGGTATACCCGCACTCAATGCTACGTCTGGAGGCCTTGAAGAGATGGACTACGACGACATGAACTGGGTTCCGGATCCCATCGATGCTGGTCCTGAGTTCAGGCGCAACAAGGGACTTGACGTCGTGGGCTCTCTAATTACCCTCTATGAGAGTAAGGAAGTCTGGCTCAAGGAAGTTCAGAACATCCTGTCCGCACGACTTCTCGCAGAGCCGGTCTACGACTTTCATAAGGAAATCCGGACTATTGAGCTGCTGAAACTGCGCTTCGGAGAACCACCCACGCAGAACTGCGACGTAATGCTGAAGGATATGCGCGACTCGAAACGACAGGACTCCGTAATCCGTGAAATGGCCCGCAGCACCGCACCACTGGCATTCGGCCAACTTCCTCCTTTCCACGCTAAAGTCCTTTCGCACCTATTCTGGCCCGAATTGAAACAAGACGAATTCCGCCTTCCGCCGGTAATCACACAAGCCATGAAGGCCTACCAAGAGGGTTTTGAACGCCTCAAAAAGAAGCGCAAGCTCGAATGGCTTCTGTCCCAAGGCACGGCCGCTCTCGAGATAGAGCTCGAAGACCGCGTCATCGTCGTTCCCGACGCGACCCCCGCCCAAGCCGCAGTCATTCACGCATTCAATGACAACGATAGTCTTGACGATGAGCCCCGGACCATGGCCTTTGAGCAGCTCGAGCAGGAACTCAACATGCCCGCGTCCCTCCTTCGACCGGCCTTAGCCTTCTGGACCGACAAAGTTGTGCTGCGTGAAGACCCGCCGGGATGGTACACCGTGCTTGAGAGCCTCAGGAAGGGGGATGAAGCGACCTCACCCGCGAAACAGGCGTACTATGCTACCGAGAATCTGGACATCATCGACGAGGAGAAGGCCAGGGAACGCCAGGTCGTCGAACAGTTTGTTATTGGCATGCTTACCAATGGCGGTGCTATGAATGGAGATCGAATCGGAATGATGCTGGGAATGCTGGTGCCAGGCGGCTTTAGGTGGTTGAATGAGGAGCTCGGCGAGTTTCTTGTCGAGATGAAGGAGAGGGGCAGGATCGAGCATGCTCCAGGTGGATGGAAGGTTGTGTAGACTGATTGAGCACACATTGGGAGGATAAAAAGTTGTTTAGGCGGTGTAATGGGATTGGGATTAGGATTGGGACATGATTAGGCGTTCGGTTTTAGCTGTTTGTTTGGTTTTAGAGACACCTACCTGTTGTGTTGCTCTACGTTTCTTAGCTTGCTTTACTTGTTTGTCTTTATAATGCACCATGGACTAAATTTGAGTGCGATTTGTAAATGTTTTTTTTTCTCCGACGCCGAGTGCTCTTGCGCTTTTTTCGAACGCCGAGACATCGCCGAGACATCGCCGAGACTGCATAGGATTGATATGCATAGGATATGCATCCACGCATCAATCCATCCACGCACCAGCATCAATACTGGAGTACGCACAAGCAAACCGGCACTCAGCGTAAAAGCATTATATAGGCAATTACTCAAGATCCACTACTTCATCAGCCGCATGGATGAATCACCTTTATCGGCACCGAGAAATCATGATTACGAAAATAGCCCATCAATTCGCATCTCCTTCATAGCATCAATACTCGACAAAAACCGCACTCACGCACTCACGCAAGTAAATACGCACTCAATGCAAAAGCATTATGTAGGCAATTACCTCAAAATCCGCAACTTCATAACCAGTGACCAATGACCAGCATGTATCACCATTGTCGGCACCGAGAAATCATTACGAGAAACACCCCATCAATTCAATTCCCATCTCCATCATAGCCTCAATACTCGACAAAAAAAAACACACTCACGCACGCACGCAAGTAAAAAAAACAACCACACGCAAAACAAAACAAAACCAAGCATTCACCGCAAACGCATACGCATACTTAAGCAGTTAAGCAGTTAGTTGTCTCATCCCCATCCATATCCATATCTACAACTCCAACTTCCCCACCTTCCCAGGCGCGCCGACCTTCCCCTTCATAGCGCCGACAAAGTTGACCGCGATGGCGACCACCATGAGCACGCAGAGTATGGTAGGTCCATATTTCTCATGGTAGCCCACGGCGCGCCTAGCACGCATCATTCTTACGCGCCAGAGATACAATCCGGCGGCGTAGACGAGACTTGCGACTGCGGTGATGGTGAAGCCGAGGGAGGCGTAGAGCAGGGCGCCGGTGGTGTCCGCTGCGAAGTTCAGTAGCGTCGTGGCTACCGCCGACATGATGATTGCGAACTCGAACCACGAGAGGAACGTGCGCTCCGCCGCGAAGTACACCTTTGGCTCCACGCGCACGGGGACGAAAATGCGCTTGCCCGGAGGTGCCCGGAATTTGCGCGCGTAGACGGTGCCCGAGAGGAGCGTCGGGATCTCGACTTGGGTGGACCGCGGACGCGGGATGAGGTAGCTGAGGTAGTGGAGGGCTAAGGTTCCGGCGCGTTGCACACGCTTGGTAAGGCCCGGCTGGCGCCGCCGGCGCAGCGGTGTGTCGTCTTCGTCGTCAGAGGCTTCCGAGTCGTAGATCGGGTAGTCTTCGGTCTCTTGGTTGTCCACTGCGAGACGCTCTTCTTCGTCCATTACGCCGTTGCCGCCTTGGTGCGTGACCGCGGTGGTGGTGTGGCCGTTGCCGTTGGATTCGGTGATGTCGATGAGGCGCGGCTCGGCACCGTTGGCGGGGGTTTGGGTGGCCGAGGGGGCGTCGTCTTCATCTTCGGTATCCGATGGGTCGTCGGATGTGGAGACGGATGCGCTCTGGTTCGGCCGCTCGATGCCGAAGCGATGCGTGATGGGCTTGCGGATGTCGATGTGCATCTGCGGTGCCCAGTAGGGGAGAAGATCGATCTTGTCGGGATGCAGCGTGCAGCATCCGTGGATGAACTTTGAGAACTTGGGGACGGCCTCGACGAGATGGGAAGAGGTGAGTTCCTTGACCCACTCCGGTGGTTCCTGTCCCGCCTGTGTCTGCAGCTTCACCTCGAGTATGGCGTATGGGAAACGCTCGATATCTGCCGCTGGCAACTGACTGAACGGGAAATCGATTCCGATATCAGTCCTGCGCCAGCCCTTTCCTGAGCGCTGCTTGCCGTCCCAGTTATCCTCACGGATGAGCGAAAGTTCTGTATCGAGCGAGATACGCACGCGGGCGTCGCCCGGCAGCTGGAACGCCGTGCGGTTGTAGAAACTCCTCACCACAGGCTGCAGCCTGTGGGCAAGCACAGTGTACTGCACCTCCCTCGCAAGCGCCTCAAGGGACTCGATCTCTTGCACGCTCTTCTTTCCCTCCTTGCGCATCTTCTCGAAGGCTTGTTGAACGGTATACTCGCCGCGGAGAAAGGCATTGATGTTCTTCTCCTTCAATGAGAATCGCGCCTTGACGGACTTCTCACCAGTCCAGTCCTCGCGATGCGTCTTGCGCTCGACGAAGATCTGTTCCGTCTCCATTCCTCCGTACCAACGCAATCGCACAGCCTCGGCGCCTTCGTCCTTGCGGAGACGGCCAAGATACAGCTCGAAATCTTTGTTGTCGTAGTAGATGGACGAGATGGCGGCATCGTCTTTCTCAAATTCCTTGTTGGCATTGAACACCAGGACGGGAAGATGCTAAACAATTCCGTCAGCCGTCATGCCTCCCTCATCCTCCCCCCTTCACAAATTACCCACCTTGAGAATAATCAACTTGAGCTCCGTGATGTTATCCGGATGCACCCAATACTTTGTCGTTTGCCTGACGAAGTTCTGCTGCGAGCCACCGGCCGAGGAGTCTCCCTGCGTCGGGTGCCCACGCGTACGGACAAGGTCGTACAATCTCGAGAGCTTGACGATGAACTCGTCGTAGTTATCACGGAAGAACGGCTTCGCATTCAGGCGCGCGGAGAAGATTGGGCGCAGGGTCCAGCCGGTTTGTTTCTAACCCAATTAGCCTCTTCATCCCCGAACGGGCAGATAAAAAGAAGGGTGTGGTGTACTCACATCGTGCTTCTTGATGATCTTCTGAAAGCCCGTGTAGTTGAGCTGCGTGAACTTTGCCAGATCGTGGACATCGGCGATGATATCGCTCAGGTCCTCCTCGAGCATTTCAAAGTCCTCCTCAGTGGGCGCCTGTTCCCCAGTGCGTCGCGAATCCAGCAGCTTGATGACATCCTCGACCTCCTTCTGCGACACCTTGATGCGCCGCACGATCTCCCCGCTCTTGACCTTCTGGAACGTGAACACCTTGTCGAGCTCGGCCTCCAAAACCCGCACGAACGCCTTCTCGTCGTCCTCGGTCCATTGGCTGTGCGCTGACAGCCGTGTCTTCAGCTCCGACTTTAGGTCGTCGTACGCTATGTAGTGGTATTGGTAGTCCTTGATCAGGGACGTGCGGAGTTGCTGGCCGAACCTGCGATGTTCACCACCGTCAGTAACACACACAGACACGCACACACGGACACACCCTTCTCTGCCGCTCTGCCGCTCTCACTCACTTCATGATGTCTCAATCGCTCTTGCCTTTCTTTCTTTCGTTTTCAATCCTGTCCGTCTCGTGTCGTCTCTTCTATCCGTCTCGTCTCGTATCGTGTAAAGTGTGCCGTTTGTTATGATATGTGCGCCTTCAGGTAAAGTAAGGGTGTGCTGCTCGTTTATCGTTTATCGTTCTGGAGAGAGAAAAAAAATACAGAGGAGGTTGGGATTCCCTCTCTATCTACCGAGCAGCGCGAGCGAGCATTTTACTTTGGGACTTTCAGACTCTACGTATCATGCAGGAAGCGAGAAAGAGCTCATCATCATCTGGCAACAATCCTTGCGGAGCGTGGTCCGTGTAGCGCCTTGGCGGAGTGATCACGGGCACGGGCACCGGCGCGGGCGCGGGCGTGGGCAGCGGGCAGCGGACATGCGGGACTGGGACTGGGACTGGGACGGAGACGGAGGCGGAGACGGAGACGGTGATCTAAACGGCGACTGGAATGATGGCCGATGGCGGGCGGAGCGATGGCAGTGTACCAGTTATAGAGAGAGGTATGGACAATTCTTCGTGATCTTTACCTCCTCCTCCTCCTCCTCCTCCGATTGACTATCCCATCACGGCATCACATAAAATCACCACAAGCAGTATCATATGCACCGTCACAGGTAATTATGTGAAATCCCACCATTCCTTGAGCAAAGCAAAGCCAAGCAAAGTGCACTAGCAATGGCAATGGAGCAAAGAATGAATACCCATCATGCGTACGTAAAACCCGCAAAACCAGAACCCACAATGCCTCCTAGATACACATAGTAGAAGAGACGCCCCCAGTAGCATACCTCCCCCCATTTCATCATCATCAGGTGAGCGCGTGAACAGAAGCCTTTCCTTTCCTTTCCCCCGCCCCCCGGCTTCGGTCTATCGTCATCGTCGAATGGAAATGGAAATGAAAAAAGGAAAAAAAAGGAAAAAGAACAACAAGAACAAGAAATACAAGCACGAGATCAGAACACCAGGAACTGGAACGGGAAGAAACACGGCAGGATCAGGGTAAAGGGAAGCAAGAGCGGCCACACAAAGTTAGGAAACAAGACTAGAAGAAAATAAGGAACAGCAATTGCAGATACAGACTCCCGGAGAAGGCTAAGATACCCTTCGAGTATCCCAACCCGCAGCACCGGCGTCCCCTACATTCCCTCCCTAAACCGTAAACTTCGGCTTGGCCCTCGTGGATCCTGATTGCGCCGCATCGGTGTGTCCCGAGAATTCGACCTTCTCAGCCTCGGCCAACTTGAGCACCTCCTTGAACCTCTTTCCGATCTCCTTGAGCGAGTCCTTGTTTCCGCCCTTGACGCCCGTAGTCCTAGTCCAGACGCCGATGCGGAAGAAGCCCCTGCGGACATTGACGACGACGCCCATGACCTCCTTGACATCGTCGGCCTCGAGGGTCTCACCGATCGCGGCGAGCATCACGTGGAGCCAGAGGTCGTCGATGGCCACCGCGCGCTTGTCTTTGAACTGGTACGCCCACTTGCCTCCGTTCATGTTCTGCTCGTCTTCCCACTCCGGTCGGACGCCCTGCTTGAACAGGTGGTAGTCGGACTTCAGCGCGAGCTCGGATGTTTTTTGGATGTTGTTCTGCATGTGCGAACGCGCTGTCAGCCGCACCATTCACCCCGCCATCCATCACTGCCGTTGTAGAGGGGTGAAAGAGTAGAGTGAACTCACGTAGATGCCCCAGAACTCCTCAACAGAGTCGAAAGTAACGACCTCCTTCAGCAGCTCGCTCCAGTCGTTACCACCCTATTGCACCGAACAGTCAGCACACATTCACGCCTTCACCAATCCATCCTCCCCCGTCTGCAACATAGTCTGCAACATACCTTTCCAGACGGCGGCTTAGTGAACCACAGGGTCCACTTGTTCATCAACGGGTGCTTAACGTTGAAGTTGTCGGCGGAGTGGAAGACGGTCAGCTGCTCAGTGGGCTTCAATCCGTCGGCAGCCTCGTCGGCCTCTCCGTTCGGCGGCGAAATCGGGATCTCCGTGAGAGGACGCTGCTCATCTCTGATTTCGAACGCCTCGGTTTCGGCAGCGGCGGCGGGAGTAGCCATGTTGCGTGAACTGTGGTGTGATGTGTTGTGGCGGGGAAGCGGGGTCGTGGGTGGTGCGTCGTGGGTTGAGGGTTAATGGTGGATGTGAGGGTGTCGGAGGTAGTGGCGGCGGAGGTGGTGGTAGAGGGTGGTGGTGGTGGCTCTAATGTGGTTTGTAGAGAGAAAAGTGTGTTGCGGCTTTGGTGGTTGGCTTTGGGTGGGCAGGGTCGATTGATGCGGGGGAGGGCAAAAATAAACAAAATTAAAAATACTTAAACCCTCGAACTCCAAATCGATTTATGCAGCCAATCACATTAACGCCTGTCACGAGTGAGCACACATGATTAATGATCTTGAAACGTGCAGATGTTTCTGCTTCGCACGAGCCGCGGCGAATACAGCCAACCGCGAGAGAAGTAAGTGGGACACACACAAAAAAAACACAGAAACACACACAAACAGATAGTAAGACACGAAAACACAGACAATCCCCAATCCTCATGTCGCCACCATTGGCATCGTCAAGACACAAACACAATGCTCTATCTAGGGTATTAGGTATGGAGTAAAGAAACGAGCCCCGGAAGATTGAAGCAAACTCAGAACAAAGAAAGCAGACAGAAACTAAGTACAACAAATATCAGCCTCATCTAGTCCCATGACCATCAACGCCTTTGTAGCCGACCAAGTGTAAAATCCATGCAGAAGTAAACGGTGTACCAGAAACAAGTCCTCCCATCATTTTATCGTGAAGCAAACAGACAAGCGAAAATGAAACTTTCATCTGATTCCAGATCGAGTTCGCAGCTCCGACACCCAACACTCAAAGAGTGGTTTTGTCCTATCCGGGTGAGAGCCGTCGTTTTCATTCAAGCCTTGACGGTCTTGCTGATCTTGGTGGCCGCCTCGTCGGTGAGTTCCTCGATGCGAGAAACCTCCTTGGAGCCGGGAGTGTCGTCCGTCTTGGAGTTGGCGTGGCCCAAGTAAGCGTTCCAACCTATTTCTGTCAGTAAATACCCTCTTCATACTCATACTGACAATTCTGAAGTTCACTCACCGATGGAGACGACGTTCACAACCATGAGCCTAAGATGCAAAGGCACCAGAGTGAAGTTGCCCAACTGCACGAAGGGCCAAAGCTTCCAGTTGGTGTAAAGAGTCTGCTCCCATTTTTCGGCGAGCTTCTTTTTGATGTCGCCGCCCTCCATGACGGTCATGCAAGTGAAGAAGGCAGCGATTCCAACGGGCGCAAAGAGCGTCTGGTCAGCGGCAGCTCTAGCAGCCGCGGTCGCGAACTTCTGTCCCTTGATGACGACGTGGCGCTCCAAGAGCTTGTACCAGGCGGTAGCGACCGGACCGAAGACGCCTACGGGAGCGAGTCAGATTGGAAGGCGGCGGAGAGAGAAATGGTTACAAACAGGCGCCGTAAAGAGTCATGCGCATAGTGCTGGCGAAGTCGTGGTTCTTGAGGCCCTTGCGCGACACAGCCTGCTGCGAGACGATGTCGCCGACTCCAAAAAGAGCCTATGGAATGCGATTAGAACTGCAGGTCGAATACCTGTTGTAGGAGGCGGGAATTACAGCTGAAGTCAACGACGCCGCGACGTACGGACGCTTGACGCTCAGAACGTTGTAGCTGGAATAAGTTAATGTTAGCTGACGATTATTTACGGGGCACTGAAGAGGATGACATAGGGGACTAAGGAGACTAAGGAGACTAAGGAGAGGCGGATACATACCTCACCACAAGACGAGAGGAGCGAATCATGTTCATGTTGTTTTTTTATGTTTGTTGGTGTACAGAATTGAAGTGTTATGGAGCTCGTACTTGTAACGAGATGGATTCAGATGGGGGAAGAGGTTGACGAGTACAAGAGAAGGCGGCGAAGAAGGAAGCAGAGGGATGGAGGAGGAAGGGAGAGAGCGAGAAGAGAAACAGGTCTCAGAGGGACGGAGGAGAGGAGGAGGAGGGGCAGCACGCTAACCTGTATTCGAGGTTTTCGACTGAATCAGGGAAGGGGTCCACAAATAAACAGCAACCAACGTTTCCAAGCACACAGCTTTGAGGCTCTGCCGAGGGGCACGGACCAGCTGCAGACGGGAGCATTTCCCGAATCAGCATGGTTGGAACAACCCCCACTCGCTACAACCGGAGAGCTGTCTTCCGGCAGCGAGAAAAAATCACAAACGAAACAGAGAAGAAGACGCCGATGGGAGGCGACGGGCTTCGGCAGGCACGCCCGGCATCCCCAGCCTCCATCGACTCTGCGGATGGGGATTGCGGCTTCCAGAAAGGCGCTAGAAGGGATGACGAGTTCGAGGCTGAGAAAGTGCGGAGGTCTGGGCGGAAGTATTCGAATCAAATGCACCACGGGTGACTCGGCCACTCTCAGCAACTCACCAACAATTGCATCTCACTCCCTCGGCCAAGCACTACTCCTCAGAGTAGGTAGTAGGTAGCAGAGTCGCAATTGAATGCCCATAGATACCAGTACATGTTATTCCATATTCGTACAGCCCATCGATACAAGTACATACATTCATACACCACAGCACAGCAACGATCCCCATCGCCCGTCGTCTGGCTCTAGATCTATTCCCCGTCCTCTTGCTCCACCTCCACCACCACCTCCTCTCCCTCCTCCGCCCCACTCCCGCCAATAGCCACAATCCCGCTCCAAACGACATACCCCATCATGCCCGCCACGCCACCCAGCACGAACCCCAGACTCTTCCACCACTCCCTCCTCCTGGCCAGTACCGCGCGCCGCTTCCTCTCCTCCAGCATAGGATCATCATCCCTCCACTCCTCGTCGCCTCGAGTCCACAGGCCACCGACCCAGCCCCTAACTTCATCAACCAGCACTCCCCCGAGCCACGGCAAATCCCCCCTCTCGGCCCTCCCCAGTACCACACCCTCCAGCAGCCTCGCGCGCATATCATGCACATAGGCAGCGAGCCTGGGCTCGCGCTGCACCGCGCTCTTTGCCCAGTCCTGCGGCATATCTGGGATCAAGAGCAGTGCGAGATACCCCAGCACCCAGCAGTCGAGACTACTCGGCGCAGCGCCGAACCAGAACGGCCCCGGACTGTCTGCGACCATCCGTGCCAGCGGCGAGAGGAAGTCCGCGCATACCCGCGAAAGCTGCACTTCGCGCTTCGTCCGCCCGACCTCCCCCTCCACGCCCCCCGCCCCACCCCCAGCACGCGCAGCCCGCACCGCCCGCTCCCCCGGCGTCTCGCCCAGCACTTCCATTCCCCCCGCCCCCTCCCCATCCCCCGCCCCTCCCAGCCCAACACCCAAATGCGCCGTCCTGCCCCTGGCCCTCCTCCTCTCAACGGTGGGATAGTAGTAACACTCGGGCCATCCTAGCAAGCTTGCAAACCCCGGCCTCGTAACGGCGGTAAAATTCTTCTCGTCGGCGTACAGCGACAGGTCCACCACCTCGCCGCCGCGCGATTGCACGTACGCCGTGAACGCGGTGATCTGCGCGCGCTCCCGCGCGCAAAAGAGGGAGTCCGGCGCGAGAGAGGGGTATAGTTGCGTTATGTAGTCGAGGATCTGCGGAAGGCCTGTGGACCAGACGGTGCTGTGTTGCAGGGCGGGGAGAGTTTCTGTAGGTTGGGGTCAGTGGGCGGGGGAGAAAGGGAGGAGGAGGAGGGGAAAGGGAAGGGAGGGGGCGCACTGCTAGGCGATAGGTGCGGATTGCTCGATGGGATGATCTGCCATTCCCCCCGTGGGACCGCGAGTTGGAGGTAGGCGATTGCGCTCAGGCAGTGCGGGTCGATGCTGGGCAGGCCGAAGCCGGGGCCCCAGACGTGAAGTGTGAGCATTGCGTGCGTGCTGCGTGCGTGGGTTGATGTGTGCTGGTGCTGGTGCTGGTGCGGCGGTGGGACGGTCGGTGGTGCGGTGGTGGTGGGGCGAAGGATTCAAAATTGGAGCCGCATCGCGGAGGTGCGGGGAGTTGACTAGGGATGAGCTACCTGGCTGGATTGGACACTCCCGGGTCATGGGTATCACTCGGGGAGGTGGCTATGGCGCTGAATAGATTGAGCTTGACGAGATGAGATGATGCTACTACAGTGTGTACAATCTCAAAACAATGCTATTAGCTCTCAATCCACGTCTTTAAGCTCTCTCCACTTGCATCTGGCGGTTCAGCTGCAGCTCTTCCACGCTCGGGCAAAGCCCACCCAGCAAGATCCAACTCCGATAGCAGTGAGTAGTGAATCCACCATATACGCCCCATTCCACCCGCCACTTCCGGCACACTTCTCATCTGGCGCCAACGTCTCAAAACCCGCAACTCCTTCCCGCCCACCGCCATCCCGCCCTCTCCAAGCAAGCCACTCCACTCCACATCATAGATCCCTTCCCTTTCCCTCAGCCTCTCCCACACCACGTTGCCAGACCAGACACTTTCCATTATCCCACCCGTAATAATCATACGGTACTCCGATTCACGCGTCAACAGAACCGGTGCCGCGCCTACTCGCACCGGTTCAGCGCCAGGGAGAAGCGGAAAACGCCGAGGCAGCGGTGGCAGGACTATTCCGGGGATGATGAGGACGCGGCGGGCGGTGGCGGGAGGTAGCGGTGGAGTTTGCGGGCACGGAGGGTGCACATGGTGGACATGGTGGATTGCCGGTGAGGAGGGTAGTGGTGGTGGTGATGATGCGGATTGAGGTAGAGAAGGAGGCGGGAGATAAGACTTGTTGGCGCAAACGTAGCTTCTCTCGCTCGAGGAGTCCTCAATGAGTGCTGTATTCGTCTCCATAGTTGTACTATCGACGGTCTTTGTTCCGGACTGGCATGAAACAAGGGACGTCGGAACAAGACGTCCAGCGGTGCGTTGTAATGTGTTGAGGTAGGTAGCTGGTGATCATCGGTTGGCTGGGAAGGAACGATCGGAAGTCTGTAGATGTGTCTGGTGGGCGGTCAGCATACAAATTCGACTTCAATCCTTCGGCGCAAGTCTCTGCTCACAACCGCAGAGGGTTACGGTTTAGAGGCTCTGAGATGATTAGACATACCTACACGCACTGACAAGGTAGGTAAGCTGGTCCCTCCGTACCCTCCGTCTGCGATTGTTGACAGTCCATAGACACTCGGCCTCTTCTCAACGATCCGGAAGACACCGAGTGCTTGATATGAGGTGTACGCCAACCTCTACCGCAGAGGCCTTTCCGCTTCAGCCAAACGATCCTCGCTCGCGGGGCCTAATCCACAGCGCAGTCTAGGGGACGAGTGTATTCCAGAGCGGCACGGAAACGAAGGAGGGATGGTGTTGGCACCGCGTGGCCGAGTCGAGTCGGGTGGATTGGATTGGGTGGAGCAGGATACGTCGGATGTACCCCGAGTAGCTGACAATAGACATTCATCTCAGGCAGCCCATCGTCGGTACGAGTGCCGACTGCGCAAGACTGGCCGTGAGCGCGATCATGGGGGAGCGCCGGACGGACTCCGGGGGTGTGTATGGCAGTCGAGGCTCGATATTTGTACCCGTAGAATCGACATTCCGTACCGAGTGCAGACGGGGAACAGATGAGGTGGCGTTCCCTGCAGACCTGGCGATATCGACGAAGGGCGGGCGGGGTGTTCGGTGGCGCGGGGCAGGCTCTCCGGACGTGTTCAAGGCACAATAGATCCCCCCGGTATCTCGTTCGGGACGTGGCAAAGACGAGGCGCGAGTCGGCGGGAATGGCAGTAGACGAGAGGCAGCGGGGCAACGGGTGAAGCTGAAGCGAGAGGATTCTTGTCTCCGGTGGGATTCGCTCGCTCGTTCCCGTTCGTTCGCTACTGCGGCAGCTAGCCCCTCGCTCGCTCCCACCACCACCTCCCCCCTCTCTCCTGTATGTAGGTGAGCCGCGAGCACTCTATGCTCTACTATTAGCTTGACGAATCCGATGCTGGACGGTGTGTACTGAAAGCGAATGAGATATCTCCAGGACGAAGAGTGTTCTGCCGTATGACTGACTGCTCGATTGATGATCGATCGATTGCTTGTAATTACTGACAAGTATCCAGCCTTACGTTTCCACCCAAATCCCCATATAGTTCAGATCGATTGTGAAGTCGCAGTAAATACGGTCCTCTTTGCGCGGGTTCGCCAGCCCATTGGCCTGGCCACTGGACGCCGGTCCTTTTGCTGTTTGTTGATCCCCACTATCTACCTTGACCTTCAGCTTAACCTCCAGCTCCCACCTTAACTCTATTGATCCACCACCCTACGCTCGAGGCGCTGGCCCATTCCGCTCCGCGCCCACCGTGGCTATTCGACTGTGCCCGCCTGCCCTTTTGCTCTGTCTGACTGCTGTTTCCTTTGGTGGATAATTTGCCCCATTCTTTTTCAGTTCTGTTCTGTCGTGATCTTCTTTCGCGCCCATATCATACAACCGGTGGCATTGCCCACTCACTCACACACCTCTCACTCCCTTGCTGTGCTGTGCTGCTACTCGCTCCCTCTCGCGCCCCCAAAGAGTCCCACCCAAGCAACCACAACCACCCACCACCACCTCCACCACCACCTCCACAACCACCACCACCCACCTACTACCACCAAACCCTCCCCTCCAAACTCCTACAGACTTCAACATCCCTCCGAGAATATCTCCTCTCGTGCCGAACCAAAGCTCTCATATTCGCACGCGAGAGAATCTCTCGTTCAGCACCGTTCACTCCGAAACTCGCTCGCCCTTTCCACCCATTTCGCTTACGCTTATCTGCGAAACCACTTTCTCAGAAGGGAAGACGGAAAATAACTGCTCTGTGAAAGGAGAAGAAGAAGACGACAAAGACGAAGACGAACAAGAAGAAGAAGAAGAAGAAGCCCGAGGGAAGTGGGTGCGCGAAAGAGCGACCCGAATACACTCACTGAGAAAGAGAGAAGGAAAGAAGGAAAGAAAGAAGAGAGTGCGAAAGCAAAGAGTCGGGAGAGAGAGACTGAGGCAGTGGGAGAGTGTGGTGTACCTACCGCCCTTACAATACCAATACCTCACCATAACAGAGCACTCCCGATCGCTCATCGACCCCCTCGCTTCACTACCGCGACTCACCTCACTCCGACAACTTCTCCTGCGCGCCGTTCCTACAGATCCTCCGCCATCGACGGAACCGGTCAATCTCGACATTTCACGAGCCGTCTTTGACCCCTACGTCGATGGCCGCCTCGAGAGACGGCTTGCCATACGGCTCCAGATGGGGCTTTCGCACTCCATCGCCCGATTTTGCGCGCACCGCCGTCGAGCCCCTCTCACCGCCTGCCGCTACTCCCGCTTTCGCCGCGAGATCCTCTTCGTTCTCGAACCCCAACTATCCCCCGCCGCCGACCACCTACTCCTCCTACAGCCCGCAGTATCCGCCTGTTTCGCGGAGCTCGCGCGATCCCGAGCCTGCCTTCCACCACCCTTCACCAAGAGCCCCTTCACCTGCTCCGAATCCCTATAACCACCACGGCTATAGTTTCGCTCCGCCAAACTACAAGCTGCTACCGAAAGCGGCACCGAATCCCCTCGATGCTCTCGCCGACATCGCGCTCATGCACGGCGCTGGTCGTCTCCCATCGGGCCCCACATACAACCCCCCGCCACTGCTGTTCCCAACGATGGCATCACCATCGCCCCCGGTAGCCACGGCAGTAATGGTCTCCCCTTCCCCCTCCTGGCAGCGGCCGGATTCCGCGCTACCCCCGACTATGCCGACAAGCAAGATATCGATGGAGCGGATCATCCCGCACGCGAAGCCTGCACACGAGCACAACTTTGGTCCTATCGGTCAGGAGAGACGCTCCGTCTCAGGCGGACGGGAACGTAGGAATTCTGCTATCGCGGATGCGCCTTTGTCTCCTCCTTCACCGGCCGCCGTGCGACTACTCCCGATGAAGTCCAGGCTTCCACTGCCGGATCTGCCCCGGGCTGTGATGGAACCGCTACCTGTTATGGAACCGCTATCTGCAAGGCTGCTGCCTTCAGTGATCATGATGTCTGAGCCAGCTCCGCCAGCAGAAATCCAGCTACCACAGCCAGGGCCGACGCCCGAAGAACTGCGATCGCGATACCCGTGGATTAATGCCTCCCCGGTGGACATGTATATGGACTCATCGAACGATGGGGAAGATGACGAGGATGGGTTCAGCATTGCAGTGATGCGTCCAGGGGACATGTCCAAGGCATTCGCCCAGTATTATGAGACTCCCGCGGAAGGTTTTCTGGACGTCGATGTTGGCAAGTCCAAAACTACGTCTCTTCCGACTCCAAGCCAGGACGATCATGTCATTGGCAGTCCTTCCGACGTGGTTATGGAAGATGTAGATGAGGCGCCTCGAGTCAATGATTCGGCCGCCAATTTTACCCCAGAAATCGCTGAGGATGAGAGTCCCGCAGAGGTAGCCGCGGTCGTCGAGGACGTGGCAACAGTCAATACAGAAGCTGGGGAATTGATGGAGGTGGATGAGAAAATGGCAACCGACCCACCTGCTGTGGATGCGACCTGTGAGTTTTCTTCGAAGAGGGGTTTTCATTCCCAAATTTTGACTCGCTCTGCTTTTAGCTACGGAGCCGGACAGCAATTACGGTACCCTCCTTTCAAGCAAGGTGCCGCCGGAAAGCAAGCCGGACTTGCCTCAGCCACTACCATCTGCCTCGGACGAATCCCTCGATGTTGTTGATCCAATGGTTATCGATCAGGATGTTGGTGACTCTGCAAAACACACGGCTACAGCCGGTGTTGAAGCATCTGTCCCAACTGCAACTCCTGTTCCGGTAAGTTGTTGAGGAAAGGTCTACGCAGGGCGATACTAAACGATTTGGACTCTAGGATGAGGAAATCTTGCGAAATCGTCGCTCTTCGAGTCGCCTACTTAAATCGTCCGAGCCAAAGAAAAATAGCCGGAAACCGAAAGAAAAGTCCGTCCCGGAGCACGTCGGTGCTGCGTCTGGTGCGCAGCGTTCCGACAACGAAGAGGATTGCCAAACCTGCAAAGTCCATTATTCGGAAGACGATGGACGTAACGGTGCATGGATTGGCTGCGATGGCTGTAAGGGTTGGCATCACGCGCGTTGCGTCAAGCTTGATCAAGCGGCCGTAGACAAGATTGATAAGTTCTATTGCGTCTCGTGCGAACCAACGCATGGCAAATCTACTTGTTAGTAACTCTGATTTCCTCCCCCCACATCACTCGCCAGACGGAATCGTAGTAATGGTTCTTTTCTATCGTTAGTGAAACGATCCTCTGGCAGAGCACGCACGGCAATCGACTATGAAGCTCTGCACCATGGTTCTTCAGCACCAGTCAAGAATCCGGATGATGCTAGGATACATCCATACATTCGCAAGATCCTTGATAAAGGCCACCCCTTCGCCGAAGACAATCTCAAGCGCCTCAGGCCCGAGCTAGTCACCGCCGCGGTGATAGACAGCAACGACGCTGCCTCATGGAAGGAGCCGTTTATCGTCCCGGCAAAGTGGAACCCGACGCCGTGGCACAATGACCCCAAGGCTGCTCCGTCTGCGAGTCTAACGCCGGTCTCTCCTGGCACTTCTGTGCCTCCACCACCTCCCGCTCCCGCCAACGGCACGAAAACGAGATTGGGCTCACCTGCTAGCAAGTCTCGTCAATCGCTGGATTTCGACGAACCTATCCAATGGGCACGGAGGGAAGACGCAGACGCGTTGGACATGAGGATTCCATCCGGACTGACCGTCCGTCGCGTAGCCGAAATGGTCGGCGTCAACACGACCGTTCCGATGATGGATGTGGTCACTCAAGAGCCCCCGAAGGAGCCATGGACGATGGGTCGTTTGGCGGACTACTTCGAGAGCCCAGAAAAGGACACCATCTACAACTGCATCAGTTGCGAAGTGTCGACAAGTCAGCTTGGAGAAATGATCTCCCGTCCCAGGGCTGTGAGAGAGACGGACTTGGCGGACCGAGTTTGGGATTGCGCTCCCGGGTTCGCGAAACCGACAGTCGGCAAATACGTCCTGATGTCCGTCAAAGACTCCTTCACCGATTTCCATGTCGACTTTGGCGGTTCGTCAGTCTTCTATCACATCTATGAGGGACAAAAGGTGTTTCTGGTCTTGCCACCAACCGAGAAGGCCTTGAAGACGTACGAAAAATGGTCTTCGTCGGAAAGCATGAACTATACTTTCCTTCCGGACCTGCTTCCGGATATCCCATGCCGCCTCATCACGTTGAATAAAGGCGATACTTTTTTCATACCGTCGGGCTGGATCCATGCAGTGTATACTCCGGTTGACAGCTTGGTAATCGGTGGAAACTTCCTCACTCGGGGCTTTTACATCAACCAGATGAGAGTCTACAATATTGAGGCGGTCACGGGAGTGCCGAAGCAGATGCGATATCCACGCTATGCAACTCTCATGTGGGCTGTCATGTTCAACTATATTGAGAAGGACCGGATGCCGAGGAACATCGAGAAGGATATCCTTACAGCTATTATCGGACGAAAGCATAAACTTCGATTGTCTCAGATTCCTTACTCGGTCGAAGAGCTCAAAGGACTTCCCAGTTTGCTGGACTTCCTTCACAGGAACGTTATGATTACCCTGGGCGTTATCACCACGTCGCAGCGACCTGGAGCTACAAGGCTCTCCAAAACGGTTGTGGATAACGTCAAGAAAGCGGTTCCGTGGCCGGTCAATCGGAACCCCCTCCTGTACCTCAAACACTTTGCACGTTGGTGTATCTGGAAGCGGGCTTGTGCCGATATCGTTCCGGGTGGCGAGAAGGTTCCCGATTGGGCGCAAGTGGAATGGATGCCTACACCAATGGGCGGCACGACTGACATGAAAGTCGAGGAGGCTGAGGGCGACGGGGAGGGTGCTGGCATCGACGGCGAGACTCCGAGACGTGGAGGGTTGAGGGAGCGTTCAAAGCCGTCTGTCAGTCCTGAAGATAATCTCGAGGATTTCAACTACTTCCCAGAGCGTCTTCTTCCAGTCGTTGCCGGTTTGAATGGAACTCGGCGATCTTCATCGATGGTGCCAGGGAAGAGGTCGGCTACACCAACCCCTGGACCTTCTTCCTTGAAGAAGCCCAAAACAACTCGACGTAACCGAAATACTACGCCTGCGCCGTCGTCCGCCAATTCGAAGAATCATCAGGTCGAGTACCTCAAACTCACGGACGGAAGCTTGTATGTCAAGAAGTTGTCGAACCTCGGCCCGCCTCGTATCGGCTGCGAGAGTTGCCGACTCAAGAAGACCGGCTGCAAGCATAAGGACGAGATTCGCGCACGCGGCTGGTGCGATGACGACAGAGCCACGACTCTGGATCCCGAGTCTAGAGTTGATATGGACGAGTTCGATGATGACGACGAGCCGATGGATGACACGCCGAGCAAGCCTGCGCCCGTCAAGGCTTCTCCAGCTGTGGAGAGAGCAGCATCACCGCTTTTTCCGGCGCCGAAGTTTGCCGCTGCGTCGTCTTCGATAAGGCTGTCGGTGCCACCGGAGGCGTCGCTAGCTGGTAGACGAAGTCAGACGCCTGCGAAGTCTTCGTGCAATTCCAAAGCGACTGCTCTCGGCTCCATGGGGCCGCCAGCGGGCTACAAAGGACGCAAACCTTCGTGTGAAGACTGCAAAGCTCTCAAGGTACAATCCCCCATGCATCCCTTGTGTTTCCTGTACTAACACGCCATAGAAAAAATGTCTCCACCAGGACACGTGGAAGCTCGTCCAGGATAAGCAGGCAGCGGCGGAATACAAGAAGGTGCTCAAAAAGCATGGCATTGAGAACCGCCGCCAGGCGAAGGAGTCGAAGCGGAAGGCGACCGTGGCGCGCCAGAGGGAGGGCGCCGTCACCAAATCGGTTACGCCAGTGCCAGTGGAGCAAGAAAGCGCCGACAGTGCGGTTCTGCGCGCTCCGCCGTTGCTGGTGCCGATTCAGCCTGCTCCTCCAAGGCAGTCTAAAACGCCGATTCCGGTGCCTGGTACGACGAAGGAGCCGGTCGAGGAGACTGTCGTGGAGACAGCTATGGAGACTGTCGAGGAGCCGGTCAAGGAGGCTGTCAAGGAGGCTGTCAATGAGGTTGTCAAGGAGGCTGTCAAGGAGCCAGCCAAGAAGCCTGTCAAGGAGTCGGTCAAGGTGACAGTCAAGGAGACAGTCAAGGAGCAAGTCAAGGAACCCGCCGAAGAACCCGTTAAGGAGGAGGAGGAGGACGACGAAGAGCATAAGGAGGAGGAGCCTGTCAAAGAGCTCTCCCCTATTGCTAAGTCAGTGCGTGTGAAGCGGCCGCTCAAGCATGCTTCGCCAGCTCGGCCCTCTTCGAGGAGTAAACGATCCTCCAACGTTCTTTCCCCCAGTAACGACGTCGCCCGTCTCGATCTCGATCTATCGATACTGGCGGAGGAACAGCAGTTCACGTCCGGCCAAGGTAGTGTTGAGCCGGCTCTGGATCCCAGTATCACGGCGCCTCCCATCGAGATCGAGGACACGCCGCCCAAGACGCGCAAGGCGCAGCAGCCCAGGACCATTCCCGGCGAGTCGTCGCCAACCTCGCCGAGTACATCGCCATCCATGGCACAGAACGACATTCAACGGGAGTACATCGCGGCGCTGCATCAGCGCGCTAAGGTTACGTACACGAACACCAATAGGAGCATCAAGCGGAAGGCGGAGGAGGAGAGTCCTGAGCAGCCGGCGACTACTACATCTAGCAGTCGGCGCGTCAAGAAGGAAGTCGTCGTTGGAGACGGTAAGACTACGTTTGAGAATCTGAGGCAGCTCAGTCTGGGTCTCAGAGTCAGGGGGCAGAGGGGTGGCGAGGTCTGTTGAGATGAGATTGGGGGCATCTACACATTGGTTTTTCTTCGTTTTTTTTCTCTTCCTTTCTCGTTGATTTGATTTCTTCGTCTTACTGCGTTCGTTCTATCTATGGGAGTGTGGAGTTACCGCGCGGAGTGGGTGGGATGGGTGGGGGGGGGGTTTTTTTTTATTTGATGCCGCTTGCTTGACTGACTGCTTGACCGATCTGATTGCTGGTGTTTCATGCATGCGTGCTTGCCTACTTAAGTATTTTCCTCCTGTTTTGTTTATCTTTTTTTTCCCTTCTTCGCATTCCATTTCGCTTGTCATCCCACCATCATCCATCTATTATTACTACTTTTTACTTTTACTCTACTACCTAAAGTCACGTTCGTCAGCCTCGAGGCCATTCCCGTCCGCTTAAACACCACCCTGTTGGATTTTCCTTTTTTTCTTCCTTTTCTTATTAAGATCCAATCCAAATCCAGGCCCTTGGTTATTGCTTGCTTTGCTACCTTTCTGCTGGAGGTGTCTGTCTGTCTGTCTGTCTTCGCGGAGCGTGCCGGGCTTGTTTTTTTTTGCCTTCCTGCTTTCCTGCTTTGCTTGTGCTTCTGATTATGCTCCTGCTGCTGTTCGTATTGGCTTGTTGTTTCGTGCATGTGCCACTGCTACTGCTGCTGTTCGTATTGGCTGTTTGTTCTGTTTTGTGAGTGTGTCTGTCTGTTTGCTTGCTTGTTGGGCGATGATGGAGTTTTTTACTTTTTTTACTTTTTTACTTGTTTTTTGAAATTATGCATCGTTTATTTTGTGTCGAGTAGGAAATTGTGCGAGAGAATGGAACTGGAAGAATTGAGCTGGATGAACTGAAACTGGATGAATTTTTGCGTGAGTGAATGGGAGTGAGTGAGTGAATGGGAGTGAGAGTGGGTGTGAATGGGGGTTGCAACTTGCTGGCTGTAGTAAGGTGAGGTAAGCCAAGGGTCAATACGCAATGAAGATTGCGACCTATAGACCACGATAATAAGGATTGACGATTGTAGTTGCAGAGACAGAGAGTAAAATTTATTGTCGCATACGGCCTAACTACGGTAGACTACCTATGGCGACCACGAAGTCCAAATCCGACCTTTCCTGCCATCTCCACGGGTAGTACCTACCTCTTCTTACCTACATGGATGGTGATTCTGTAGGGCGGAAGGCAACGGGACTTAAATCCTGCATGGAGTGATACCCAAAGATCACCAGTCACTAACCATCACTCCGCCTTCCTACACACCCTACATTCCTACAAGGTTGGGATTTTGGGTTAACCCCCACGCTGTATGTAGGCCATTGCAGGGAACGAAATGCCAATTCATTCTTCATATCTGGAACCGAGATGCTTATAATCCTACAGTTGTGCCTGCCAGGTAGGTATTTAAGTACCTATGATACCTGATATGTGATATGACAATGCCGTAGGACTGTGAACAGGGTATTCCTACATACATAACGGCTATATAAGAACGTCCCCCGACTCCTCGGGGAAATCGTCCACCACGACGCGTATCCTGCCATCACCCTCACAACATCCATCATGATCCGCACTCCCGCCAGCCTGCGTAAATCCTGCGGAAATCCTACGACTGTATCATCGTTGTCATCGACGGCGGCGTTTCGAGCCTCCTCGTCGCCAACCGGCTCATCAGCGAGGACCCAGCGAGACCCAGCGGCGAGGACCCAGCGAGACCCCAGCGAGGACCCAGCGGCGAGTGGAGTGTGCTCGTCGTCAAGTCCTCGTCGTCGAGGCGGGGGGATTGTAAGTCTTCCCACCTTCCCCTTCCCCAGGCGCCGGCGGGCGGGAGTTCCTCGTCCCCGGCGATGTCGGCAAGACTACAGTATGGGCACGGCGTACGACTGGCAGGTACCGTCAGTGGCGCAGGAGCAGGAGCAGCTGGTCAACGGCAACGGCAACATCACGATCCCGCTAGGCAGGGTAAGGTAGTTGGCGGGGGGAGCGCGATCAACGGGATGATATTCCAGCTTGTCCAGCGGGGGGCGCCGGCGGACTACGATGTGTGGGCAGCGCTGCGGAACCAGGGTGGGGCGCCGGCGGGGATGCTGTTGTACTTCCTAAAGACCGAGACGTCCACGCTCCGCTGATTCTGAGTGCGCATCTGCAGGCGGGGATGTATGCGCTTGCCGAGAGGGCGGCGGATCTGGTCAAGGAGGATTGGAAGTAGATGAGAAGGTACTCGTGTTTGATATTGGACTTTCTTGTGGCATCTTTCCATCTCACAGCCTCTCACCGAATGCCTTCACGCTCACTACAGAACGTTTGAACATATCCATCCATTCTTTCGCAAACTAAAAGTATTATACAACCGAAATCTATGACAGAGGTCCCATGATATCTCTCTTTTAGTCCTAGTTAGACCTCGCTTCACCATCACTCATCGGAAAAGAAATAGAAAATGGAAAGAAAAAAAACTCCGGAAACCCCCTCGCATCCATACCCAGCAAGACCCAAATTTAGAACAACAGGAAATCATCATGTACGCCGGCACCGCTCTACTGCTCAATGGTCTTGAGCTTCTTCGACATGCTGTAGTCACTCGTTAGCACGTGTACTCATGATGGGATCGGAGAAGGGGAACATACAAATCAAAGAAGGAGAACTGGCTAGGACTCGAGCCGTACTCATAAACAAACCTGGAAGCCAGATAGCTTCCGAAGATTGCCTTCAGGTAGTTGGCCGGCACCCTCTCGAGGATGGTATCCAAGCCAATTTGCTTGACCAGCAGGTGGGGCAGCGCATCCTCAAGGATGCTGGTCCGCAGCGGCACGTTATTCCACAGATCAGTCTTCTGGAGCTCCTCATCGAGCTTGGTGATGGCTACGGAGAGCTCGTCTGAAATCAGCGAGCGGGGCTTCGCAGTCTGCTCGTGTTCGCGCCAGATCGCCTCGAACTCTAAACGCGCATTGTTCTGAATGGTTGCCTGGACCGACTTGACGTACTCCTTGTAGAACTCGGGGAGACCGGCGTCGCTAACGCACATGTGCTCGGCGAAGCCCTGCTCGTCAAAGGCCAAGGAAGCGAGGACCTCGAGGGATGAACTGGTCACACCTCCCTTGTTGGCGCTGGCATCCTTGTACAGAATGCAGCCAGCCTTCTCGAGGTACAGCTTGGCCTCCTGGGTAATGAACAGGTTGGCACCCTCGACGATGTACGGAATCGTGGTCTCGCCGTTCTTAACCAGACATCCAACCTTGTTAAGATCAATGGCCTCGGGCCGTCCTCCGCAGGGAACCATGATGTCGTACTTGATATCGGTACGGAGGTGGAAGGTGTTCCGGAAGATCGTACCATTGGTGACCATCTCGCCGTTGGGAAGCTTGATGTTGTTGTCCTCGACGAGAACACGGTAACCCTCGGCGGACAGCTTGGTATCGTCAAAGCTCGAGATGGTTTTTCTGGCCTTCGCCAGACGCACAAGCTCCTCCCTGTCGAGACCTTGCGTGTCAACGATGACACCGGATCCGTCAACTGCAAAAACAAATCATCAGTAAACAATATCAAACCGAGCGGAGGGAGAGAAAAACATACCGATAGCAATGTACATCTCGTTACTCAACAAGATCTCGTTGGATCCCAAATCGCCATCTGGACCACCAGTCTGAAGCTTGCGGACCTTCGAGGGGTCAATGTTCAACTTCCTATAGATGCCATTGACGTATTCTCGGACACTCAGAGTGGTCATTCCGTACTCATCGTGGGGAATGCCTCCCAACTTGGTGCTCTTGCCAGTGAAGAACGACTTCCACCAGGGAGCGCCACGAGCCTTTGCGTGCTCCGTCGCCCAGTCAACCAGTCCAGCCGTACCCTCGTCGGGACCCATGAAAAGGATCTCGGGCTGGGCATGAAGATCGACGATGGGATCCTTGATACCGGGGCTGCGAGGAGGAAGTAAAAGATCGAGGATCGAGTCGATGTACTTCTGGAAAGCGACTTTGGGCTTGTCCTGGTGCTCGGGATCGAGAAGGATGACACCCTTGCTGCCGCCCTCGGGGATGTCCTTGTTCTTGCGCTGCTGAGTGTTCGCAAGGTTGTAGTTCTCGTCGAAGACAGAGCGCGCGTTGATGGACCAGTGCTCCTTGTTCCTGCTGTGGACGAGACGGATTCCTCCACGGGCGATGTCCCTGAAGCGCAGATGGAAACCGCGGAACTCGGATCCGACAACCATGAACATTCCAAAGAGAGGCTGGGGGTACTCGCCGACGGGCAAGAATCCAGGACTCATGCGGAAACTGAGAGCCATCTTGGTGGGCGTGTAGAAGTTAGTCTTCAACACGTGTGAGTTAAACGTTATAAACTGATACATGATTTTTTGCTGATTTTCGTTGGCGACAGCAGAATCAATCTTCTCCTTCAGTTCTTCATTGTTCAGGATCCGACCCATCCGGATGCGCTGGTAGCTCAGCGTAGGCAGGAAATTATCATTCTCGCCCTTCACCTGCACATAGTGCGTATTGGCGAATGATAGGTACAAGGAGCAGATGAGATCCGGGTGGTCGTTTATCACGTCGTAAATGTAATCGGCCGTGAAGGTCTCCTGACGGAGACGACGCTTCATGGTGGACAGTATCTCGGCGTGCGAGCTGTTGTTGTTGTCCAGCAGCTTCGATAGCTCAGCGTACTCGGAGCCGAGCCTATTGAGAAAGTGGCTAACAAAGAGGGAGACGCAGTGAGCGTACATGGTCTCCTGAAGACTCAACTGACCACGGATGAAGTGGTGTTGGAATTTATTCTGCGGGATGCAGTACAGCAAGCTGACCTCCTTCATGATCTGCTGGATCGAGTCTTCGATGGGCGGGTGTCTTGCGTGGCGAGCCTGCGAGCCGGGGAGAGGTCGAAGGTACATGGACATGACGGTGACCCCGTTCGAGAACTGCTCGACGTACTTGCGGGCCGACGTGCATCCGTAGTAATGGTAGAGATCACTCAATGCCGAGAACAGGCCCATAGTGCTACCTTGCTTGTATCCTATGACAAGCCGCTTCTCGGGGGTGTTCTCGATCTCGAATACCTTGATCACCGGTCCGGTCCGTCGCTCGATCACGGCCGTCACGATGTCCTGGTAAATTTTCTTGGTATTGGGCGTGACCTTCTGGAGGAAGATCTTGTCCGACACAACCGCCAGGTCCGTCTCTTCCTTGTCGGGCGTAGGGTTCACGAAGTCGCACTGATAGACGAAGTAACAACGCAGGCGCTCGTCTGTGTCGGAACCGCTCACCAGCGGGGACGATGACCTGAACGTCTCGACACGGTACGCCTTCTCCGGATTCGATACGTTGAGGTATTTCTCATCGATCCGCTGTTCGTACTGCGGGCCCTGGAGCACCGAGACACCGGGGGTAGAAGTATCGATGTAGACCGCGTGGTCTGGATGAGCTGTCAGCGTCCGGTCGGGGGAGGGGTGGTACAAGCAAGACAACGGAATTCGACATACCCTCATGCTCTCTATCCAGACGGATCGTCAGGCGATTGTCTGCGCGAGCAAACGCCTCAATCTTTCCAGCGTACAACGAGAGGACGTGGTTGGTAATGGCCTCTGCTGTTTCGTGCTTGAAGTACATGTCTGCGCCAGTCAGCGCCAGTCAATGCAGATCATCCTAGCGAGCACACATACCATCAATTCCCAACGAGTTATAAAACCACGAGGTTTCTGAATCGATGAACTCTTCAGGGACGAAACCCTTCTCCTCCAACAGATCCATTACTGCGATCGATCAACCCCGGTCAGCCAGTACTCCCATTAGGAGGAGATAGACGTTTATTAACCCATTGTCATCTGTTCTTCCTTGCCCTCGAACGCCGGTGCGATGTAACCTGTAGCATCCTCCCGACGGATTTTCTGGCTAGTACCATCGGGGACGACGACGGTTTCATCGATCTTGCCATTGATGGACGGCGTCATGGTTTCGGTAAAGGGTGGAATTGTAGAAAGAATCTTTTTTCGTTGCAAGGGATTTCAGTCAGCCCAATTGAGTTCGGATGAGGCGTTGGAGATGGAAAAGGTAGTTGATGGGACGAAGGGAAGTGGAAGAGGGTATATAAGGTGAAAGTCTCAGGACACCTGAGCTCTAGGGTAGAGGGTGGAGCTAGCAGAGAGCTCTCCCAGGTGCTGACAACCAGCAGGGATGAGCTGTCAGTCGCTCTAACCTCTGCGGCAACCTCGACCAGCTCTGTAGACGCATAGAGACAGGGCCCCACAAGTCTTCGCATCGTTCCGGACAATAGAGAACGGGTTGCACGATCTCAAGTAGTGTTGGGTAGATCGATGCGAGAGCCCAGGGCAATCTGAAACCAAGAGAAGGGCAACTGGAAGACTTACTGTTGACAAAGAGATGTGAGCTTGATGGAGCTAGGGTATTGATGCAACCAACCCAGGAGTGATTGATGGGAGGGATGGAAGGCGGAGGATGAAGGTTGTCTTCGTAGGGAGGAGGTACGATGACAAGAGCGGGCGAGGAGGGGAGGAGAACGATGCGGGTGGGGGGAGGGGAATTTATATACGTGGGGAGGGGAGGGGAGGTGGGGAGGAGCGGTGGAGGGGCAAACAAGAGTGAGCAAGAGTAGAGCGAGCAAGAGTAGAGCGAGCAAGAGTAGAGCGAGCAAGAGTAGAGCGAGCAAGAGTAGAGCGAGCAAGAGTAGAGCGAGCAAGAGTAGAGCGAGCAAGAGAGGTTTGTTGTGATAGGATTTGGGGTTCGGGAGGTGTTGTCCGGTTGTTGTCAGTCGGTGTCGAAGCACGTCCGTGTTGGTCTCGGATGGAAGGTAAGGTAAGTGAGAGGATGCAAAGCTCGAGGTGGGAGGCAGACAGATGTGTGTACCCTCCACACCGGAGGGTTGCTTGAGGTTTTTTTATGAGTGGGAATTTCTTTTTTCTTTTTTTCTTGCGCCTGAACAAGAAGTGATGATACCCGTACTGGATTTTTTCTCCCCCTTGCGATGAGGTAATTGCTAGATTGATTCGAAGACCAGATCTCCCACCCCGTTGCCGCTGCTCACTTGGCTCTGCCGTGTGCTTGCGTGCCCCACAAGGATGCGCACGATGCACACGTCCACCATCATCACCACCACATTGGTCTCGTCTCGTCGTCCCTCTCCGCCGCCGTGCTGCTGTTCCTACATCGCGCCGCCACTGCCAGTAGGCACGTTCATTACTCACCATCCACCCATTCACCCACCCATGTGGTGTGTACGATTGGCCGGCACAAGGTATGTATCACCAGTATACGGACCATGTCCTTGGCCAAAAGCGAGCGAGCTCGCGAGCATCATCGCTCCAGATCTCACGATGCCAGCCGGGATCGAATTGAACACTCTATGTAGGGTCCCACCGTACATTGGGGCCTCTCTCAACAGTCGAGTCAGCAACAATAATCACAACAACATCATAGTCGTCAAAGGGCAAGGCCAGCCAGTAGTAACTAGCGCGTGATGTCCTCCCGGTGCATGAAGCTCCGTATGCTCGCTCGCCCTTCGATTAAACTTTGCCTGCCTGCCTGCTCCTGAGATCTCTGGCCGGCACATCTACTCTACTCTACTCTGGAGCATCAACCGTTGCCGTTGTGCATCCGTCATCGGCCATCGACCATGCTCATCGTCATCATCGATATATCGAGGGTTTTTTCCCTTCTTCCTACTGAACGCACACTTAATTTACCTTTTCACGTTCACGGTTGATTGACATAGAGTAACAAGTTGAAAAAAGGAAAAAAGGAAAGGAAAAAAAATTGATGAGAAGAAAAAAGAAAAAATGCCTCAGCACTGAGCAGGGCAGATCTTCCCCCATGCCATGCTATGCCATGCCCTGCCATGGCAATATCGGGTCCGTCGAAACGGCGCATTGCGGGGAAGAAGACGACGACGACGAGGAACCGGCGGTCGGTTCTCGGTAGAGCATAGAGTAAACTGGAAGGCATCTTGCCGCCCGCGTATAGTAACAGTTCCCCAGACCTCTGCAGTAGAACAACGGCAAGGGCATCTAAGATTCTACATACACACTTTTACTTGCATATGCTCCTTCGTTGCGTAGATGATGATCCGCTGCCAGCCTGCACTCACGCATTCGGCAGCTCTAAGCTTACGGCTCGTGACTTTCTGCCCTGCCCTGCCGGCCCTGGACTGCCCTGCCCCGCCCCGCCCCGCCCGCTTCGCTACTCTACTCCACCTACCTGCTTAGCCACCCAGATCCCACACGAAATTGCTCGCCATTCGTTCGTCATTCGTTCGCCATCGTTTTTTGTTATTATTGTAGTCTCTCACCTGACCGAGCCTGGCAGTGGGCACGGACACGGACAAGGAAATCGCTTCTGAGTTTACGAAGCGCCGGAGTGCAAACTGACTGCAACTGCAACATATCAGGAAAACTGTTCTCCGTAGTAAGGAGGTCGGTAAGTAGCGACCGAGCTTCTCGAATCGTCAGGATGTGGGTGTGGGCCATCTGTTCTGTTTTGTTCCTGACAGGACAGGGCAGGACAGCATGCACGCACGCACGCAAACTTCGAGAACGAAGGAAGGAAGCTGTCGGGTCTTTTGTCTGTCTGTTTGTCTGTCTGTCGGTCGATCTGTCTCTGTCTGCATGCTGGAGCCGCATCCGATGCTAGCCGCCTTCTCAGATCTCTCCTTCCACTGCTCCAAACTCTCGAGTCTCCAGTTTGATCGATTGAGCACGGGGAAAATAAAACGTAAAACACGAAAAATAAAGAAACAGAACAGAAAAACAGAAAAACAAAACGGAAAACATGAAAAATAGAAAAAATAGAACAGAAAAACAGAAAAATAAAACGGAAAACATGAAAAATAAAAAAAATAGAACGGAAAAACAGGAAAAAATAAAAACAGAAACGTAAAAAATAACACCCTCTTCTTCTCTTCCTCTCTTCGATTCAACATCCTCTAACGGCAGGTCGATGTCACCATACGCCCCATCGTTCCAACGTTGACCTTCTCTTCTCTTCGGCTTGCCGAGCTCAGCTCAGCACGGCTGTCTCAGCTTTCGACTTACTCTAGTAAGAAGAGGCCCACCAAGCGGCCCACCGCGCGCCGCACTCAACGCTTGGGTCGTCCTGACCCTCCCCGCATTACGCCATGTAGAGTTTCTACCGGTAGTGTACCCTAGAGCGACAAGTACCCCAGATTCTGCAAAAGAGAGGGAGGGTGGTTGCCGCTGCGCTCCCTTCCCGCCAGTGCTACATACATGACTCCTGGTGCCTGGATCAAGGTACACAGGTACCCAGCACCGGTAGACTGGTTTGCGGAGAGCTTTCTCCGCAGCAGGTTCGAGCAACTCTACGGATGTTCCAACTCCGAAGGGGAGCGTGAAGCACAAAGCACGAAACTCAAAACGTGAACTTTCATGCGGCCTTGCAACCAACTTATGTAAGTACAAAGGTGTGCGCTCATACTGCCCGCCTCCATGCCCTGACAGACAAACAAACGCTCGCGGGTTCGCTCCCATCCGCAGCGAGCACATGATACCACAGAGTACCAGTACTTTATTCTTACGTAAAAACCCCTCTGCGATCCTCTCTTCTTCTCCTTCTTCCTCTTCTTTCTCCTTCCGCCTTCTATGTATCATACGTACTCCTCCTACGTCCCCCTTCTTACGTACCCCTTCGACTTTTTCATATTCAACTCCAACTCCATTCCACTGCCATCCAGAGTCCAGAGTCCAATCCATCCAGTTTTCCCCACGAAACGCACCCTCGCCCGCATCCGCACCGGACAAATTCTTTCAAGGCGTTGCGTGCATGATGCAGCACAGCAGGGGACTAATCGTTAACGCCATGTGCAGCCGGCACCACCCCACCCAGACTACTCGCCGCGCCGCGCCATGTGGACGAACAATGCGAACGAAGCGGAACTGACGAAGCGGACGCGAGCGAGTATCCTGATGCAGGCACAACCGGGAAGTTTTCTTTTTGGGAAAGAAAAAACTTGAGGTCTGGAAGTGTGCTGGCCGGTGGCGAGAATATGTGGCAAGTCTTGGGAGGGTTGGTGGGGTGCAGATGATTGAGAGGACTGTATGTACATGCTTTGATGTACACATCTGGAGTAGAGTAGGTAGGGTAGATACAGTCGTGTTTTGGTGGAGAGCTGGGAGCTGGGGAACGGCCGTGGAGGAGTAGTGACCTCCAGAGGACCAGTACCTGGTTGGGCTCAGATGCGATCGATTAGATAGCTGTCGGGTCCATTCTCACGACTCGTGTCGGAGATGTCCACCAATTTCTGCATAGGCACTCAACGACGACTTTATCAGTCTCAACGGCTCCTCCACTGCTAATGAACGGGCCTGCGCTCAAGCTCAAGCTCGATTCGAACCCACGGTATACCTAGTAGGTAATCAACCGCAAAAGTGCCCAGAAGTTAGAACACTGACTGGAAAGTTGAAACACAAAGACGACATCCCGTCCGTCTCGAGTCTTGGATACCTACCTGCTGCCGCTTACCGGCAGTGGCAGTGGCAGCAGGAGAGACAGAGTCCGACCACCGACCGACAGAACGTGCCGGAATCAGGTGGCCGCAAGCACAGATGTCTGGGTTCCTCACGGGTTATCACTCGGTGTACCATAAATACCTCCATACGCATAGTTACATACGAATAGTTACCTACTGTTGAAGTATATGCGTGAACAGATGATGATATTCTATTCGATGCAGAAAAAGAACCTATCGTCCACGGCGAAGACCTCTATTTATGACTGGGAGGCCACCTAAAGTTGGCCGCCGAACAGAGTTGGCCGCTCATCAGACTTCGCCGGGCCCGCTCATCAGAGTTCGCCTGGCCGCCGTCGAGACTCTTCCACCGCCAAACCTTAACTGAGATCTCCGGGCGACCAAAGTTTGACACCTACATACCGGTGGTATCAGTGATTATCCGTCCATCGCCAACCCGCTGGATGATCTACCCCGACCTTCCCTTCCTCCCTCGAGTCTCCCTCGAGTCTGCCAGTCCCGTGCCACATGATCGCCCGCCCTCACTGCGCTCATCCTCCCTCCGGATGCACCCAGATGCACGGCCGGGACAATGCTGGGCAGCGCTGAGCAGTTCTGAGCATCTCCAATTCAAGCTCGATCTCGATCTTGTAGATGTCATGGATGCCGTGTGCGGTGGTAGCCATAAGGCAGGCTACACTGCCCCACCACCATGAACACAACAGTGATCCCATCCCCAGATCCCCGGTATAGGGCCTCCGCGGCGATCGACGGATACCTAGAGTAGTCATCTCGGCCTACCAGTACTCCCGATAAGTCGCAACGGTAGGCAGACTGCAGCCAACCAGCCAGACGACAGACAACAGACAGACCGGCGGGAAGACCGGCGGGCAGACGGACAGACGGACAGTGGACGCAAGTCACCCGACGACGCAAAGACGCAAAGACGCAAAGACGCAAAGTCAAGAACGGAAAGACGAGAACGGAATGTACCCGGAGTACTATTAGTAATGCCACGCAAACGCACCTCTGCCGCCGCGGGGGTTAGGTAATCGCAGCACAGTCGGGTGTTCCCGCGCTCCAAAGTACCGGGGCGATCCTCGGCAATGATCTCTGCAGTGACCAGTCTGCACCGGACTCTAGGCTCTAGGCTCCAGCCAACGAAAGCGAGGTCGGATTGGATCGAGTGGTGCACTGGTGCTACCACCGGGCTACCGTAGCCGTGGTCATTGCCGTACGTACGTAAGTGTAGCACCCCGCGGCGGGACTCGGGAGTGCTAGCAGCTGTGGAAGCTTCGGTGCAGGTGCAGCATCTAGCTCGGATCTGATTGGCACGCTGTTGCGGGTGCGGGTGCGGTTGGCGCTGGTCATTGGCCATTTCCCATTGCCCATTGGTTCGGGTTGGGTGAATGTACTCGACTTTACACATATCTACCCGGTGGTGGGTACCGGTAATTCTTTACTTCGGTAAGTGATGGGCAATGGCATGACGGCACAGTGCAGCTTCCCGTCACTTGCGGGGTGTGGGGGACGGGTGTGGGCTATGTAGAATAGTAAAAGACTCTTCGGGTCCTGCAGGCTGCAGCGGCATCACATGGCACATGGCACGGGCTAGCAGCCTTGTCACCCAGATGGACGGAGGCACAGAGAGAGGAACTGGTAGTGCAGATGAGATGAGCAGCTCGATGGAGGGCACGATCTTGGGCCATGCATGTCTGCCGCACAGTGGGGTGGACTCGGCGTCCGTGATCTTTTTCAATCCGTAAATGCTACGATTCCTCTTTGAATCTCTGCTCCCCTCACGAAGCTTCTTTTCCGGACATATCTCACCAGGTCTTTCCCTGCCTTCAGCCGGTCTCACCCTCACTTGTTTTTCATCTTACCGCGATTCTCTCCCCCGAGAGTGCTGTGCGATGTCGTCACGGGCCGAGGATTGGAGCCCGGGCTTAAGTGCTGCACCTGACGAGAACGGTGAATAGTTAGAACGGTGGATCGTTGGATTGCAGACTCCGGGAGTTGGCTTTGGTCTGGGACGTTTCCGGCAACATCCCGCCTTTCTACCGAGACTTCAGAGTAACTACAAAGAACTTGATGGTCGGTGATGCCGGCGGCATGGCAGGCATGGACAGATTCGAGCAGTGGTAGTATGTAGTCGTGGTGCATCCTCCGGGAGTCACGTGAATCACCGCTGACACTCAAGCTCAAACTCCGGCCGGTAGCGACGGCACGGCAGGACGAAAGCGAAAGTCAAAGTTAGGCATTGTCGTCATCGCATGACATCCTCAGTTCTCAACACGACACAACACTGCCAAACACAGTAGTAGTAGTAGTAGTAGTAGTAGTAGCAAAGGCAAATACCAAATGACCCCTCGCATTCTTCATTGAGCATCGTAAAATAGTAGTGTAATGTGTATGTATTCGGTGCACTGCTGGTCTCTCCCTGTCCCATCCAGTAGGTATCCAATCCGATCCATTATCTACCGCCGCGCAATGCCAGCACCAGATGCAGCGTAGCACCGCCCTCGAGCTGGTAGTCGCTCGCCTGCTTCTCGTCGGCCCTTTACATTACAGACGGGTTAGCATGTCGTCACCGGGACCGCGCGCGAAGGGGGGATGGGTAAGGGTAAGGAGGAGTTACATCTGCTTTCCGCCGAAAATCAATCGCTGCTGCACCGGTGGGATTCCCTCCTTCTCCTCAACACGCTCCTTGATCTTCGAGACCTGTTGGGTGGGTGGGTGTTAGAATGGGAAGAGGGGCGCGGTGGGCGGGGACGGAGAACAGCGGACGAACCAGGTAGTGCGGCTCAATGTCGAGCTCGATCTCCTTGCCGGTGAGGGTTCTGACTCTGCGGGGACCGGGGTGTCAGTGGGGAATTTTCTGGTGCGTGGAAACGGGATGGAGGTACTTGATCAGCATCTTGTTGGAGGTGGTTGTGGAGGTGGTTGTGGAGGTGGTTGTGGAGGTGGTGGTAGTGGTGGTGGCGGCGAAGAGCTTGGGTGTACGCGGAGATGCTGGTGTAGAGGTGAGCGACAGACCGGAGATAGCGGTGACGAGGTCGGGGCGGGATGCGGAGTGTTACGTTATGTGAGGGGAAGGCGGGGTGAGGCGGAGGTGGAGGTGGAGGGGTAGTGGTAACGGAGGCTTCTAGAGGTGGGAGCTGTCGGAGGAAGAAGGGAGTGCTGAAAGGCGATAGTGGTGAAGGTGGTGGAGTATGAGGTGGTGGTGGTGTTGTCGTTAGTTTGTCGACTTGGTGCGTCTTGCCTGCTAGTTAGTTCAGTCCGTCCGAGGCTGAAAAGGTGGGGCTGTTCTGGCTGGTTGGTGGTGATTGCTGCTGCTACGAGAGTGAACCTTGCGTGCGGAACGTGTGCAACGATCGGGGAGGGCTTGGCGAGGCTGGGATACTATGCACGAATCGTATGACTGATCGACAGTGGATCGTCGAGAGTGAGCGGTAGTGATGGAGATAAGAGTGATCACTGTGCTCTATGTACCATCCGAAGAGGGATCTAGAGAGTGCCGGTGAGGTGGTTACTGGGACCGAGATTCTGCATGCTTGTGTGTGTGTGTGGTGGTGGATGGTGCTTTAGAGCTCTGCCACGACGTGTGCGCGGCACGCACTGCACTGCGCCGGGGGATTTGGATCTCTGGTATTCGTTTCGCTGGGACGATACTGAATACCTGCAGAAATCTATGTGATATGCATCGCGGGGGTTTTTTTTGGCGGGACGGAGCCGTGGGGGAATTTGTTCTTTTTGCGCCCAACACGTTTGTCTGCCTCACGACCGAATCAAGGCAGCAGTCGGTGGCGACTATTCCGTTTGAAAGTGGAGCACAGCTTCTCGATGGCACAGAGGAGAAGAAAAAGGGATTGCGAGGTGAAGAGTTGTGGAGTTGAGTATTTGCGGTCTCGTGATATATAGGCTTCCGCATCTGCGATGATCCGTCCATGGTTGGTTAAACCCGAAGATCGCAAAAACCTCGTGATCTACCCGCACCGGTCTACTCCACACTTACCAGGTTGCTCGTTTCCTTTGTTTCCACGCTTCTATCCGTTTCTCTGCAACTGTGCAACATCTTCACGTCAATGATGTCTATGTACGAGTCTCACTCTCGCTTCCGCGTCTGGTAGGTTAGGTCTCTTTCCAGCAGACGCTGAGGGAAAGCTTCACAGTTCACTTGTGTTGACGAACTCCCCGAATTCCCTCGAGGCCGATAGATGCACTACCCACTATTCCTCAGTCTTCTGACATCCACCACATGGCTCCCGACGACGACAACGATCTAGCGCTTACCAATGTATTCATTCATTTCTGCGGCAGCATCAGGTGTACAATACATATTATTTCCAAGGTTTCCTTGCGTGCGAAAACTGGGGGAGGCTTCGCTAAATGCTCCTCCTGACCGATCGTGAAGGATGGGATGGAAGCACAGAAACTTGGAGAGTGGGTGAAGTGCAGAACTATGTATGGCGCCTGCATACATAATTTCGTCGAAATTGCTCAGATGGGTGGGTATCTGGTGGTATCATGTATGAGTACTTGCGTTGTGCTTTGTACCGGGCTTCGCGAGGGGGAAGTACCAAAAGCCTCTCAGAGCACTAATCGTGACCAAAGAGTCGTAAATGCCGGAGAAGAACAGGAAAGGCCATCCATCATCTTCTGTATTGGTACGGAATGAAGGGAGACATATTTACTTATGTAGATACGGACAAGAACTGTTTTCCCCCAACATTCTGTTGCTGCTACATAACTAGCCCGATGGACTCCGGTCACTCCACACTTCCGTGCTTTCCGCCGTCCCGCCGGTGGCCGGCTTTCCCCAGTTATGTATGTAAGTGCACCACGGTTGGCCCTTGGGGTCAGACGGTCAGACGGTCATCTGACATTGCGGGTTGCCGCCTCACCCGCTCCCGTAAACTCGCCGTCGTCAATGGACTATTAGTACGAGTATTCTGGGTCGTGCTGCTGGACGACTAGCTGTGCTGAACCAACAAGATCGCGCATGATGCGGGCAATGAGAGCGAGATCCGAGTGCTCGAAAAAGAAGCAGCTCCTCCGTCCGAGCTTTCCGAAAGCTGTAGTTATGTAGTTCGTCAGTGAGTGAGCGGCGCATTCAGGGCACGAAGGGGCATGATTGCTTTGATGTGAGGGGGGTTGGAAGCCGGTCCCGTTGACGAGCGGGCTTCAATTTGGTATGTAGGGTCTCTTGTGCAATATGCACTCCGCGCGAGCCTGTCGCGGTCCGGTGGACTCGGAGTCTCTTCCTAGTCCGGTGGTAGGGGGACGGGGTCGGACCACGGCGGATATGGCGTACACATATGAGTTGGCGGGAGGAAGAGGAGTAGACATATGTAATAGTAGAGGTCCGGTTCTCTCGGGCCTTTTTGGGGTGTGATACCTGGTACATATCCTCGCTCTGGAACGTGTTTCGCCGTGAGTGAATGAATGAATGATCAAGTCAACAATCTAATGAGTCGAATCGATTGACGTTGATTACCAAGGTACTTTGTAGGCAGTCAGTCGGTCTCACATGCACCCAACCGCCCGTACGCGAGACTTTCCCCTGCCACGGTTGGGATGTAGTTATGCGATGCTATATAGTAGTATTAAACAGCGGCTCCCGATAGTCCTCATCGACTTCCAAGATCCCCCAGTAGAAGTCTGAGGTGCATGGAGACCCAGGCGAGACGGAGATGGGGATGAGGAGGAGATGAGTGACTGTGTTCCCGGGACTCCTTTGCACTCTGCTCGGGGTCGTTCCATGATCCATCACGAGCCCCCGGATACCACGGCTTCTCGTGATTGGCTCGAATCGCAGAGCTCTCCCCGACAGGAACAGGATTGCCATTAAAGTTGAGTTAAGTTTCACGCTTGGACGCCGCCTTGAACGGATTGCGGTTAGGAGGTTACATGCAAAGGCACATCTCCATGGATTCGCTGCGTATAGACCCCGGCGGATGGCCCGAAATAAATACAGGGCTCAGACGCTGATGATAGAGTGAGATTACCGGTGGGTTGCGGTTTGTGGTTTGTTGTGGCAGTACCGGTACCGGTAGTGGGAAAGCGCTCGCTGGCGGTTGGCAGGCAGGCAACTGGTGGTCTGTACAGGAAAATACAGTGGTGGGTGGGCACTGCGCAATGCGAGCAAGGCAAGCCAGCTGAACCCGCCAACCTTGCGCAGTGCGTGCCTAGGAAAGAGCGAAAGCAAGTGACTCCTTGGCCCAACCTACTACTCTATTCTTCCAACCCTCGACATCATCACTGTCGCCGCCTACCACCACCGACGCCGCCGTCGCCACTGAAGCTATCCCCACCCCCCCCCCCCCCCTCTCCCCCATCGGCCTCTGCTCTTCTTGAGTGGACACCTGCCTCTCCCGAACACTTATCCTGCCTATACTCGAATAGAAAAAAAAGATTACCGGCAGTACATCAAGTGTTATCACGCGCGCCGTCCTACCTCACAGCGCGCCGATACATCGAGGCCGTTTCGACACACCTCATCGGTCGCCATGAATTCCTCCAGCTCGTTCAACGCTGCCATCACAGTCCCACCACCACCTTCCGACAATGAGGCAGGAAGTTGTGAGCTTTTGGGTCCATTCGGTAAGCTTCTCCGACGGCGGGGCGGGGGCGGCAGAGGCTGAGGCTGATACCATTTGTCCACAGCGTTGTTCGTCCAGGGTGCACTGGGAGCTCTCGCGTTACTAGTTCTGCTATGGAAACGGTCGCGGGAACATCCTCAACGACCTCTATTGATATGGTACGCGTGCGGCGAGCGGGGCGGGAGCGGGGGAGCCAGGGGGCTAACGGAGAGTGTGCTATAGGTTCATGGATGTCTCGAAACAAGTGCTCGGTAGCGGTTTGGTGCACATCGCGAATCTGGTGCTCTCGATGTTATCGTCCGGGACGTTCTCGACCGAACCCACGCCTACTGGTGTCGTCATTGCGGGTATGCGGAGGCTGCGGCGGCACGATGGTCCTTACGATGGGTCAGGCGGCGACGACGGCGGTCCTGGCGGTCCTGGGGGGCCTGGCGGTCCTGGAGACGATGAGCCGCACCACTCGAATCCTTGCTCGTTCTATCTGCTCAACCTGGGCATCGATGTACGGACACCTTCTCCACGTCACGGGCGCGCGCGAGAGGGAAGCTGCTGACGGCGGGGGTGTGTGTAGACAACGGTGGGAGTTATCATCCTGATCTACGCGTTGCGGATGCTGCACAAGCTCGTTGTGAAGTTTTCTATCCCGGGTTTGCGAACGGGTATGGTTTCCGGCTACTACGGCGAACCACCGAAATGGAAGTATTGGATGAAGCAGTCAAGCGTCTACTTTGCCGGCTTGATGATTATGAAGTTTATCGTCGGCATACTGTTCGCGTTGTTCCCATGGTTGGGTATGGTCGGCGATTTCCTGCTTTCTTGGACGGAAGGGAACAAGAAAGTGCAAGTTTTCTTCGTCATGTTTGTTGGTGCCCCCCTTGCCCCCCCTTCTCGAAATAGCGATGCTGATTCGAACAGTTCTTCCCCCTTGTGATGAACGCATTCCAGTATTACGTCATCGACAGCTTCATCAAAGCCAAGGATTCATCACAAGACGTGATCCGCGACGGTGCACCCATCGACGACGAGCCCGATCTTCACCACCCACGCCGCTCATTCAACTACATTGAGGACGGCTCTGACTCCGATCCTGAAGACGGCTCAAAGCGGCTCCTCTACCCGAACCGCCCGTCTCCTCGCAACACCAACAACAAAAAACACTCTGGAACCTACGTTGAGGAATACAATCCCGACTACGATGGCACCAGCGAGAGCAACGCCGCTACCCTCCACCGCGGTTCCCCGGAGAGTGGATACTTCAAATCCGGAAGAAGCAGAAAGACGCCGACTGTGGGAAGCCAGAAGAGCAGGAACAGCAGCATGCTCTTGCTTCCGGGGAGTAGGGGTCCTAGCACCCCTGGGTATGCGGATGAAGAGAGCAACAGCACTGGCCGTGGAAGTGTCCATGGCAGGTTGATTTCGGGCGATGACGATAGTACGCTGGTTGGGCGTGAGGAGCGGTAGAGGTGCATGCACTTTCTAGATGTATGGATAGATTGATCGATCGATTGCCACGCGCTACCGTGGCCGGTGGGCTGTATAGAAGATGAGGTTTCTTTTCCTCCTAGCTCTATCCCTTTATCTTTGCTATTTCATTACCGCTTCCCTCCCACCTTCTCTCTTTTTCTTTTCTTTTCTTTTTCTTTCCGGATCTTGTCTTGTTAAGCGTGCGTGTTACTTACTGTTGGGGATTTTGTTTTGTTTTCGTTTGGTCGTTCCGGGAGTGCAATGTCAATTTTCTTTTTGATCTATATGCGTGTTGGTTGTCTTGTCTTGTCCATGCGATTTGGTGTTTTTTTTTGTCCTGCTTTGTCTGTCTATCCGTATCTGTTGCATCTTCGGGCGAGGTTGGGTGTCCTTCGTTGTTTTTCTTTCTGGTTGGGCAGGTGGTGGGGGAAGGGGGAGGGGGAGGGGGAGGGGGAGGGGGAGGTATACACACAATTACACAGAGTTGTCGGCTACTAGTTGGTGCTCGTTCACCTTGACGGTTTTGGTTTTGGTGACTTGTGATTGTTCGAGTGATGTAACTTTTTGTCTTTGGTATAAATACGCACTCCGGTTATGCTCTCTACTGTATTCTAGAGGCCGTTTGTCGAGCGATGTCGTCAATCTTGAGTTCGATGTATGATAAGTATCAATGTCGTGGTATGTACTAGGTATAGAATGCCAAGATATTATTGCGTCATATCGCCGCGGGGGATCTGTAGGTGGGTTGAACTCCCCACCCATATTGAAGGCGCACCAAACACCTTACACGGAGCTCGGATACAGCCATACAGCCCCAGCGACACACACAATGAAGCAGCGATTCTCCTCCCTCGATCTGCAGGTACTGCCGTTCCCCTACGAACTTCAAATTCCCCGCTGACACCTTCAGATAATAACGCACGAGCTCTCGCACGCCCTTCTAAACCACCGACTGAGCAATCTGTACGATCTCACCACACGTATCTTCCTTTTGAAGTTCTCTCGCGGCGCCTCCAAGCACCTTCTGGTGATCGACTCCGGCTTCCGCGCGCACCTGACGCAGTTCACGCGCGAGACGTCGCCGACTCCTAGCGCGTTCACGCAGAGGCTGCGGAAGTTCCTGCGCACACGACGGGTCACGGGTGTGGCCCAGCTCGGCGTTGATAGAGTGCTGAGGCTGGAGTTTAGTGACGGGCTGTACTGCCTGTACCTCGAGTTCTTTGCCGGCGGGAATGTGGTCCTTACGGATAAGGAGGCGAGGATTTTGGCGGTGCTGAGGGTCGTCCCGCCCGGGGAGGGGGTGCAGGAGTGTAGGATTGGCGCGGTTTATGAGGCTGGTGGGAAGGTGGGTGGGGGTACGGTTACGAGGGAGCACGTGGTCGAGGTGCTTACGGAGGCGGTAAGGGCAGCGGAGGTGCAGCGGCAGGAGGAGGGGGAGGAGAAGCCGACGGCGGCGCAGGTGAAAGGGAAGAAGTTCCAGCGCAAGAAGAAGAAGGTCGACAGTGCGCTGAAGCGCGTGCTCGGTGCGCGGCTGTCGGAGTTCTCGCCGGTGCTGATTGAGCACGCGCTGCTTGGGGCGGGGGTGGACCCGGCGGTGAAGGCGGCTGAGGTGCTGGCGAGCGGGGACTTGTTGGCGAAGGTGGTGGAGGCGTTTAGAGAGGCGGAGGGAATTGTCAAAGAGCTCACGACGGGAGAGGGAACGAGGAGGGGGTATATCATCGCTAAACAGCCGCAGGATGTCAAGGATGAGCCGAAGAAGGAGGCGGAAGAGGATGAGGAAGAGAAGAAAACGGTTACGTTTGGAAGCGCGGAGGCGGTCGAGTCGGCAGGTTCGCAGGAGGTGCAGCTGGAGGGCGTGGCGAAGGGGCTGGTCTTTGACGATTTTCATCCCTTCCTCCCGCGGCAGTTTGTTGGTGTTCCCGGGCTCACGACGCTGGAATATGAGGGGTTCAACAAGACGGTGGATACGTTTTTCTCCTCGATCGAGGCGCAGAAGCTCGAGAGCCGGCTGAGGGAGCGGGAGGCGGCAGCGGTCAAGCGGCTAGAGGCGGCGAGAACAGATCATAAAAAGCGTGTGGAGGGACTACGGGATGTGCAGGATCTCAATGTGCGCAAGGCAGAAGCTCTCGAGGCGAATTCCATGCGTGTTGAGGAGGCGATCGCCGCGGTGAATGGGCTGGTGAATCAGGGCATGGATTGGGTGCAGATTGCGCGGTTGGTTGAGGGCGAGCAGAAGAGGGGGAATGCGGTGGCCGAACTGATACAGCTCCCGCTGAAGCTGTATGATAATCGGATAACACTGAAGCTACGCGAGTCGAGTGGCCAAGATGAGCCAAAGGAGGGGAAGTTTGTGGGATTCAGCGACGATGAGGACGAGACCGACGAGGAGGAGGAGGTGGACGAGGATGATGATTCCCAGAAGTCGCAGACACTCTCAATCGACGTCGACCTCGCCCTCACCGCCTACGCCAACGCCCGATCCTATTACGACCAAAAACGCACCGCGGCCGAGAAAGAAACCAAGACCCTCCAGTCCTCCGCCAAAGCGCTCAAATCCACCGAACGCAAGATCACCGCAGACCTCAAAAAGGGCCTCAAGAATGAAAAGCAGCTTCTCCGTCCAGTCCGCATTCCACTGTGGTTCGAGAAATTTCTCTTCTTCATCTCGAGCGATGGATACCTCGTCCTCGGCGGCAGAGACGCACAGCAGAATGACATCATCTACAAGCGGTACTTCAAGCGTGGCGATGTTTACGTTCACGCGGATATCCAGGGTGCTGCGACTATCTTTGTCAAGAATAATCCTGCCACGCCCAACGCGCCGATTCCCCCGTCTACTCTCCAGCAGGCAGGAACGCTGTCGGTATCCATGAGTCAGGCATGGGATTCGAAGGCGGTTATGTCCGCTTGGTGGGTTGGCTTCGATCAGATTGCGAAGACGGCTCCGTCGGGAGAGTACCTACCTGTTGGCATCTTTCATGCCAAGGGCAGCAAGAACTTCCTACCGCCGGCACACCTCATACTAGGCTATGGAGTCCTGTGGAGAGTCGACGAGGAGAGCAAGAAGAGGCACGTGCGGCACCGTATTGGGGAGCCGAGCGAGGCTAAACCGGAACAACAGGAGCAACGGGAGGAAAAGAATGCCAGTGATGATGATGAGGACGATGTCAAGAATGACATTGTCAGCGATGACGATGGGGAGTTTCCAGATGTCAAACGGGATTCCGATGTTGAGGATGAGCCTGAGGATGAGTGGTTCCCGGATGTTAAACCGAACTATGGAAGCGATGTCGATGATGAGGAAGTCCACGGGGACGAAGATCAGGAACCGGCAAAGGGTGACGACGATGAGGAACAGAGTCAGCCGGAGGAGGAGAACGTACCGGTAAAGCTAGAGGACATGACACTTGAGGACTTCCTCACCCCACGCAAGGCACCAGTGAAAGCGAAGAGTGCGGCGTCCGCACCATCACAAGCTGAGAGGGAAGGAGCACCATCACCATCACCCGCCTTAACGCCACATCTCTCAGCCAAGCAGCGTCGGGACCTCAAGAAGGGAAAGCTCGTCCCCAATCCCGCCCCTGCGTCTTCCCAAGAGCCTAGCCGGTCTTCAACACCTTCTCAGGGGCCCACTTCCTCGACCAAGCCGCTCCCCCGCGGTAAAAAGGCCAAAGCCAAGCGCGCCGCGGTGAAATACTCCCTCCAAGACGAAGAGGACCGCGAGCTAGCGCTTTCGCTCCTCGGCGTAGCCTCCAAAACCTCTGCGGCCCCCACCGCCGAGGAAGAAGCACCCAAGGAGACCCCAGAGCAGCGGAAGACCCGCCTACGCGAACAACACCAACGCGCGCAGGCCGTCGGTCTTGCCGAAGAAGCCCGCCGCCACCAACAAGGCGCCGACGACGCGGAAGACGATGAAGAGGGCGACGTGGAAACCCCGCTCGACTCACTCGTTCCCGACCCGTACGACGACGATGTCCTGCTCGACGCTATCCCCGTGTGCGCGCCCTGGGGCGCTATGGGCCGCTACAAGTACCGCGTCAAGCTCCAGCCGGGCGCCCAGAAGAAGGGGAAGGCGGTTAGAGAGGTGCTGCATGGCTGGATTGGAGATAAGGGCCGCATGCGCGGCAAGGAGAAGGATCTGGTCACCGGATGGAAAGAGACCGAGGCGATTGCGTGTGTGGGCGTGGGCAAGGTTAAGGTGTTTGGTGAGGCGGGCAAAGGTGCTGGCGGCGGGAATGCAAAGGCGAAGGGAAATCCGGCTAGGGGTGCCGCGAAGAAGAGTACGAGGAAGAAGTAGACTACATGGGCAGGTAGATGCTTGCGCACGTGAAGATGTAGTTACCTAGTTTCGTGCGAATAGACACATGCATGTATGTCACTCGTCGCCTCATCTACGGGCATCATCTCATCAATGAAAAAACACAAATAAAAAATTTCGGATGGACCTGTAGGCTGTCCCGACCCTGTCTTACGTGGATGTATTGTATTATCTGTAGTATACCAACTGCTAAGCTACCAGTGGTAGCCCAACACATCACAAAATAACCCTACCTCTACTCGCTGTGAAGTAGGGATGAGTAAAGTCCCCGCCGCCCATCAACTAATCGACGGCCTTAAACGGCGTTTAATTAGGAATCGGGAATCAGGAGCGTGGGATCACGAGTGATGGTGAAGGTGGACCGTGGATGGGGAGGAGGTGGACGTGAGGGGCAAATGGAGGATAGGAAGGCCTACAGAAGTTCCTTTACTACAAGAATGTCGTAAATGTTTGCATGCGTACAACACGTCTTACTCACAGTATGTATTTTTGAAACTACCCTAGAGGGTTTCCACGGTATGCATACCGGATTCGGTGACTGTAGTATTCTGCTCAGCACATCGTTTCTTCCGTAGGACTCTTGTCGGCTTGGGTTTACTACAGTCTGGGAACTACTCTACTTGATTGGCATGACAACGTTTTCTCTGCACTATCTACGTTGTGCGGATAAGGTAGGTCTCTGGTAGGTCTCTGGTATTCTGGACACCGCGTAATATGTTGCGTTTGGAAGAACTGTGGTGGTTTCTCCGGCTGTTTTGGTAAGCATATATTTACAACACCGCGTAAATTTTTTTCGATACCGTAGAATTGAGACTGCAGGAAGAAACAAATCCCAAATCGAATCTGTATTCTCCCGAGACTGCTTGATTTATATCCGTGCAGTGGTACTACCTACTGGAGACCTTTGGCAGTAATCGCACCCTAATTTTTGCTACTGCAGGTATAACTAAAGCTTCCGTTCTCAAACCGAGGAGTATTCAGCATGAATAGCAACATCTTCACAACATCCTTTGGCACCTTCAGCATCTGCAACACGCTTCCCATACCCAAAATGACCTACGAACTCCCGGGCTACGCACTGAGCACTGGCGCCGCCAGCGGCATCATATGGCGGCGTGTGACATCGTGTTTGTTTCCAGGTCTCCATTCACTCTCTGAAAGCCATTCACTCTCTGAAAGTCATTCACTCTCTGAAAGTCATTCGCGAACTATAAATTCATTCATACAACTCAACTAAAACGTAACTAAAACGCAACAAAAACAAACAATGACTACACGTACATAACACAACATAAACCCCATTTCCATCCAATCCTTAGGTGTAACAGTACAAGAAAGCCTGGGTACGCCCGTTCTACCTCCCTTCTTTTTTTTTGGTTGGTTTGTTGATTTTCCACCTTTTTTCGGTCTTTTCCTTTCGTAATCCGTTCAAGCAAGCAAAGAAAACATGAAAATATGAAAACAAAGAAAGCATCGCAAGTACATAAAGCAAAAACATTTAAAAGCATAGGGGTATTAAAGGTCCATAACAATGACAGAAGATTCGTAAAAAGAGAACAGAAAGACATTAGAAGGCCTACCAAAACTCCAAAGCACCCACAATAACTAAGGTCTACACGCGATCACCACTCCCACTGATCCTTCTCTTCTTCCCCAGACTACCCTCATACCTCGGCGGCATATCAAAGTCGCGGAACCTCTCGTCGTCAACATCCATCTCGCCATCGCTATCGTCGACAAGTCTAATCGTCTGCTCGGGAATCCTTGGCAGGAGTCCGGGACTCTCATCTCTTTCGCGGCGGTTGCGATCCGGCGTCGTGCGCGGGGAGTGGTCGGTAATTGGCGTGAGCCTGTTGACCGCCTGCTTTGAGGCCTGATCATCGCGCCAGCTGTGGCCATGGATCGAGCTGCCGACGGAGCTTGCAACTGACCGCATGGAGGAGCATCTGCTCTCTGAGCGCAGCTGCGCGCGGGTGACGACTACTTGCATCTGGTAGACTATGTGCTCGTGCTCGTAGTCCTCGCCGAACTCGTTGCCGCGGCGGATTATCAGCGGGAAGAGGACCAATTTGATGGTGGCGTGCTCAGCTTCGAGGTCGGTTGGCGAGGCGTCGCTGTTGACGGCCTTCATCCGCGCCGCGTTGAAGTAGATGGTGTTGGAGACTTCGCCCTGGTCGTCGTATTCCGGGAAGGGAGGGCGCAGCATGACGTATTCGGCCCGCTGCGTGCGCATCTCGAGCGCGAGCTTGACCGCGAGGTTGAGCAGGGTGCGGAGCGTGCTGATCGCCGTGGGGGCGTGCTGCGGAGGTGGCGGCAGCAGGAAGTTGAGGTGTTTCATGATGTCGTTGACGGTCGCTTCGGTGGCGGATGTGAGCAGCGAGCGGAATGACTGGCGTTGCGAGAGCAGCGTGAGTGTGGTTGCGCGCCATTGATGCACGGCCGAGGGTGCGCCTGCGTTTGTCAGTAAGAATGGTCATTGAGGGGGGCACGAGAACGGGAAATACATACCGACTTCGGCGAGAGTCCGTTCCAAGGACAGCAGCTTTTGGCGCTCCTCGGTCTCAAGGCCGAACAGGTAGCGCGTAAAAACAAATTCCCAGATGAGGCGCATCATGATGGCCGTGATGGCAATGCCACGCCGGGACTCATCCTTGAGCATGCGTCGTACGCCTCGGTCGTCGAGCATCACATTCTCGAAGCGATCTTTGATATCCTCGTCGGTGACGCGGTGCACATGGATGCAGCGGCGTCCGAGTGAAAAGTGCGAGAAAGCCTCGCTCCACTTCTGAGCCTCCTGGAAGAGGATGTTGGCGCTGTCGGCAAAGTGCGACGGATCTTTGATGTCGAGGTAGCGGTTGCTCTGCCGAGCCATGACCTTGCGCTCGAGTGAGCGCACCTCATCACGGGCCTTTTGCAGCTCGCTACGGAGCAACTGGAGTTCAGCATCCTTTGCCAGGATCTCGTCGGTGACGGCCTGGCTTTGCTGGCTTTTGTCCTCCAATAACTTGTATTTTGCCAGCAGCTCTGTGTGCTCGTTGGTAAGCTCCAACATCTTCTGCGACTTCTTGTCGTAGCGAGACGAGATGCTAGCATGGCTGAGTTTGTACGCGGCTTGCAGCTGGGTAAGTGAGGCGTTGTGGCCTTGAAGACGGAGCATTTCCTCCTGATACCAGGCCAGCTTCTTGTTGAGCTCGTCGATCTCGGCATTCTTGTCGGCAAGGACCTGGTCGGCAGACTGGAGCTTCTCAGCCAGCGCGGCTGTCGCTTCCTGTTGATCGGTGCGCGTCTTGGCCAGCGATTTCTCCAGGTTGGCCTTTTCGTGCACCAGTGTGCCGTTTTCGACGCCGAGCAACTCGACCTTCTGTTCGAGGTCCATCAGCTTGAGACTTTGCCGCCGGCGGATGCTTGGCGGCCGCGTAGGCGAGCTTGGCTGTGGGTGCTGTTCGCCCCATGCTTCGAGAATGCCATCTCGCGTCTTGTCGTGCGCGCTTCCCGGCCGCACGGGAGTGGTGAAGCGCTCGCCGAAGATGATGTGCTCGGAAGAAGTGCGCGGGCTTTCGATCTGGGAGCCGACGCGACGCAGTGATGGCGCCTTGCCAGCGCGCTCACCGCGCTTGAGTACCTGCATCTTGTCGTCCTCTTGCAGATCTGGCGGGCGCGTAGCTCGGATTGCGGATTTAGCGCGGCGCGGTACGTCGCTTTGCAGACGGAGGATGTCCTCAGCTGTGATGAAACGGCTACCGGCTGTTGAAGCTTCGGGTTGCTTGGATGTCTCAGTTCGCGTGGGTTGTGCCGGTAGCCGGAAGAATGAGTTCTCGGTGGCTGTGCGCCGTAATGCCTTGATCACGGGGTTGGCAAGTGGTCGCTCGTCGGCTGAAGCTTCGACGATAGTAGGGAGCGGGAATGAAACGTGAGTTGGAGAGACGATGGGGGAGTGGGTGATGGTAGATGGCTTGAGCTCGAAGTTACTGTGGCGTCGCGCGAGTCTCGATTCGGATTTCTCCGTGGACTCTTTGGCTGCGAATGGGTTGAATGCCGCACCGTCCTCGAACGAAGGGCCGCCGAAAAGGCTCTTGTATGCCTCCTTGGGTGCGGCCTCTTTGGCTTCCGGCTCGACGAAGGGAGAAATAGAGCGGGAGCTGGAAAAAGAGCGGAGCGACTCGGTGGACGACTGTGGCTGAAGCTCGAATCTACCAACCAATTGGGAAATCCTAACTCCTATTGAGCCCTTGCGACGGTTTTCACCAGAAGAGACGCGCCGGACGGAGACTTCGTAACCAGAGTCAGCCTCGATCGATACCCGGACGGAGCCTTCTTCGCCAGAGGAGGAATAGGAGGATGTGAAGCCGCTGCCAGTGTTGCTGGTGGTGGAACTATCTTGTCTCTCCTGTGGATGGAACTTACCGAGATCCTCGCGTGGATTGGGAGCTTCCTGGATAGAAGGCTCAGACGTAAGCGGGCCTGGGGCGGATGATCCTAGTTCCGAAGGGAATGTCGGTGAGGTTCCTAAGAGCCGGGGAGATTGGTGATCTGAGACCTCTGCATTAGCTGATGTGGCTGGAGCCAATAGGAGGGGCTCACTAGTACCAAGCTTTGGTGATTCAGCTGAAGGAGACGGGGATTTTAAGGTGGCTGCTCTGGAGGGAATAGAAGACAATAATGTAACAGGTTCAGATGTGTATGGAGGTTTTTCGTTGGCGAAAGTCGCCGTCTGTGAAAGATCGTCCTCGGTAAGGGAGATGCCCAGGGAAGATACGTCGTCGGAAGAGAGTAGTGGTGAGAATTGTTCCGGAAGTGTAGTGATTGAAACAGGTGTTGTTGTACGGGCGATAGCAGGTGTAGGGACAGCAGTGGCTGCGGAGAGAGAGTGTGCAGCAGTGGATGTTTCGGGAATCTGTGTTTGCGTACGGTTGATTTGTTCCTCGGCGATTTCAGTAGGTGTTGTCTTATTGGCTGGTAGGGTTTCCTGGGATGATACTGATTTCGCTTCCTCGGAAACTGTGATTGGCCGTATGGTGTACATGGAGACTGGCTCCGACTCCTGATCCAATGACAGACTGGCAGTCTCTTGGTCAAATTCTTCCGTTGGGGAGCCCGTGGCAGAGTCCACGAGCGTCCATATTCCGTTATTTTCTAGGGCCTAATCATTGTTAACAGCCATCCAGCCAGCGGCATTAACCCCAGAACATACATCGAAATGCCTTCTATTCGATCCTTGAATATCCTCTATGTTTAGTTCTAAAATACGTTGCCCCTCCATTAGTTCGATCGCCCCATAAAAAAACTACGCACAGATCTCCTCCCACCTTCGTCCGCCTTATCTTCTATGGCTACCACACGACTAGAACTACCCCTCCTCTCCTCCTCCTCCAACGTCTTCTTCTTGTATTCGGCATACTCGCTCCCAGAGTCCTCGTGTTGGGGCAAATCTCTAGCCCGACCCTCTTCGCCCTCACGGGCGAGGGTATCAAAAGGATTACTCTCGTTCCTGCTTGATGCAAGTTGTGACGTGAAGGCTGATAATGCGCTCACGGCACCGGTGGGAGTTCCGGGCCGGCTGCTTTTGCCAGTGGGAGTTCCAGGCCTGCTTTTGGCGGTTTCGCCTTCGCTAGGGGAAGCCGACGCGACTGTGCCGGTGGCCTTCCACACTCGATTCCAGAACGAGCCTCTTCTCTTGGGGCCAGGCGGCCTACGGATTGGTTAGCACTCATCTCATCGATGGAGGGATTGGGAATGCCATACTTCTTGTCGTCAATTGACGCGGTTGGGGATGGCGGCGCCACTTCTTCTTCCTTGATACTCATCGTCCGTGACGGGACAAGCTTAAGCTGTTCTAATTCATCCTCATTCTCTTCCGCAACCTCTGGTTGAGTCTTCACGATTCCTGATTTCTTCCTCCACAACGTTCTCCTCGGTACTGATGACGCCTCTGATGGCGGGGGTGGCGACGGAACAGCAAGCTCCGTGAGCGGCGTTTCGACAACTTTCTCTTGAACTGGCTCCGAACGTGGCACTTCGACAACCTTCTCTTGAACTGGCTCCAAACGCGGCGACTCCGGCAATTTCGGCAGTGCTGTAACATCAAGTGTGAACTCGTAAGGGGAGCCGGGAGCGGATGATGGAAGCTCCTTTTCAGTCGGTGCCGGGCCAAGTGTCGGCGAATTCCAGGGACTGCTCGGAAGCCCCGGTACCCAGGTGGGCATGATATCCGACAGCAGGTAGGGCGATCCCGGATGGCTGAATGGCAGCTCTGCCTCTTGGGGCCGGGGAAGCAGTGTCGGAGAGAACCATGGGCTTGAGGGCAACACGGGCAGACGCTGCTCGGCGGCATCCGGAAGGAAGTATGGAGATCCGGGATGGCTGGTGGGGAGCTCGAGGTCCTGCGGTGCCGGGCCAAGTGTAGGGGAGTCCCAAGGACTACCTGGTAGGGTTGGCAATGATCGCGGCTGCAGAGACGACAGAAGGTACGGAGATCCAGGCTCGCTTTCCGGGAGGTCAACTTCTTGAGGCCGGGGGCCCAGCGTTGGGGAGTTCCAAGGACTTGCCGGAAGCGATGGTATCCGTGCTGGCAGAAGCGAGCTCAAGTAGAATGGAGAACCAGGGTTGCTGATCGGCAGCTCGACGTCCTGAGGACTGGGTCCTAGTGTCGGTGAGTGCCAAGGGCTGAGCGGCAGCGTAGGGATCTCCGTGGGCAGCAAATCTGACAGCATGTACGGCGAACCAGGCATACTCTCTGGCATTTCCGCCTCTTGAGGCCTGGGGCTCAGCGTGGGGGAGTTCCATGGGCTCACGGGAAGCACGGGCAGCTGTTGTGCCTCGATGTCAGGAAGAAGATATGGCGATCCCGGCTTGCTAATTGGCAATGCCTTGTCCGTTGGCCTCGGCCCCAAAGTTGGTGAATTCCATGAGCTTGGTGGCAATGTAGGAAGGTCATCGATCTCCGGCATCATGTACGGCGACCCAGGCTTGCTCACCGGCAACTTCGTCTCGGTAGGTCTGGGTCCCAAAGTCGGCGAATTCCACGGACTAATAGGAAGCGCAGGCACATTGCGAGGCATCATCTCCGACAACGCATACGGCGATCCTGGCGCACTGATGGGGAGCTCCTTCTCCTGTGGTCGCGGAAGTAGGGTCGGCGAGTGCCATGGGCTGAGCGGGAGCTGCGGAATATCGGCGGGCACCTCTGGGAGCATATACGGCGACCCAGGACGGCTGACGGGAATCATAGTCTCTTGAGGCCGGGGACCCAATGTTGGGGAGTCCCATGGACTGGATGGAAGCGACAGAAGATCATCTGCGACTTCGGCTAGGGAATATGGAGATCCGGGCTTACTGCTCGGCAGCCCCGCGTCTTGAGGACGTGGAAGCTCGGTGGGTGAGTACCAAGGACTGCTAGGCAGTTGAGGCAACCCGGTCGTGATAACGCGAAGCTCCCATGGCGAACCCGGGCGGCTGATTGGAAGCGTCATCTCCGTTGGTCTCGGTCCAAGGGTAGGCGAATTCCACGGCGAGGTGGGCAGTGCAAATCCCGTTGGAACCTCCGGAAGCTGGTATGGTGATCCTGGCTGACTGAGTGGAACGGTGACTTCTTGCGGTCGGGGACCAAGTGTCGGTGAGTTCCACGGGCTCGGCGGCAGTTGCGGAAGGTGAACACATTCTGGAAGCTGATATGGCGAGCCTGGCTTGCTGACGGGGAGATCCACTTCCATTGGGCGCGGTCCAAGAGTTGGTGAATTCCATGGCGAACTGGGAAGCTGGGGTAGGTAGGCAGTCTCTGGCAGTGCATACGGAGATCCAGGTTTGCTAAGCGGAAGACCCAGTTCTTGAGGGCGGGGACCAAGAGTTGGCGAGTCCCATGGTGATCCAGGGAGCTGCGGCAAGTCCGTTTCAATCGCCAAACTGTACGGCGATCCGGGAACGCTGAGTGGTATTGATACTTCGGTGGGCCTCGGCCCCAAAACTGGGGAATTCCATGGTGAAAGCGGTAGCTCCGGCAAGTCGACAGGCAAAGACAGTTGGTACGGTGATCCAGGCTTACTGAACGGCAGATCCACCTCTTGCGGGCGAGGGCCAAGCGTCGGCGAATACCATGGGCTGGGCGGCAGCAGCGGAAGACCATCAAGCGTTGGGAGCTGGTAAGGTGAGTTCGATGAACTCGACGGAAGAAATACCTGCTGGGGAGCAGGGCCAAGCGTGGGTGAGTCCCAAGGACTTCCTGGAAGCTGCGGGAGATCCGCAGGGATAGCCGGGAGCGTGTATGGCGAACTTGGTCGCGAGACGGGGAGTGAGACTTCTTGAGGCCTAGGACCTAACGTCGGAGAATTCCATGGTGATTTCGGTAATGCTGGTAATTCCAAAGGGACCGGTGGGAGCTGGTAGGGAGAATCCGGCCTGCTAATGGGAAGGTCGGTCTCTGTCGGCCTTGGGCCGAACGTCGGGGAGTTCCAAGGGCTGTCTGGGAGCGGCGGGAGATCATCACCCACGAGCGGCAGGATGTATGGCGAGCCGGGTCCACTGCCAGGAAGTCGAACCTGTGTCGGACTCGGCCCGAGCGTGGGCGAATTCCATTCGCTCTCAGGAAGCTGGGGGAGATCATCGGGGATCGCAGGCAGAAAATAAGGGGACATA